TTTTAGTGCTTTTGTTTGAAGTCGGTTTTTATATTTTTGTTAAAAAGTTTTTATTTTTCCCTTTTTAGTGTAGATAGTAGTAGCAAAGTAAGAATTCTAACGTGTTAGGCTTGTCAAATCAAACAAAATAAGCCGAAACTCAAAGTATCTACTATTAGCCGTTGAAGAGTTCCACCTATCCACCTTCTGGCCTTACCATCAGATCAGGTCAACAATACCGAACCACTGTACTATCAACCGAAATAGAAACACATGCAAAGTTTCAAGTCAATATCACAATTAGAAGTAGGTTAAATTCATCATTAGCTATTTTTCCACCCTTAGGGGTGGTATTTCTTTTTGAAATTTAAATGGAACCGATCTGGAAGTAAATACTTTCAAACAACACAAAAATTGTCCAAATCGGTTAATAAATGACGGAGTTCTGAGGTAACAAACATAAAAAAATACAGTCGAATTGAGAACCTCCTCCTTTTTGAAGTCGGTAGAAAATATATAATTTTTTGTTTTTATCCGAAACAGTAAATTATTCCAAAACTCAGCCCCAAAAACAAAAAAAAAGTGTCCTATATGTTGACCCGGATAACCAGCTATCATCATACCAAATTTCATCAAAATCCCTCCAGTGGTTTCTCCGTGATGCGGTAACCGACAGACAGACAGACAAAAATTGTAAAAACATAGATTCGGCCTCTGTATCGATAATAATATTTATTTCAATAAGATTTTCCAAAATTTATCTAATGTACAGATTCGGCTTAGTTACAATTTTATTATATGTATAATTGTAAATATCAATTATCTAACTTGTTTTCAGAATGTGGCTGTTGTGGCCTTACCTTCAAGTGCATTATCTGTACCCACTCATAAAGCAGGTTCAGATTGTTGTGATCCTGGTCCTCTCCCTAATTTACCACGTAGATTATCCAAAACACGCTAAGGTGGACGGTATGTATTTTATAGTAAATTTGATTAAAATTAGGTGGCTACTGAATTAGTGCGACTTACCATATACGACTGCGTTACCGCATACCATCAGGTGGAACGTAGTCAAGCACTAATTCAGTATGGATCGAGATCCCACTGCAAGATTACTACGTTCATTGCGTATTTAATCGGAATCAATTTTTTATATACAATAATAAAAGGGACATGTTTTGACCGGGGTGCCTATTCAAATGTGCCCGCTAGTATGTTTAATTAACTAAATAATAGTTGACTTTTTGGAATAAAAACGATTCATTTGTTATTACAATGAATAATACTCCACTTCACAGAACTATACGTAGAGATCTTGAAAAATGATAGCTGCCGTTGCGCATTTGGCCGCAACCTCTTCGCAGCCAGGTATAAGCGGGTCATATTTTGGTATGTTTATGCGTTCATAGCGTACATGCATCATTTATATATCAAATTAAAGCTAATTTTTTTCTGTACCTGATAAACTACGTCTGCCTATGTAAAAGTAGCCGCAAAAGTGGTTGCGAGTCATTAAAAGTGTTTTTGTTACATTCATACGTTCATGGCGTATATTTATCATTTATGTATCAAATTAAAGATAATTTTTTTCTGTGCATGATAAAATACCTCTCACCTATGTAAAAGTGGCCGCAATGGAAAGAAAAGAAGGAAAGAATATAATATTACATATCATTTGTCAGACAATAACAACGGTTACCATGGCAACAAACAGATAACTAACGCGCTAACTCTCTTTACTTTACTCTATCTTTGCCATATAACAAAAATAAGTGAAGTGTCATCAGCGAACAATACAATCTCATGTTTGTCCTGTACAAAAAATGGTAAATCATTAATATAAATTAGAAAAAGGAATGAGCCAAGAATAGACCCTTGTGGAACCCCCATATCTAATGGAGCTCCATTGTTATTACTACTAAAACTTTAATTATGCAATTAATATGTAGGATATTTAAGGATTTATTCTATAAATCGTACCTACACTTTAGAAACACAATTATTAGTTGTTTCTTCGATAGAAAAAAAATCCGAAATGATCTCTAAAAAACAAAATAAACCCTTAGTGCGGCGTAAATAATTCAAGGAAGTTCATCAGTTTTTTAATAATAACAAAACTATACGTTTTCTATAACGTATCCACTTTACATTTTCTAAATGTAAAGTGGATATTTGTTTTAATAATACGAAGGAAATACCTACACTCCCACGCGTTCGGACTATCCTACCCACTCCCCCCCCCCTTTCCCCTCTGCCCGCTGTCGTCATCTATACATATAATAAAATTGTAACTAAGCCGAATCTGTACATTAAATATTTTTTGGAAAATCTTATTGAAATAAACATTATTATCGATACAGAGACCGAATCCATAGTTTTTAGAATTTTTGTCTGCCTGTCTGTTACCGCATCACAGAAAAACCACTGGAGGGATTTTGATGAAATTTGGTATGGTGATACCTGGTTATCCGGGTTAACATATAGGATACATTTTACCGTGGGAAAATGTCTCATTTCTGAGAAAAATTACAAAAACTGCATTGTAAGAGTATACTAATATGTAAAACCTAAGAATTTGCTTTTTGGTCTTCTGAACGCGGGCGGAGCCGCGGGCAATGCTAGTAGTTAAAATAAGAAACTCGGTGCCCTCGTAATGCTGCAGCATTTCTTGACCTCTTGACCTTGACAGGTCTAAACTCTAAGGCGAGTACTGAGTATCTTTTTAAAATAGCATTATATGCGAATTTCACTGCACAAACCAGAACCACCGACCCAACCCGATTTGGGCTAATTAATAATATCATGATCGCGATTTGCCATGTCTATGAAAACGCACGCACATCGGAGCGTTGTTTGTACAATGTATAACCTTCTAACGCTACCAACATGTTGTTTTTAAATTAAAGTTAAAAGTTTAAATATTTCTGTAAATTAATAATATATAAGGAAAGCAATTATAAACTAACAGCTTGTATGATTTTTTAAAAGACCTTTTTCTTATTATATACAGAGTGGAACAAGTGGATGTGATATGGAAGAAAAGTACTTGTAATATTGAAGTTGTCAAGTTTTACTCAAAGAAAACATTTCTTGAAAAAAAATTAGCTGTTTTTGTTTTTAAATAAAAGCTTACCTAAACAGGTAATCGAATCAACTCAAAAATACAGTAAAATGCACCTTTATTATTTTATCTATACTAATATTACAAAGAGGTAAAGCTTGTGAATTTGTGAGTTTGTGACGTTGTATGGGGTAATCTCTGGATCTACTGAACCGATTTAGATGAAATTTGGTAAGAAGATAGTTTGATGATAGAAGATGAAGATATTGTTTATCCCGGAAATCATCCCTTAAGGGGGTGAAAATGGAGATCAAAGCTAGGGACGAACCCGAGCTTAGTGAGGATAAGTCGCTAGTTGATACATAATTTGATCAATGTAGGATTTCATACTTTTCTTTAATTGTAATATGCAATGTTTGTTCGAGAGATTTTATTCCTACCATAGTCTCTATCGGTTAGTTTAATAAAATAGTGAAGGTGCATTTTATTGTATTTTAGTTAGTTCGATTACCTGTTCAGGTAAACATTATATAAAAGATAACTGCCTCGGTGGTGTAGTGGCTAGCATGTACGGCTGCACACCCGGAGGTCCTGGGTTCGAGTCCCGGGTCGGGCCAAGTTTATTTATTGAGTCTTTCTGTATATTAAGCCTCAGTAACAACCCGGAGTTCGGAAGTTGGCGGTGTTTCACCCCCATGCCTCGGAGAGCACGTAAAGCTGTCGGTCCTGCGCCTTAACTCTCACCGGTCGTGTAGAGTGGTCGTCCCACCAGAGTATGAGAGTAACAGGAATAGAGAGTGCACGTTGTGTCTGCGCGTACACTTGTGCACTATAATATCTCCTGCGCAGTTGGCTAGTCTCAATGAGATTGGCCGCCGTGGCCGGAATCGGTCAGGAGAACATCATTTAAAAGATATTAAATGCAGTTTTTTTTAAAAAAGGAATGTTTCCTTTGAGTAAAATTTGATAACTTCAATAATTAAGGTAGTTTTTCATATCCCATCAATTTGTTCCACCCTGTATATAAAAAATGATTGCTTACAATCTCAATTTATTGATGAAGGCAAGGTAGGAAACTTTAGCTTGATCAATCTTTGTTCTTTATCTTTCAATTTTTTTTACAGATAGTAAGTGCACTACGGTATACTCACTACGAGTTTAATTTTTTTTTCTTTTTGAGTGTACCTTAATAGAAATAATTCAATATCAGCTACTTTCACGAATTCGTTACTTTACAAAATATAATTGATAAGTGCGATAGTTTGTATGTGTGTGTGTATGGTTGTTTGGATTGGATGAAATTTAGTATGAACTGAAGTATCATAGGTTACTATTGGACACTTAAGGACGCACCCAAACTAAGTATTAAGTGAACACATCTCTTATTCCTCGAACGTCACTTCTACCACTAGTCACAATAAAATTAAAGACGAAGACTAATTTTGGTTTAGCTATAGTATTATATGATCTGTGGTTTAACAAATGTTGTAAATATTCTTCCTTATATACATTTTAAAAGAACCAAACGATGGCGTGATTTAATTAACGTTTAAAAATTAGCGCTATTATTATAAATCAAGAAACTTTCAAATCATTTTTTATTTTTAAACTACCAACTAACTCACTCTCGCTTCGCTCGGGTTGATCCATAGTTACGTTTTAACGTTTAGCTCAGAGATGAGACATTTTCCCGCAGTAAAAAGTACCCTATATATTGACCCGAATAACCAGCTATCATCATATCAAATTTCATCAAAATCTGTCCAGTGTTTTTTTCTTGATGCGGTAACAGACAGACAGACAAGAATTCTAAAAACTATAGATTCGTCGTCTGTATCGATAATAATGACTATTTCAATAAGATTTTCCAAAAAAATATTTAATGTACAGATTCCACGCAGTTAGAATTTTATTATATTTATATATAAAGAAAGCGTTACAATAAGTCTCCAGTCAATAAATGATTGTTACAGATGGACAAATCTTTGATTTCATAATAGTTGGAGGCGGATCGGCGGGATGTGTCGTAGCCAATCGACTCACCGAAATATCAGACTGGTCGGTCCTACTAATTGAAGCTGGGGATGACCCCCCATATGCCTCTGAAGTAAGTAATATGCTAAAATCTTTAAATAAATATCCTAAAATAAATGTAAATATTTTACGTTTTGTATTATTGGTTTTATAAGCAACTTTTTGAACCATTAACTTTAGTCTGTGTCATATATTGAAGAATCTGGTTGATGAATATTAGGATAATTTATAACCAACTTTTTCTTAGAAATTTTTTGTATATCCCTTTGTTTTTCAATGTAAAATATCCTAATTGTATGCTACTTTAGCTATAATAGAAATACAAAGTAACAAAATCTTTTAGTTACATTTAATAGTTACACGTATATTCAATCCTTTTGAACCTCCCACCTCTGGGCACGGGTCTCCCTTCAATACGAGGAGGATCAGTGCAAGAATAAATATTAAAATTTTATAACAGTATAAAAGTTATTTTAGAATGAAAACCAGATTTCTCTATCTGTAAACATACTTTCAGATACCAGGATTATCCGTTATACTGGGAAACAATTTTGAGGACTGGACCTATGAAACAGTAAACGACAATTATTCTAGTCAAGCCCTAAAAAACCAAAAAATACAAACTGTTCAAGGAAAAATGTTAGGTGGATCTAGCAACGTTAATTACATGTATTACGTAAGAGGTTTCAAAGAAAATTACGAAGATTGGGTTGCTCGAGGGAACAATGGTTGGAACTGGAATACTCTCAATAAATATTACAGAAGAATCGAATACGTAAATTACTCTGATAATTTGAAACGCAAATCTGAAAATCCCAGTGATCCATACATAGGTCTTACGCGTTCAGATCGGCGAGAACAAACTCAAAAATATTTAGATGCCTTCAAGGAAAACGGACACGACATTATTGAAGATAGAGGCTTTAGCCAAATAGGTTACTATGAATCAACCTTCAATTTTTATAACAAACAACGTCAGAGTGGATCTCATGTGTACATCAAACCAATTGCTACAAGAAAAAACTTATTCATCCTTAAAAAAACTGTAGCTAGAAATATAATTCTAGATAATAAAATAGCTGTTGGAGTTACAGTGGAAGAAGTAAATGGCGTAATTAAGAATATTTACGCGAGGAAAGAAATTATTTTGTCTGCTGGGTCTTTTAACAGTCCTAAATTATTGATGCTATCCGGAATAGGACCGAAGAAACATCTTGAACAAGTAGGAATCCATACGGAAGTACATATACAAAACGTCGGTTCTAATTTACAAGACCATATGTTAGTACCAATTGTAATATCTGAAGGTAATGGTACAAATACTTTAAGCAACTTGGATTTTTTAAGTAATTTGGACAAATTTCCAGCACCGGCTATCATGGGACACGTTGCTCTTAATAGAAACCAAAGATATCCAGACTACCAAGTAACTGCATTCCCTTTGCCAAGTGGCTCGATATTTCCTACTCTGATGTGCTCTGACGTCTTCAAATGGAACGACGACGTATGTGTTGTTATTGCGAATTCAACAAACCAAAACATTTTATTTTCTTTAATATCGTTTCTCAGTCCAAAATCCAGAGGAAAGATCAGATTGAAGAGTAACAACCCTAAGGACGCACCACTTATATTTACTGGTTATTTTTCAAATAAAATTGATCAAGTTAAATTTGCAAACTCCATTAAAGACTTCATAAGTGTAGTGGATACGAGTTATTTTAGAAATGTGGACGGTAAAGTTGTAAACTTAGAAATTGAACAATGTAAAAACTTTGATTTCAATAGTCAAAAATATTGGGAATGCTATGTTTTGAACATGGCATCATCCCAGTTTCATTATTCTGGAACTTGCGCTATGGGACCTGAAGGAACAGGGGTAGTCGATGAGAGATTAAGGGTTAGGGGTGTGAAAAATCTTAGGGTAGTGGACGCGAGTATCATGCCCACAATAGTTGGTGCAAACACATTCGCTACAGTCGTTGTAATAGCTGAGAAAGGTTCCGAAATGATCAAATCCGACCATATGGAATGTTCAAACAACGATATCTTTAGTAACAATACGTGTTGAAAGAGTTTGAAAAAACTTGGAATTTTATGAATTTTGAAGTTTCAGTAATTTACGCTTATCGCTCTTTCATTTGAAGATGGAATTTTTAAAGACTGATAATAATTATATTCCTAAATATCTTTATGTTAATAGCATTTATATTGTATTTAAAATTACTGTAGGAATAAAAAATAGTCATTTTTTTCCAACGGACTCTGTTCCACATTTATTTTATATTTGACGTTCAAGGTACACGATAAGAACCGATATAGAAAATTGAATATTCCTAAATTATCCAATTTGGCTTTACTGTACAACGCTGGCGTATCACATAGGAAACCGTCACCGTTATCGTAGCAAACCAAAGAAAATGTGTAATAATTCATAAAAATATTAATTAATTATTATTTTAGTAATACTTCTGATAGTGTAATTATTACCGATTTTTTATTTTTTTGATTCCCATTGTTTCGAATGCTGTTTTACAAACACAGTCACAGCCCACGGGAGAAACTAAGTAGTTGACTATTTATATTTTTTACTTTTTTATTTTGCTATATAGTTATAACAGATGTTGTCTTTGAAAATTTTGCAATTTGTAAAAGATGTACCGCATTTATTGAAACGTGGGAATTCAAAAAAATATAGATGAAAGGCGACAAAATGAAAAAATAAAGCTAAAAATCTCTTTTTTATTGATATTTTTACCAAAACTATAAAAAATATATACCAGAATGACTAACTATAGTGCATCAACAACGACGACGGTCTCCTACGTTGCCAAAACATATAAACCTTTTTAAGATTTCAGATATAAGCACATCTAAAAACCGCTGTATATCAGACTACTGAACGGTCGACAACAATTTAATATACGTTGAAAATTACTTTAAAACAAATTATCTTTTATTTAACCGCACAGACCTTTCATTTTTAATATTTAAATCGTACGATTATAGAATATTCTTTGATTAAATAATAATATGAAGAGGAAGACATGTTCATTACTTATTAATAATTAATTAATTAATAAATAATAGAAAAGATAAAATCTTTTTGTTCAAAAGTGACTAAAACTAAATCATCGACCGTTAGAAACGCAACAAACAGCGGCTCTAACAATTTAATAAGTATATATATATAATATTGTGATAAAGCTTACTTCACTATATATACAAAATAAACATTTATATATTAAAATTATGCTTATTGAGAGAGAAAGAATATTTCTTAAGCATTTAACGTGTATAGCGTAAAATAAATGTATATACAAAAACTTAACAAATGCAAACCAAACTTTTAGACGTAGATAGGAAAGATTGAAGAAACTAAACAATGAATTGTCGAGACGATATTTACCTTACATACTGACCCATGTTGCTAGATTCCTTTGACATTTCAACATTACGCAAACTCACAGAAGGGATGATTTTTGAGAGCTTTTTTGGTATTTTTAGTAGCTTATATGCGACAAATGTTCATAAATTATATACTATCTCATTAGCAAAAACCGTATGAAAATCAGTCCGATAGTTTCTAAGATTAGCCCGAATAAACACACATACAGCGCGATGAGGGCGTTTAATTTTTAATATGTTGTGATAACATCGAAAATTATACTCAAGTGTCTTTTTTTCCATAGATTATGGTGAACGAAAATGCCATTTACCCTGTGCAGGAATCGAACCCACATTAACACTTACTAAACAAAATACTAAAACTTATCCATTACAGTATTACATGTAAACAATAGGACAATTTCATTATTATTATCACTATAACGAAAACATTATATCGTCGCCATAGTGCTTATTTGTTCAAACATGTATATATAGATAAAATACATTTTTCGGCTTTTTTAAAGCAAAACGTGTCTTTTATACCAATAGAATTGACATTTCAAAGTCAATAATTCTGTATAAAAAGCTCTTTCGGAATTGGTCGTTTGGACAAATAAGCACTGAGATGATGATATGTATGTATACTTATCATTAACTTTAAAATCTGAAAGAAACTTTTTTTTATATGTATTTTGCTAAAAAACAATAAACTCAACATACTATAATATAAAAATTAACATAAAATCGAATACATCTAAGTAAATTTTAGAAACTTTCCTAACTACGTCTTTACACTCACATCAATGCTCAAGTAATACTAGTTGCGCTACAAAACTATAAAAGTACCAAAATTTATTATACAATGAAGTTATGATTTTTATTTATATAAAAAGTCTTTTATTAACTCGTTTCACCACATTTCAAAAACATTTCTGATTAATGCATCGAACAAAAAAGTAATAGATACGCAATCCCATTCAAAAGTTCTCTTAAAACTATCAACAATTGTGTTTAAGTGATTAGTCTAGTTGAAATAAATATACAACAATGTAAATTGAACCTTAAATGCAATGCTTAAAGTTGTTTTCACAAAAAAAAATATTAAAAGCGCTCTCAAAGCTTCAAATGAGTGCTAATTCGGTGAGGACATTTTTGTCACGACAATCCGTGTATCTAGTACTCTTTTGATCGATGGATGATTTAAATTCAACATGTAAAAACCCTTGTATGTAATTTTACTGTCCGCTTAGTACAAAAAAAAATTACACAATATTTTTAAACTTTTTCTCATTATTCAAATATGAGGCACATTGAATATATTTTCATTATAAACGAACAGCATAATAGCTCAACTAGTGTTAATTGAGCTTGAACAAAATATAAATTAGTTTGCATTTTGGAACAATCTAGAAACTTATTTAAGGCATCAATCACCAAAATATAACGATTAGTCAGTCTTGGAAGACAATGAAGTTCCTTTCGAGGGTATTAAGCTTTTTAAGCTCGAAATAATAAAGTTAAAACATCTGTCAAATTGCAAAAGTCATAAAAAACTTCAAAAAAAAACCCAGAGCGATGTTTATACTAGATTCTACGTGTGGCTTTGTACATGTACATATGTGTATACCACATCTTATTATCTCATCTTCACGTTAGTGCTTATTTGTTCAAACGACCAATACTTGTTGTACTTTACAGCGGTTTTTTCCCCTCTATTTTACCATATTTAGATTTAAAAAATCAGGTTTATTAAACTAGAATGTGTAGTACCAATAGAATTGATATATAAAAATTGTATCTGCTAAAAACTCTTTCAGTAAATTTGTTGTCTGAACAAATAATCACTGAGACGACGTCATACTGCTTTGTATTGTTAGTAACAATACTTTAATTTTAGTTAGTTAACAACAAATTATGTAAAAAAATATGTATCCAACATGAAAACTAATGACGCGGGCAAAGCAGCCAACTGAAGGTAGTATCATATAAAAAATTAACAATATATAAAAAACATATACCTATATGATTTTACTGCGTAACGCTTATAGAACTAGCGACATCCCTAGGTGTCTAACTGTGGCCGGTATAACAACACAGAAGCTAGATTTTAACCGACTTTGACTAAAGCTATTATAATTGCTGACAGTAAAGATAATTTTATCGAAATGAAAAATAGTAATAGTAATAGCTTCTGGTTAGTAAAAGTATGATCAAAATCAGATCAGTAGTTTCAGAGATTAGCCCTTACATACAAACTTACAAAGCTTTACTTTTTAGTCAAAGAGTAAATTATAAGGAATCTTACTAGAAATAACCCTTTGAATAAATATTTGTCGATAATAGAGACATTCATTCCTCTTATCAATAAAATACACACGCCATTTTAAGCTCATAAATTAATGTCTCAGTATATCGATTGATATAATTTTCATTACTCACCTTAGTTATTAACCAACTTGCTTAAAGCTTTAAAAACAAATTGTTCTACAAAATATATCCATTCAGATTTCACACTCACTCACAAACTTTCATAGTAATATTAGTGAAATACAAAATCCTACCATTATTTTGCAATTTGACAAGATCCAATCCAATTCAATTCAATTAATCCAATTAAATTGATCGAAACCAATTAAATTAACTAAAAAGGTACCTACCTATATTTGAGAAAAAGACTGAGACGAAAAATTTTAAGCGTTTCGAAAGGAACTTCATAAATAAATTGAAGATAAATATATTTTACAAATTGCTCTAAATTGTTAAATACGTTTGTACAATGGCGACTAGACACAGGTACAGTCACAGTCAACACTTTGATCATATAACTTTTATGTTTTAAACAATTCAATACATTTTAAATACAAGAAATTATTTAATTTAGTTAATTTCTTTATATAGAATACAGAGTTTAACCCATCATTATATGTTTTTACTATAATATATATATATATATATATATATATATATATATATATATATATATATATATATATATATATATATTATCATGAAATAGATATATGCCGAAATTTAAGATGAACTTTCTCCAAAACAAAATACTTCTATAACTAATAATGCCGTTTAAAAAAAAGAAGGCCGCAACTTCGTCAAAGTTGATTTCGAAATATTTAAAGTTTTGTCTTAGTACTTAGTAATTAAAGTTAAGTATTTAAAGTTTTGACGAAACTTTTAGTTAGGGCCTTCTTTATTATTACGGTTAAATAGACAGAAAGTCGCATGTGAAATATTTTTTTTTAAATATGTTGTTTATAATTGAAATTTTAAAAAGACCAAACAATTAAATAACTGCTCTAAATTAAACTATGCAGTTTATTTTAATTATGAACGGTTTCATAAAAAAAAATATTACACGTAGAACATAATGTGTAGCTCTAAATATGTAAAAACTGAATGTTTGTTCTTTGTAGGGCATTTCTTTGTCATCACAGACTAAACATTATATAGACAGCCAAAATGAAAATCAAAGTCAAAAAGAGTAGCTTCATTTACTGTTTATGCTATTAGATTGTTTTTTTTTTAAATAAGGGAAATTTTATATACATATGTATTGGTCAAATTAATATACAATTTTTGAGAATTATATATATATATATATATTGCTATTTGTCTTTCAAGGGGAGAAAACTGATTAAAAATATAACGGAATATAGTTACTAGGAATATATTTTTATTATTCATAATTTATTCTCAAAAATTGTATATTAATAATAACTAATATAAAGAGAAACCCTCTTTATATTGGAAAAATGAAAGGTTCCCGTGGGATAGATTTGTTTTGTTTTTCACAGAGTAAGAGATCGACTATTTATTCCATACTAACCGTTAAAACGAGCGAAATAACAATTATTCATTTAAAAAAATATGAAAATCCCACAAAAAATACCCTCTTTTACCATTCAGTTAAAAATACAGATCTAAAATTCAAAGAACATAACGGAAATTCAGCATTACATACAAATATTACATTCTGAATGTATAAAAAAAAAAAAAAAAAAATAAAAAAAATAAATAAATAAAATAAAAAATATATAAAAAAAATATAAAAAAATAAATAAAAAAAATAAAAAAATAAAAAAAAAAATATAAAAAATAAATAGTAAAAATGCGAACACTTCTTAACTATTACTTTTAACCAAAAAAAATTAATTTTGAATGTAACCAACATTTTGATATCCACATTACAAAATCAATACATCAAATTAATTGTATATTAGGCAACTAAATATTTCTCGTATGTATTTTTGTATCAACTAAACCGATTGAAATGAAGTTTGGTAAAGTTTTTAACTTAAGAGTGTAACATATATCTAGAAAACTAAATATAAATCCGTCCAGTCTTTCTCAAATAATGCTAAAAAATTTAAGTTTTAATCAAATTCGAAAAAATCTGAAAACTCATTATTTAATGTACAACAAGGACGTGCTTTTTATATAATAAACTATATGTACAGATTAATAAGAAGATTATATAATTTTTAACATATAATAATAATAACAATAAAACGCAAACCGAAATGCTTAATATTAATAGGTTAAACTTCGTATTCTTAAGAAATTATGATGAACAGAAAATTGTTTTATATTGTTTGCTAAGAAAAAAAAACTAAAAAAAATGTGATTTTTCGGAAACTACGTGTAAAATTACAAATTAAAACAAAATATGGATTAATATTAAATAATCACCATGACATTTGACTGCGACGATACAGCTTTCATTCCATATTATTAGAAAACCTACTTCTACATACATTCAATAATTCAGCCAATTGTGAGAATTTACTGCGGGCTTCTTGCAACATGTTTCTGGAAAAATATATTGTATAATTAAATAAATTATGAATAACTTTAATAATAAGAATTACACACATAATATTATAAGTATTAGCTCAGATATTTCATCCCATACAAAGAATTTGATCCATCCTAATTCAAATTATTTTGTGTGATTGAGTCGATTTTCTGAAAAACTTCTTCTATAATAAATAACCTTTGGAACGTCCTAAACCTTAGTCTCTGCCGTGACTTGGCTGTCTTAAAGTATTTGAAGTGTTGGAATCTAAAAATCAATATAAATCTGCCAAAAAATCCATATATTATAATTCTACGTGACATTGGCATAGTAATTTGTGCTCAATTGGCTTAAAGTCATTAACAAAAGAAATAAGTGTAATAGTATGCTGTATGAATAAGTAATACTATACTGTGTTCGCCGAATGAACCAAGCACTGAGATTTTGCGCTTTTACGTGATTAGTTGCAGATAAGACGCTTAGGCCGCGATTACAACGCAAGTCATAATTAGTCCGTCGTTGCATTCCGCACCGTTCAGACGTCTCTCGTGTAGTTACATGATTTATTATCAATGTAGAAGATGACAGTGATACGTGAAAATTAATAAATAATGTATACAAATATTTAAAAATAGTTATTTTTACTTTAATGTTGATTTTATTCTATTAAAAAATATTAATTGTAAGTGTCAGTGGGCGGAGCTAGACATTTTTCTGTCCTTATCAGTTGGTATGCTAATGTGGGACAGAGAAAGCGCTTTGCATGGTTCACTCCATGAACAGACTATAGTATAATAGTACCTGCACTGCGCACAGAAGGCGGCGAGGCGGGCGGCGGCGGGCGCGGGGGCGGGGGGCGGGGGCGGGCGCGGCCAGCGCGCGCTGCAGGCGCCGCACCGCCGCGTCCGAGCTCGGGCCTGCTCCTAGCACGCTGGAATCATTTACAAATCACTACCATTAATTATTTATCTTGCAGTACAATTTATTTATTAAAATAAAACAAAAAACATGACTATCTGTTAACAATTGGCGAAGATATTAGGAAAAAATGCAAAATTAACGTGTTGATAACGCGCGTATCATGAACGTACGTTTTCTTCTCATATTTTACGCTGATAAACTAAAATAATGCAAAAATAAAGACAAAGTAAGGTCGTCGTGTGCATAAACCCTGACGTTGGTCTACTAGCATATATAGATTCTGACTTCTACTAACTCCTGTGTTCGAATTTCGAGGGCAGAACAAAAATTTATAATTTAAGGTTTCCTATAAACAAATTTATAATTAACACAAAAGATTTAAAAAAAAATGATATTCCAACCTGCCAGAAAGTATTCTCATTCTCTATCCACACATATACTTTCATCTATTCAAGTAACTCATCCATACAAAGCAACTCATTCATACAAAACAACTCATCCATACAAAGCAACTCATTCATACAAAACAACTCATCCATACAAAACAACTCATCCATACAAAACAACTCTCATCCATACAAAACAACTCATCCATACAAACCAACTCACCCATCAATAGCTGATATGAGATCATTTACACATCCGGTGAACTGCTCCCACTTGCCGGAGAGAGCGGGGAGAGGCTCAGCGCCGGGCAACTTGTCGTCTATGCTGTGTTGTATTCCCAACGCTGTCGATAGTTTTGCCCTGTTAATTTAATAGAAAACTTATTATTACATATACTTATTGCTACTTAATACTGCTTTTTTCGGGTATATATTTACATACGTAGATTCCTAAAACCCACTACTAACTACGCCAGTATATTATGATTTATCAATGTACTTTTCATCCAAATTCGTACAGCCGTTTTAATGTGAAGGAATGACAAACATACACACATAAAAAAATTCGAATTTATAATAGTAATGTGATATCTATTTGTTCGCATTTGTTATGTTTTCTTTTTAGTCGAAAACTATTTCAACATACATGGAACGGCGCGAAGAACCATACAAAAACAATGACAACTTGGCTACAACGCGTAATACAAATATAATTCTAGCCTGAGCACTGTCGAGGTTATGCTATTATATATTAGTGAAAGATTTATTAAAATCGCTTCAGTCGTTTCAGAGTTTATCGATTACAAAGAAACAAACAAATCTATTCTCTAATAGCTTTAAGTTAAGGTTGTTCAGAATGAGACGCGGGTGAGATAGACTTAGACCCGACTGTCATACATACATACATACATACATACATACATTTAATCATGAATTCATCATTGTATGAATTTTTATACCGTGATATTATTTATTACCCAACTGCAAGGAAAGGGTTATGTTTTCCTCATATCTGCCAAACCACTCGATGGATTTCTTTAATTAAGGTATCGTTAGATTCGTCTCATTAGTCTAAGTGTTCTTAGATAGGTGACATAGAAAATAAATAAATATGGGGTCTGCTAGATTCCATAATGTGAAAAACAAAAAAATGAAAATCGACGAACTATGTCAAATAAGGTATCGTTGAATAGGTATTTAAAAATCAATTTTAGGTTTCTTTAACCAATTTTCATTTAAAATAACAGTTTAGGATATATAATGATTTAAAGTCGGTTCACAGCCATTCTCTCTAATTTTCCTACTTAAAAATACTTAAAAAGCTGTAAATAATTAAATATATTATAAAAATAAACAACCCGACTGCATAAAAGCTAACTAAAAAGATGAAAACAAAGTTCATGCGTGCTAAAATGTCACCCTTCGTCACGAATATACATACATATACAAGAATTTATCATTAAATATAATAAGAAACTATCCCTCACCCATAACTAGAGAGCACTGTCCACATCCCCTCGAAGGCCTCCACGACCTCCTTGCCAACGTCCTCCACCGCCTCGCCCTCTCCCTCGTCCGCCTTCAACAGCCGCTCTACCGTCATTTTGGCCAGTTCCATATATTCTGGTATAATCTGACACTTTTTGGCCACATCTAGGCAAAGCTCCTTGAAATTAGCTACTTCTGATTGCGTTAATGTATTCGGATCTAGAGGAGAGACAAAAATCAAGACTAAATTTGTATGGTTGGATTATATATAAATGACTTGAGTGATGACACCAGTTATAATACGTAATTTTTTTTTTTAGATCCAGTTATAGTATTTGTAAGATCTATAGATATTATAAAATTGTAACTAAGCCGAATCTGTACATTAAATATTTTTGGGAAAATCTTATTGAAATAAACATTATTATCGATATAGATGCCGAATTTATAGTTTTTAAAAAAATTGTCTGTCTGTCTGCCTGTTACCGCATCACAGAAAAACCACTGGAAGGAATTTGATGTTGATGAAATTTGGTTTGGTGATAGTTGGTTATCCGGGTCAACATATAGAAAACTTTTTACCACGGGAAGATATCTCATTTCTGAGAAAAAATACGAAAACTGCAATGTAAAAGTATACTAACATGTAAAACCTAAGAATTTGGTTTTTGGTCATCTGAACGCGGGCGGAGTCACGGGCAGTGATAGTCTAATATAATGGAATACATATATTCAATCCATAGCTAAGACTTATGTTAAGTACGTATCGTTGCAAGATTGTATCAAACCTTGTCTCTGAAACTTACCCATGTGCTTACTACTATTAAAGCTACAAACAGACAAGCATTTAGTATTTATATATTAAAGGTAAACGTACATAGCCATGTAAAATATTTTATTTGTCAATACGCACTTGTGTCAAGATCTATCTCTGTAGAAACTAATGATATTTGACCTTTATTTTTAACGTTTTGAAATGCATTTACGTATAAAACCAACGGAACCTCCCCTGTTTTAATCGAGTGTCGTAGGATTGCTTACCCACTCAACCACACAACAACCATGGTTACTCCAACGCACTCGGTCTCTGCTATAACAGAAGTACCAGGAGCAACCCACATGACACGCCGCCCGCCGAAGTATGCGGCCCCCCTGTGTGACTCCACGTTGGCTTCACGCACGGTTGGATTGCCGGACGCTATAAGCCCCCCACCACGGTGAACATATATCTGGGGAGGCGATGGTATTTAATCATGGCCAAACCTTAAAATTGAGATCCTCACCCTTCTTCTCAATAGACACGAGGCTGTTCTTCAGGTCAGCGAGCAGCATCTCGATGCGGGGGAACACCTCGTTGAACACAGCCACCCAGTGCTTGAGCAGACACTGAAGAACATCGGCCAGCGACCACGGCGGCACCTTGAACAGCACGTGCTGCCACAGGTTGTTGTACTTCGCACGCATTTCGTTCTGGAATTATTATTTTTTTATAATACTTTCTTAGATTTACGCGAATATTTGACATTTTAAATAAAACTATTTTTTCGGATTTTTTCGCGGATTTATTTGGATTTTTGGTTCCTGAGGTTTCGAATGCTTTACAGCAATCATGGTCACGGGAGAGACTGAGGTGTTAGATGTCTCAAAAGTATTATATAGTTGTTACAGACAGTCTACCTACAAATAACAAAAAGAATTCAAAAAATTGAAAAATGGCGCCAAAGTCCTTACAATATTTTTTAATTTTAAACATTTTTATAATTTTAATTAGTTTTATAATTGAATGTGGAATATTATTTATTTAATTTTACCTGTTATTATTATAATTATTACATTTTTTTAGAAAAATATATTGATTAGTAATTTATATTTAGTGTTCCCATTATTATATTTAAAGTAATTAAAAAATATTAAAAGTCATTCACTGAAGATGAACTAATTATATTAAAAAAATGTGTTATTAGTATTCAAATGGTAATTTCCAAAGTCCTAATATATATTAGCGCACGAGTTTCATCACAAGTCGCAACATCAAAACAAATTATAAAGGCGGGGAGTGGATAGTGCCAACTTCCATAAAAAACTCTTTCATCTAAAATATGTGGTAGCACAGTGGTAACGCACTCGCTTTGGAAACCGAGTGAAGCGGGTTCAAATCCCGGGTGTCGCACCTCTGCTATTATCATGTGCGAATCGTTTCTAACATGATTCCCAATTGTCTTACGATGAAGGAAAAATCGTGAGAAAACCTGCATGTCTGCGAGAACCTAGCAAATGAAAGACATGCTCAGTCCGTTTGCACTTGACCAGCGTAGTGGACTATGGCCTGATTAGCTTCATATTGCAGGGAGTTCGGTACCCAGCAGTGGGAAGTTAAAAAGGGTTGAATACGTCATGTTTCAATCAAAATATGGAAAAAATAAAGCTAAAACAAACCTCTAATATATTAGCCAACAGATGATACAAAGTTTGTTGATAGTGCTTCACACTCGCGAGTAAATCCGGGTTAGAGGGCTGAGGCTTGTTCTCGATGAGTTCCTTCAGTTCCTTCACATTGATCCTTTTAACTCCATTTATTGTTGCCTTGTTGCTGAGATTCTTGTCATTTGTTAATAGTATCTAAAAAAAATACTATACAATATAACATATACTACAAAAAGTGTGATATTTTACATAATATTGATGATACTTTATTACTATTCCAGAAAATGGCAATCCGATTTCGATGTATTACATAAAAGTTAATATTTTTACTTCAAGTCCTTTTCTTTATTAAATTTAATCCAAATTTCGTGATTCTAGGTCAACAGGAACTACCATATAGGTTTTCGACCCAAAACCCATAGGGTGCTTCCGGTTGACCTAGAATTGTCAATTTTGGTTACAAGCATGGTCTTACAGCACAAGTAAAGGGAAAATTCCGAAAAATAAAAAAAAGTTGAAAATAAGGTTAATTTTGATACTTACAAGTTTTCGCGAAAATCTAAACTTGCTCATATCTTTTTATCGTGTTGACCTTGATTTTTATACACCTAATAGGGACTATAGACCTCAGTATCTGGTATAAATTTCAACTTGCTAGGTCCTGAGAAGATCGGTGGTGACAAACGGACAGACAGACACATGGACAGACGAACAAGAGAGTGATCTTATAAGGGTTCCTTTTTTTACCTTTTGAGGTACGGAATCCTAATCATCTCTGATCTACTATTAAGTTACTGCAGACAGTGCATACAAACATACACAAATAATAATATTAACAAGTATAATATACATATTAGAGTTGAGTGAAAAAAAAATTTTTTTTTAGCTTGAGTGTAGAATTTGTAGCTTATAAAGAAAAAAAAATTTATTCAACATTTTAAGATGGCCCACTGATTTTTTTAAATAATTAATTTAAATTTTTAGTTTGAATAAAAAAAAATTTTTTTTAGTAATACAAAAAAAGTAATGTAATTTTTTTCTACTTTTTTTTTAAATTGTATTAATGCAATTACAGTGAAATCTGTATTACCCCCAAGCTAATAAAGATAATATTTTTTCACTCCACCCCTAGTATATATGTATACATACCACATTCCTCCCCCTCTCCACTTGTTGTAAGCTACAATTTAATATTTCATCGTCAGGCACTTCACATGGGTAGATGTGGGAATTTGCATCTCGAAGGGACTGACCTGTAATAGATACAATTGGAAATTATATACATTAAATGTTCGTTCCACAAAAATTATTCACAATATTTTTTATAGCATATTTTTTATCTTTATTTTTATTTAAGAACTTTTATCCTTTTAAGGAAATGTCAGTCCCATCGTATCTCAACCTAAGTACAACATCACAATTTTTTATAGTATACTAGCGATTCATCCTTGCTTCGCTCGGGTTCGTCACGTATTAACATATGGAATGGATAGACTGCATATATACATAGGTACGATGAGTTGTTGTGGGTTGGATTATAACGTGTTTTCCCCGTATTTAGATATCACTCTCCAGCCCTCCAACTATCTCCACACAAAAGATGCCAATCACTCTGCTTCGAAGTGAAGAAGGACAAACAAACACATCACATTTTTATTGCAGTTTCTCAAACTTTATTCTACCTTTTCACAACTTCTATCCTGCTACTTTCACACCTTTTATCCACTATTTACATACTTTTTTGTAGGCCTCTTAAGAACCTACAATTTTCTGGTACATTATTTGATGTCTGTCAAAAGGTTTATCCAGCATTAGCGATGTAATCGTACAAAAACAGTTTTTTTGACAAAACACTGTCTAGGCTCAGTCATTTTGTATAAAATATTTACAAATTATATACACTAACCTTCCTCGCTTATCGCTCTTTCCATTAGTGAAAACTGTATCAAAATCTGTTGCATGATTTAGAAAAAGTAAGCGAAGAAACAGACAGACGCTGATAGCGACTTTGTTTTTTACTATATATATAGAATAGACTAGCGGCTCACCCTCGCTTCGCTCGAGTTCACCTCTAGAAAAGCACAAACAGATCTATCCCACGGGAACCGTTCATTTTCCGGGATGAAAAGTAACCTGTTGTTCGACTGGCAATTAAGGTATCAGCATGCCAAATTTTACGAAATTAGGTGCGTAAGTTGTTGTGTACTAAACTGTGTAAGTTACTGTAGTTTTTTGGCTATCCCACGGAAACTCTTTAATTTGAAAAGTAGCTGATTTGTTTTTGTCATGTATGAACTATTATTATATTATTGTCAAGTTTCATTAAAATCCAATCAGTAGTTTTTGTGTACTAAGCTGTATAAGTTGTTATAGTTTTTTTACGATCCCATGGGAACTCTTTAATTTTTCGGGATGAAAAGTATCTAAGATGTTGCACAGGGATATAAGGTACCACCATGAAAAATTTCATTTAAATCGGTCTAATAGATTCGGATACCGTACAAACAGAAAAACAGACAAACAGCTCGCTCGGGTTCGTCCATACCTACGAATATGTTGTATTATCTCTTTAACCATTTGTCCAAATTATATGCAGTAAAAGGGAAAAGTCTTTTGTTTTAAACATTTTAGACGATAAATTTACTTATTTGGATAAGAATTCATAATTGTTGATAATATGACCAATAAACATGACCTACTGATTTAAATTATTTTTTTAATATAAAAACTACTTTTTGTGACTTAAATATAAAAGTTAGACATATGCTGTCGCTGACTTTTTTGTAGGCATTATTAAGCTCTACAACTTTTCTCTAGAACGTAATCATATATCTCTCATCGTTAAGGCAGCGTTCGTAAGAAACGTTTTCGTTCGACCGTTTTTTCTCCGACTTACTTTGCAAATCCGACTACCATGAAAAAGCCTTGGCATTTTTCGGGTTAATATATAGCCTATGACACTCAGAAAGAACGTGGCTTTCTATTGGTAAAAGAATTTTGTAAATCGGTTCAGTAGATCCAGAGATTACCCCCTACAACGTCACAAACTCACAAACTCACAAACCCACAAACTCACAAACTCACAAGATCACAAACTTTACCTCTTTATAATATTAGTATAGATTTACCTTTCATACTCTAATATCCCCACCCTATATCCTGCTATTTTCATACCTTTTATTCTGCTATTTTCAGGCAGCGATTTATACAAATAATCCATAGCCGCCTTCGCTCGTTTACAAAGTGCACCATTACCATTGTTGTTGTCCTTAAGTCGGTCTAATTCATTTATAACCCGCCATGGAACTAAGAGAGTTGGTTGTTCACTGTAACCTGTAAAAATAAACAAGTAGGAGTTATAGGAAATTTTAAAAATTCTACTTCATATCTATACTTAATATTATAAGAGAGAGTTTATTTGTTTGAACGCGCTAAAATCAAGAACCACTAATCCGATTTGAAACTTTTTTATTTCGTTTATTGAGGAAGGCTATAGGCATCATGTTAATACCCAAGGGAGAGGAACAGTAATCATAAATTTCAACAAATCGGGCAGACTCCCATACATTATTGTAAAAGTGATGTTTATATAGGAAGATTGAACGCGGGCAAAGCCGCAGGTACTGCTAGTTAAATATATTTTTGGAATTTACTGTCAACAAGCAAATCTGCATCAAAATATTTTTAAATCCCCTCTCTGTTTTTGTTTGCCTACAACATATTATTAAATTATAGACTTCCAAAATCTAACGACACTATATGCTAATATCCATCAAGTTGTCAAGGCTACAGAGTGTGCAAGAAGTATATACATATTTGGAAACTATTATTATCCTTCAGGGAAGCCTCATAAAAGTCAAAAAATACACAAAACCAATGGAACAACACAAAATGCTGTTTCCACTAACAAACTTACCTTTAATATGTGAATTGAGAACATTCTTAATAAAATCTAGTTCATGAATAAATATATTTGTGTCTACAACCAAAACTAAGTTGTCCCCGTCACAATTATTGTCTCTTTGTAGGGGTGAAGATTTTGGTTTCACCTGTAAATTGTGTACATAAAGTCACATGTTAATTATTTTATTATTTAATTAATTAATCTTAATACATTTTATTTATTAAAATAATTTATTTTGGCATATAAAATGTAATGAATGTTTTAGTAGCTAATAATGTCTCAGAAATTATTTAGTGAAATTTACTCATCCAGAACAAAAAAACGTCAAAGTCTAGTCAAGTACTGTACAAATCCCAAAAAGATGAATTGAATGAGATCAAGAATTTGATTTTTTTTATTTATCGCAGATTTTATGTAAATCAATTTATTTTATTAATTAATTAATATTATAAATGTAAATAAACATACCTGTTTAAAATCCTCAATTTCCATGGCTTCACTCATGTTTTTTGAATCCTCGACACTTGTATTTAAAAAACTACTACTACTGTTTAACCCTTGCTCTACTTCTAAACTTAAGCTTGTTCTTAAAGTTTCCATCCTTTCTTTTGCTGAAGAATAAGTCTTAACATCTTTAGAAGAGGAAACTTTATATGCTAATTTTGATTTAATTGCTGAAACGAGTTTGCTAGCTTCAGAAAACTGTGGAGGTGTTGCCGGATGTTTTGAAAATGGATATTCTGTTGTTTGACTACAAATTCCTTTTTCTATATCGGCAAATGTGTCCTTTTGTTTCTCTTTACAACAGTACTCTTCTGGCAATTGAGCTTTCATTGATGATATAATTTTATTAGCAGCGAAAAATTGTGATGGTGATGGAATAGACTGTAAGCTATCACTATTAGGAGACTGTGTTGATCTGGAGTCATTTAAATTGGGACTCCTCCGCTCACTTCTTTTCTGTGCTTCATTTGATTTTGGGCTGATTTTGAGCTTTTTTTGAGGTATATCAGGATCCTCATCATCTTGATTATCAGAATTAAGTAGTGCTCTTAATTGAGATAACCTTGTGTTAGCTAGATTTTTAACAGGGGTCTTTTTGATCAATGTCTCATTTTTACTGCCCACACTTTTAGAAGGTGTTGTCTTTGGAGTGCTTGTACATCTCGGTGACTCATTTCTTCTTTGTTCATTTTGTGTTGTACAGCTTTTTTTACTAGTGTTAGCTCCACTTATATCTAAATTAATAATATATTAATTGAATAAATAAATACTAAAACATATTTATATTGCATATTAGATATTATTTGCCTATTGGTTATTTTTCAGCTATGTAATTAGACTTCTTGAATAAATTTTTCAAAATTATTACATATTTGGAAACAATTTCAAGCATTATATGACTTGCTTTTATATCATATTAATAAAATTAGATTTATGTGATCATTAGATACTTCCTTGATTTATACAGTATTTTATAAAAAAATATATATTTTTCAATTTTTATTCTTATATACCAACCATGTTTCATCCTTTTCTTGGTTGCCATTTCCTCACAAGAGTCGCTTTTTCTCTTTGCACCTTTTTTAGCTAGCTCCTCTCTTTTCTTTTTCTCCTGTTTCTTCAGCTTTTCCTTTTTACAATTTTTTTTGTTAGACTTGTCATCTTCCTATAAATAAGAAAACACAATAGCAACATCAAAATAAATACAATTTTATACATTACTTTATAGCAATTAAATATAGTGTTTAGTGTTAATTCAAATATATATTCCATTAAAATATTAAATTAATAAAATATGCAAAAAAAACTTGATAAATTATGCTAGAATTTCGTAATTCACCTGCGGTTGTGACCACGAAGATTTTCCGGTTTTCTTGTTAAAATAATATTTCCTTCCCGGAATAGACTTAGACTGGCATAAAACCCATCCATCAGGCAACTTCTCGTCTACATTTTTAGCCGAATTCATTATGTGTAACAACAAATAATTAAACAAAATTCATCACACCTAACAAAATCGTTGGATATGTTGATTAATTGTCAAATAAAGTGCTGCCATATTTCATAATATTAAATACCAAAACTTGGTAGAAGATCAGCAGACTATATAAATGTGATAGCAGATTATCGATTCTAAATGTTCTAAATGTACGAATTACGAATACAGGCTCGTGATTTTATGACAGTAATTGTGAATAACTATAATCTCATCTTGTAGTTGTTTTTGTTAGCATGTTATGTTTTTTACTTTTTAGATTAAATTGTCATTTTTTACGATAATATTCGAAAATCTAAGCTCCATTTTAATGTTTAAAACTGGTAACAATAATAATAGCTGTCAATTGTCATTTTGAACAGCTGATCTAACCTTACGAATATATTCCCATAATTTGTAAATATAAATAAATGATAATCTATATTTATTACTAAACCACGATGGAGAAAATTATTAAAATTGGTAAAACGTTGCGTAATAATTGGAAAAAGTCAGTATTCGGTGCAATTTTGGTCTATTATGGAGCTGCAACCCTGAAAGAAAAATATGAGTGAGAATAATTAATATAATTTTTATGTCTATGCATTTTAAAAAAACAAAATTTCTACATTATACACGGAGTATACTTAGACTACTATTTCTATATCCAATTCCAATACATACAATAACATTTAATATCCACTGCTAGGATGTATGAGCTTATATCCCGAATTTTTACTTATCTTTTATTTTTATACAATACAATATATTATAATTTAATTTACAAATAGAATTAAAAGACAAATAATATTGTCATTCTTAAAAGTGAAAATATCTGAGCCTACCTTTTTTCTAGTCATAATATAATTTTTTTTAAGTTGTTAGGGGTCAAAAATCAATGTGTAGAGTTCGAAACACTGTGTCTTAGATAAGTTTGAGAGCAAAAGACAATTGTGCACTATCTAACTTAAGTTGGTATACCATTATTGCTACCTGGCCTATGCAAATTTGCAAAAAAAATATTAATGAAACATAAATAATAATAATAATTCTTTATTTCTCGCCACAAACAAATTAGTACATACATTAATATTAGAGATCTTAGTTTAGCATAAGCTATTACAAAATTTGGTTGTGGATCGCTGGTGCCTGTGATAAGTAAAAACCCATAAATAAATAAACTACATGTATTTGAAACATATATTTTGCTAAACAATTTTGCTAACATTTTGTAATTGACAAAAAAATGCAGATCATCTACTATAGAAATCCCTCCATTTTTATAGAGGAAAGTCAACACAATCTCACTAGTAGTTGATCTATTTCTTTCAAGATTCAGATGCAGTGTGCACACTGTATTAGTTAATCAGATATTGATTATCCTTAACAATCTTCAATTAAAGTGCATTATATACATACATATAGGCAGTGGTAGCCCAGTGGTAACGCGCTCGCTTGGGAAACCGAGTGAACCGAGTTCAAATCCCGGGTCTCGCACCTCTGATATTTTCATGTGCGAATCATTTCCAACATGTATACCACTTGTCTTACGGTGAAGGAAAACATAGTGAGGAAACCTGCATGTCTGAGAGTACTTAGCAAGTTTTCGAAAGACATGTGAAGTCCGCCAACCCGCACTTGGCCAGCGTGGTGGACTATGGCCTGATCCCCCTCGTACTGAAGGGAGGCCCGTGCCCAGCAGTGGGACGTTAAAAAAGGGCTAAATACATATACATACACATTTTTTTTTACAGAATCAACATTTTAATGCAAGCGGCATGTAAGGAAGCTGCAAAACATGGTGATGCACTAATTCCTATGGACAGAAATCCAACACTAGTAACTGTAATTCTAAATCCTGTTGCCAACAAACGTAAAGCTAAAAAGGACTATGAGAAATATTGCGAACCATTGTTACATTTAGCAGGATTACAGGTGGATGTAATTCAAACTACTTCTGAAGGGCATGCTAAAGAAATTGTTGAGACACTACGTGGTACAGAAGCTATTATTGTTGCTGGAGGGGATGGCACTTTGTCTGAGACAGTAACAGGTACTTCTATATTCTTAATTGTATCATTGTTTTTTTTTTTAATTTAAATAGGTGGCTAAATGAAAATCCTTAACATTACTTCTATATATACCTTTAAAAACGAAACAGTTTAAAGTAAATTATAATATACATATATTTTTTATCAAAACTACATTAAAATTATATTTTCTTTATTATTGATTTATTTTAGGTTTATTAAGAAGAAATGATGAAGCTAACAGGTTCCCGTTAGGTGTCCTACCACTTGGTCGTACAAACAGTCTTGGCAACATTCTTTTCCCTGGAGGCGAGGGTGTTGATCGTGTAAAACAACTTATTCAGGCCTGCATGGCCATCATAGAAAATAATACCACATGGAAAGATGTTATGAAAATTGAACCTCTAGCTGTTGAAAATGAAACTCCTAATAAACCAATATACGCCATGACTTCAATAGAATGGGGAGCGTTCAGAGACACACTTGCAAAGAAAGATAAATATTGGATATACGGACCTTTACGAGGATATGCCTCCTATATTTTCAATGGCTACAAAGATTCCTTATCCTGGAATTGTAGTGGAACCTTAAAATATACACCACCGTGTGCCGGATGTAGCAATTGCTTAACCAAAAAGCCGGAAGTTAAACGGAAATGGGCATTTTTCATACCAACCACAGAGGCTCCACAAAAAGAGGTAAAAGAGATTGTGAACCCTGAATGTGCAGTGGCTAATGAGTTGTGCTTTAAATCTACTGATTTTAGGATTCATCCTCAGAATATTGATGGATTATCAACATTAAGTGTTGGTTTAGGCAAAAATAAGTATAGCTATACTGAATTTGTGTCAGAAGGATGGAGACGATTGAATGGCAACAGCGAAACACCAGAAGCAGTTAAAGCTAGGACAGTTGAAATCCAACCCTTAGAGAACAGGTCTGATGTAGTAATTGCAATAGATCAAGAGGAATTTGATGTCAAACCAGTTAAAGTAACAGTGTTGCCAAAAATGGTGAAATTTTTTTGTAAATCTGAAGTAAAGGATTAAAAGCTACATTTTGTCTTTATTGAGCATCCTACTCCAATGTACAACAATACATCAAACATTCTTAGAGATCGGTGAGTGTTAGATAAAACAATGAACTTACTATGTAACAAACACACTGAATATGTTACATTATACTAAAATGGAAAATGAATTTTGTGACATTTTGCATATTATACAGTATAATTCATTGTCCTTTAACCTATAAAATCTAAGCAGCACTATCAATGAATACACAGCACAAACTCATTATTACACATATTACAAAGGCTTGTTTTTCAAATGTCTCTAAAATTAGGGTTAAATGTAAGAACATATTATTTTATTATCATTTATCTTTTTACCTTTGAGATTTTGAAACCATAATATTTAAAAATCCACATAATTCATTAGTCTTACGTATTTTTTTACGTCAAAAAAAAAGATACACAACGCCATCTATTGACATTTATTTAAATTAAACTTTGCTCCTCATGAGACAGTAAAACAAATAATAAAAGACAAGAATATATTAAATTATAACTTTATTAAATAAATAAAAAAGCAAATTCACAACACTACAACATATTCTGCCTAGCATATTCCCATATAAATATAGCAGCAGTGACGTGCACATTCAGAGATCGTATCACTCCTTGTTGTGGGATTTCCACACAATGCTCCATTAATGGCAACAGATCACAGGGAACGCCTTCCTTTTCATGACTGAAATAGAGAAAATAAATACTGAAATAGAGAAAATAAAAACCCAGTAACTATTAAGGCCCGACCCGGAATACAAACCCACAACCTTCTTAGTCCAACTAAGCAGTCAAAAAACAACACATAAATATACATACCCAAGCAAAAGCAAAGTTTTTTCTGGAAATTTAAATTTTTGTAACGGTTTGCTATTAGAAGTCTGTTCAGCCGCCACTATGGAGAAGCCTTCGGTCTTCTTCATCATCAGGTAGTCTTTAAGGTTTGCCGGACGAACTTCTTCTACGTTGATCCATCTTTCCGCTGATACACTACAATTCAATAAAAATCATTAAATGAGAATAAATAAGAACGATATATTATCTCTTATTATTATTTTTCTCTTTCACTCTCTGACCTTGCATAAAAAAGCATCAAAATATGGCATATCAATCATAAAAAAAAATTTTTTAAGCTATTTAATACAGTTAATAGACTACAGACCAAAGTGTAAAATTTCATTGATTGACTGGCGGTAAAATATTGTAAATATGTATGTATGTGTATATAGTACATGGTAATGCATATTTTTCTCATGGTGCATGAATGTTTGTACTCCAGTCATGGGTATTTATATTTATAATATGTATGTATTTAAAAGTTATATATGTGTAGTATATTAACTATCTGGTATCCGTAACACAAGCCTCGTAGCTTACCATGGAACTAGATGGTGATGTGTTAATGTCCCAACATATTTATATTTATTTATATGACAGTAGATAAAAGTAAAGAATCTCTTAAAGAGATAATTCATCCTTTGTACACATGGTATCTGTTTTCACTTGTATGTTTTTTTTCTTTTTGGTTGACGCCATTAAAATGGGTATTTTCTGCCTAATTTACTCTCTTTTAACACATTATAATTTAATATCGTTTGACAATCTTATTTTACACCATGTCCTTCGTTTCTTTTACCCATTCTGACATGTCACGAACATTCTCGTAGTAATCTGTGCTCAACTGGCACGCTTTGAAGACTTAAACAGAATTTTTTAGCAATCTTTTGTTTGAAAGCATTTTTGTTAAAATCAATGAGCGATCGCCTACTGTATAGATTTTTATACAGATTTGCTACTGTACATCAAAAGTAGCGAAGAAGTAGTATTTCCCCGATTAAACCTACTCATTTTTTATAGCTAAAAAATCATATAAACTAAATTATCATATCAGCAATACCTTATCATACAAAATTATATTTGGGCGACTTCAAAAATGGAGAAGGAATGAATAGACAATTCAAATGTATGTATTTTTTGTAAAAATCATGACATTTGTGTTACATATTGCGATGTTCGCCAAGTGCGAACCCGGTTTTAATTATTGTTTTTTAGTGTGTGTGTACTATAAATTTAAAGAAAAAGGCCCACCCGTAGCGGTGGAATAATAACATATTACCTAGTGGTTTTGAAGTTCATGTGCGGCTATAGTAAAAATCTATACTAACATTATATAAAGAGGTAAAGTTTGTGAGTTTGTGACGTTGTAGGGGGTAATCTCTGGATCTACTGAACCGATTTAGATCAAATTTTGTAAGAAGATAGCTTTAGACCATGAGAAGGACATAGGATAGTTTTTATCCCGGAAATCATCCCTTAAGGGGGTGAAAATGGGGATGAAAGTTTGTATTGGGAATCAAGCTATGGACGAACCCGAGAGAAGCGAGGGTCAGTCGCTAGTCTAATTATATAACGATAAATGTATGAAGAGTTTACCTTAATCCCTGGAATTGTTTATCTTGCAAATGTCGTACACTGTCCATTACATACGTATTGACTCCAAAAACTTCACTAGTTCGCGCCATTCCTCCTAAATTCGGCAATTTATCGATTAGAGACGCTACCACGATTAAGTTGGATTTTCTTTTCTGAAAAAAAAATATAAATTAACATTGACGACACGTTTGGCTTAGTTTGTAGTGACCCTACTTGCTGTGCCAGCAGTCGCGGGTTGGAGTCCCGCTGAGGGCATTCATTTGTGTGATGACGAATGTTTGTACTCTAATCATGGGTGTTTATATTTATAATATGTATGTATTTAAAGTTATATATGTGTAATGCTAGTGTTTCAACTGTCTGGTATCCATAACACAAGCCTCGTAGCTTACCATGGAACTAGATGGCGCTGTGTGTTAATGTCCCAACATATTTATATTTATGACTAAAATCATATTAATGGCTGTTTTCGGAACAAACATCTATTATTTCTTCTTTTTTACGTAATTTTAGTGTTATGAAATTAAAATATACCTACTTGTTTCTCTACATCATAAACATCAATATCAGTCATATTCTTCCAAGGGACATACTTCTTTTGGATCGTTCCAGTTTCTTTATTTTCTAAAACTTTATCACTTTCGAATAACACTTCATTTATTTGGAACAAAGGTTCATTGGATTTATGACTTCTCCTCCATTCCTCTAAAAATTCATTTCCTGGCTGAGAGTTGATTATTTCATCTACTTCATTTAGGGAATGTTTCAAAAATTCGCTATCTATTGTATCTAAGTTATTGCCTAGTTTGGATGTAGACCAAAATATTGCACACGGAGTTAGATCTTCAATAATATCAAATGAATGGACGAAATAATCATCCATCAGTTTCATAAAGCTTTTATCTTTAACTTTTTCAGCTTCTTTTAACGTGTTCTTAATGACGTCGACAGTGTACGAGTACTTTTGACTGCCCAATTTAGAATTTGAAAGGCTCTTGTCATAAACCTTTGTGGATAGATACTGTCCATATAACCGCACACTGTACACTGGTCCCATTATATGGGTTAGAAGAAAATCCATAACATGTTCATATTCTTCTTTGAGACAGTTATCAGTCTTTATTTTATGTGAAATAATCCAAAAGAGAATCATGAATTGCGATTGCAAAGGCACATTGTTTGCTTTTAATTTGTTTAACATTTCTTTGTTTATGATTGTACCCTGAAATGAAATTCTTGGTGAAGAATTGTTTTCAATATTTAATGCTGAAGCAGTTTTATAATGACTGTTACAATATGATGATGATGTTCTCCTAGCCGATTCCGGCTACGGCGGCCAATCTCATTGAGACTAGCCAACTGCGCAGGAGATATTATAGTGCACAAGTGTACGCGCAGACACAAGTGCACTCTCTATTCCTGTCACTCTCATACTCCGGTGGGACGACTGCTCGACACGACCAGTGAGAGTTAAGGCGCAGGACCGACGGCTTTACGTGCTCTCCGAGGCACGGGGGTGCAACACCGGCAACTTCCCAACATCGGGCTGTTACTGAGGCTTACTATACAAAAAGACTCAAAAACTAAACTTGGCCCGACCCGGGACTCGAACACAGAACCTCCGGGTGTGCAGCTGTACATGCTAGCCACTACACAACCGAGGCAGTTATAATACATAAGCGTAATGGCTTATAGGGATACTGTTAATTATTACTATATACTTTATCCTAAAGTAGAAGAATAATAACGTTAAACTTTAATGAGCAAAGTAGCCCACCCACCTTGTAATAAAAATATACAGCAATGTACCACTCGAGGCATGCCCTAACATATGGCTGATGCGGGATCCTACCAAGAAATTCTAAAATCCATCCCACAGTGTATTCCAAATTATCTTTCCTAGATTTTAAGAAAATTAAAAGTAAATTCTGTACACACGATTGAAGAACTTTTTCGTGTTGTGAATTTCCGTGATAGCGTTGTTTGTTCTTAAACAATTCTTCTACCTTTTTTATCATTAAAAACATCAGCGTGTTCAATATATCTGGATCAGTTATTTTGGTTAAAATGGATATTGCACATATTTTAATATGGGAATTAAATATGATGGATCTGAAAATATATATATGTTAAAATATTCATGTATTAGAATATCCATTACAAAATAATTAAGTTATTAAAATATTACGTTGCATTTGGGTTAGTACTTGTAATATAATAGATAATTGGTCCTAGTAAATGGCTTAGAAAAGGTATTTCAATATCATCTAGTTACGGAAGCATCAGTTTAGGAATTCTTCCACACTTATGTATGAACTTATTTTAAAACTTGTTTTGGCAATTTCGTTTAAAACTAGTACTAGAGATGCAATAGAAAATTATCTATAATAATATTTTAAGGAATCTACTTACTTTCTATCAATTGCATATTTTGGTTCTCCCAATATTTTTACTATAGTGTTATCGGTGATTCTGGAATGATATACAAAATATCATATCAAACAAAGATTTTGTACACCTGTTTACAAAAATGACTCATAATCAAACCCTGTGGTACACCATGTCCAAAATGACGTTACTTACACTACTGTTGTTACTTACAAATATACCTTCAATTATTCCATAATTATCAGCAAACAATAAAAATAATATTATTATTAATCTATACATATAATAAAATTCTGAGTCGAATCTGTATATCAATACAAAGGACCAATATATAGTTTTTAGAATTTTTGTTTGTCTGTGACCGTATTATGAGAAAACCACAGAACAGATTTTGATAAAATTTGGTATGATGATACCTGGTTATTCGGATCAACATATAGGATACTTTTTACTGCGGGAAAATATCTCATCTTTGAGAAATCTATACTAAACGTTCATATATAAATAATAATAATAACCTTTGATCTTTCCTTAGAACGCCAGAGTACAGTAAGATTTCACTTAAAATGTAAATCATATGAGGGTAGTTGGAGATGTTCATATTATTCATTTGCTTCACTAAATAGTACATAGGAGCATTTTTAAGTGATGCATACTCAATAATTTTGGTACAGTATAATATAACAACGTTATTATATTCTGGTCTTTTTAGAAGTGCATCTTGTACAATGATTTTAACAAATTCCTCGATACATTTTGTATATTGGCTATTAGACTTTAGGTCTTCTATTTCCTTCCATATTCTATGTAAAAACTGTGGCATATCAAATTTAATAGTTTTATCTTCTAATATTTCTGGAAGTAATTTACTAACAATTGTCAGAAGCCATTTCAAACATCCATAACCACCACTTTCTAATATGCGACAGATACAATCCACAATTTTTTTATTTACTGTATAATTTGTAGTATTAATTAAAAAGTAAACAATTTCACATGATTTCTCAAAAAAGGCATTTCTTAATCTGCCACTATTTTCCTTATTTATATTGTCATGAAATGTAACGTTCTCTATTATATTTAAGAATGTTTTCAAATCAAATAATTCATATTTATAATTATCCAACATCACCGGAGATTTTAAGCAGCTATTCATAATGAATATAGCCAGTATTTTTTTGTCTAACTCTGTATTTTTGTCTTTCAAAATCAATAGGGAAGATTTATAGCATTGCAGAAATAAATCATTATCATTCAATTTTATTTGACTATTTAAAAAATCTAATGCCTCAAATAGTAAAATAAGGATTTCAATATCTGTACTAATAGTATTTGTAAGTAGACTCATAACATATTGCAATATAATTTGTAAAACAGTTGCAAAGTTCACTCGAATATTGTCAAAAAATATGCCCTTTCTTTGTATTATTTTCTTATAAAGATGAACTAAAACAACAGCATCCTCTAAACACTGACTCTTATTTGCATATTGCCTACTATTTATATTTTTAATTTTACTGACAATATCATTTATAAATTCCAGAAACATTGGATCATCATGAGCCTCAAAATATAAAATGGCAAAATCTATATTTGTATATGAAAATGTTGTAAGTTGAATTAATTGCCTTTTATCAGATATTATAAGTTTCTCTCTAATATATTGAATGAATGGATTTCTGCAATTTGTTGTCACAGTTTCTAAATGTAAATGTGGATATATGCTTAAATATTCCTTCCAATTTAATCCCTTGCAACAGTTTCCAACAAAATAGGATATATTAATTTGAACAGCTTTTCGCATAACTTTATTATTACACGGTACTTTTAATATCTGTCCTATTAAATCTATTAACTGTACTTGATCTATATTTTCTAGAAAATTGTCAATGTTCAGATCAGCTAAGACTGTTGTTATGTGAAATAAAGGGATAGGAGACCATTTAATTTGTGGTAATACTTTTAAAATATTAATCAAAGTGCTAATATCTTTAAAGCTATCCTTTAACTTAGTAGTAAGTAGTTCATATTCATTCTTATTTTCAAATAAATTGATATTATTAATTGCCTCTAGCAATGGCAGTGCTTCCTTTTTATTTATAATTTTAAACTGCAGGCGGTACTTCAAACATTCAAATCTAACCTGAGCATTGTCATGAGAAAGGCCAATATTAAATGCACAATTTAACCAGCAATGTCCTATAGTTTTAACTTCATTAAACAATTTCAATGATGGCATAACAATATTGCTTTGCTTTTCATCTAAACTATCTATTAGTATAAAATAATTATCCCATATTTTCTTCAGTTTGATTTTGTTTTTGTAATCCCAATGAAAGGTACTATTAGAAGTCACATTTACATATTTATTATTTTGAAATGCACAATCAACAGCTCTTTTAGCTAAATAGACAGCTTGCTTTCTAGCAGATGTATTATCTTTATATAATAATCCCAAGAGGATAAAATTCCAAAATTCCGAGTGAAAGATCACATCAGATTCAAGCTGAATATTATTTGAGCTATCGTTTATTGGCAAATAGTAATTTGAAAGACAACATAGTACTTTCAATGCTATTTCTGTCTTATATTCTAACTCTCTTAGAAAATTCCAAATTCTATCAAGAATGTTGTAACCAATTACACTTTGGAAAAATTTAGTAACAGTATTTGTTAAAAAATATACTTGTAGTTTTTCATTGTTACTAAAAATTATATGTTCCAATGGTGTTTCAAGGAATGGTAATGATAATTTAAAGCCACAATATAAGACTGCATCCAGAATACTCCCACATATTTTTAAGTGCAGCAAAGTTGTATTTAATTTTTCAATTTCTGTATCAGTGTTTATCACAGTTTTAGGTTCTGGTAGGTAAACTTCAAAAAGAATTTGCTGTAGTAGATGTTCCGATTTGTCTATAATAGTACTTTGATTTAAATTAAGAACTATTTTTATGATTTTACATACAATTTCGATGTTCTCATCATTCACATTATTAATAAGTTTTCCTATAAAATTAAATTCTTCGCTATTACAGCATTCACTCTCTTCGCGGGTATTAATCAGCTGCTTATACATCAGCAAATTTATAAAATTCAGCAGGTGTTCATTTGTGAAATTACTTCTTTCCATTAGATTTTTTACCCTTAAATCTATTAGTTCTTCATCTAAATCAAGGAAGTCCATGAAAGTTACAATGTCTCCCGATGAATGCATTTTGAGGTTATCGATTCCGGCTGTACGTGTAATATATGTACTTTAAATGTTTTTAACTATTTTCGTGCTTAAGGTATAATTACAACGTCAAGATCATAATTTATTAAAACTATCGTTATTCGTTAAATATAATGTAAACATAGAGATAACCTAATCTCTAAAATGACATTTGACGAGGGACGACAGAGACCATGGATGACAAATAAAAACAGAGACAGACGACTGACAAGTGACATTGATGATTAAATTTGAAGATTGATCATTGAGTGTTGACAGCTCAGCAGATTTATAAAAAAAATTAGACTGATTTTTGTATCACAATGGATGACTTTTGTAGTCATCACCGATATAGATTTATTACAGAATGATGATTGTGAAATAGCGTAAAATAAAAAATCTTCTTTAATTGTGTCTTCTTCATCCACATATCTAAGTAAGCTATAGCTAAGTAACTGACATGCCTGAAATTAGAGAACAAAAAATACAAATAGAATTAATTTGAAGATACCATCAATTTTGTCTTGTCATAATTTCGTCAAATAAGTTTCATCAATATCTTTTGATATGTAGATATTTAAAAACGTAATATTTAATACTTATAATTTAGAATATATTTATTATCTATACTAATATTACACAGAGGTAAAGTTTGTAAGTTCGTGGATTGCTAGTTTGTGACGTTGTAGAGGGTAATCTTTGGATCTACTAAACTGATTTAGATGAAATTTGGTAAGAAGATAGTTTGAGACCCTGGGAAGGACATAGGACTTACATACTACTTTTTATCCCGGAAATCATCCCTTAAGGGAGAGAAAATGGGGATGAAAGTTTGTATGGGGACTCAATCTAGGAACGAATTCGAGTGCAGCGAGGGTGAGTTGCTAGTATCTTATAAAAAGAACGAATATAAAAAAAACTAGTCATGAAACTACTCATGAATTTAGTAAAAGAATCTGTTCATTGCAAATACACAATGGTCATCGCGCCAATATAGGAAAAACTGAAAATTTATATAAGTAATCTACATTATCGGTGTAGAGGTTAACTTTTATTGCTATAAAATATCTGTCGTATAAGTATCTGTCTTAAAAGGTATCCTTTTTATTTTTAGGGATTTTGTCAAGATTTTTTTTTTAAACACCACTTTCTGTGTAATTCAAATTAACAATAACAAAGTTTCAGACAATCTTTAATCCCCTATTTTATCCATTTAGGCGATGAATTTCGAAAAATCCTTTCCTATCGAATGCCTACATCATATAAGGAATGCGTCCTCCAAATTTCACGTTTCTACTACCAGTTTAGACTGTGTGTTGATCCATCAGTCAGTCAGGACTCAGGAGTCCATCTCCATTCTTCCAGCTGCTGGTCTAACAGGCGCGGATCCAGAGTTAAATTTTGGGGGGGTCATAGGCTGAAATATACATATAATAAAACAGGAACTTAGCAAAATCTGTACATGAAATATTTTTTAAAAACAATTGAGACCAGGCGCAGATCTAGATTGGGGGGATCAGAGCCTTAAATGTACATATAATAAAATAGTAACTTAGCTAAATCTGTACTTTAACAGGTATATAAGGAATAAAAATCCGTAAATCGCCCCCGCTGTCCAGCTACCCCCAATTTAATACACTACTGTAAAAAACTAAAAAATCGAAAAAAAAATTGTCAATAAAGTACACTTTTTCAATGATTATAAAAAAATGTAATTTACAAAGTAAAACTTATAGATTTCTCCATTTTTTTTTCTATTATTAAGGCTATTTTTACAGGACGACCGTACAATGTTTTTGTTTTTTCAAAAAGTAGAGTGCAAGATGAAAGTATGAGCCCTATCTGAAAATTGAACGAATTTTTTTTTAAATGTAAACATCCACTTGAAATTGGGGGTGATTTTAAGCCTCCCGAGGCCATATAATATAAATTTCTCGGAAACGGCTAAACATTTCAATTTCAAAAAATTGGTTATTATATGTATTTTGAAGATTATATTCCTCTAGTTTCATGAATATCAAAACGTTTTTGCAGACATTAAAAATAATAAAAAAGGACAAAAAAATAATTAAAAATCGTTTTTTTTGGAAATATGTCGAAAACTTTGAGGTTGTTGTAAAAGTCGTAGATTTTTACTAGAGATATAACTTTTGTTAAGAATATTTTTCGATAACATGTCACAACAAGGCAGAAATTGAAAAAAAAAAACAACTTTTAAACGGTTTGCTACACTTGTCTTGTTTGCTATAAACGTCTTAAAAACATAAAACTTCCGGTTTTAATTTGTTTCGAATAGATTTTTTTAAGTACCTAAGTACTTAAAAAAAATCTATTATTCCTTCTTTTCTTAGACTTCAAACTTCTCAAAAAAGTATATTTGGCTTTGGGGGGGGGGGGGGTCATGACCCCCATGACCCCCCACCCCCTGTATTTGGATACAGGGGGAGGGGATTACACATACAACAATAGAAGTTAAAAACTAAGTACAAAAAAATATCACAACCATGAACGAATTATTCGTTCATGATCACAACAAATTGCTTGACACCAGACTGAATGTAAATAGATCATACGTGTAACGCCCTCCTTTTAAGAAATCTTCCCCTGCAACTTGTGATGATTTAGTTACGAGTTGAGGTTTAGTTGTGTACAGATGTAATTTCACAAAAATAAATATTGCCATTTGCCATGTCTCTGTCAGTTTCTTCTGTCTGTCTGCTGCCAAAATAGAGAATAGATTTGCAAATTGCTCATTAATTCGCGAAAAAAGGGAAAAATTTCACCGTTATAACTATTTCAGTAATTATGATTATTAGTTTTTATCTTTGATAAAATATATCTTGCTTTGTAAAAACGTTTACTGTTGTTAACATTTACATTTAAGCGTAAGTTGAAATGGAAGAGAATTTCTCTAGTGAGGACGAAATTAAAGATTCGACTTTGAGTCCTAAAAAAGGTGGTAAGAAGTTAAAATTAAATGATGGAAGTTCACAAGACAGTCTTACAGAAACTGGTAAGTACGTTTTATATTTTTTAATAGTTACTATGACGTATGAATTGAATCCATTTTGTTTTCTGACTAGCATCTGGAAGCAAAGATGTAAAAGAAGAAAATATCGATAGTGGAGTTTCTGCAGACAAATCTGAAAGCACAAGCAGTGACGATCGCGCTACGACCAGCGCAGAGGTGCCTGTAAATGAAGTAGTATCAGTGGCACCTTCTAGCAGCAATGTCAGAGCAATTCTACTCGATATAAGAAGATCTGCGCGATCGAGAAATTACAGAAAACGTAGAACACCTGATAGGGAGTCAGACAGTGATTCCTCTAGAGATTCTGATGACCTTTCAGTTGAAGAAGAACAAGTGGCTAGACGACCTGACACATCAGATGGAGATTCAGCTACTGAATTTTGTAATGGATCCCCCAGCGTGTAAGTTTTGTCAATATTTTTCTAAGTATATTGTATTCAGCCCCTTTTAACGTCCCACTGCTGGGCACGGGCCTCCCTTACGTACGAGGGGATCAGACCATAGTCCACCATGCTGGCCAAGTGTAGTTTAGCAGACATAATCATATTGGAAATTATTTGCATGTGAAAATATCACATGTGCGAGACCCGAGATTTGAACCCGCTTCACTTGGACTCCCAAGAGAGCGCTTTACCACTAGGCTACCACTGCCTTAACTTTGCTTACTTAATATATTAGCATTGATTAAAATTTTATATTGTTGACATTATTACATATACATTGCTTTTAACACTTACTTAAATGGAAAATATGCCCTACTTCAAGTTTTAAACCCAAATAAATTGTTTATAATAGGAGCAGTTCAGATAGTTCTTCTGTCACAAGTACCGATAGCTATGGAATTGGTGGAGACATTCCTGGACCAGCTACTGGGGACACAGATAGTGATGAAGATCCATGGTTTTGTACCAACAGAAACCAAAGTAAAGGCGAACCACCAGCTGTTTTATCCAAAACTCGACCTAAGCACAGTTATTTGATTTTAAGAGGTAAACTTTATTATGTTTGTATTGTCTACAAAATATAATTAATTTTATTTTATTATTCTTTATGTGCAAATCTTAATTATCAAAATATGTTAACTGTATTCGTAGTTAAAATAATTTTTCCAATAGCAATTATTTGAAGTACTTAATTTATCCATTCTTAAATGAAAATAAAATTTTTTTAGAATTCAATTTTGTCCTAAATATGAAATGTCATTATTATGTTTTTGACGTGATAACGTCTTATAAATCGATGAACGCCTTCTGCACGCACGAAAAAGTGTCTCGTTCTGCCTGAGCCGAGTGTGCAAGCGAGAGCGCGGAACAAGCGATAGAGAGGCATAATCGGCTTAAGTTGTTAATAGCACATTGTTACTTGTTATTAATCTGTATAATTTAAGTAAAAAAATATTTGAATTAGCGAATGGAAATAAATGTTAATTTATCGAAAAAAAAAATGTAATTTTCAATTAACTCCTACTTTGTATTATACAAAATAGTGATAATTCAGTGATAATAATTCAATTCATAAAAGTATGCAATTTTTCACCAATGATTTCTTATGACGTTATCATGTAAAATTATAGACTTTATGGAAATCTGAAATTATCTGTATGATATTTAGTTTATTGTCATATTTTAATATTGTTAATTGACTGGATCTAAGAATTACAATTATTAATATTATTTGCAGAAATTATTAATCGTGAGCTTGGGCTGACATTTCCCGTTGGCAAAACGGTACAAGCCGACATGATGTTTGAAGAAAAATTCTATGGATCGTTACATGCTGTATACAGACTAGATAAATTACATAATCTTTTAAAACACAGGGGATGTGTAAACTCTATAAATTTCCATCCTGAAGGTAACATATATTTTATTACTATTTTTTCTTATCCTATGAATTGTTTCTCTGACTTTATAGAACTATGAAGGATTAATCTTGCGAAGGAATGGTATCATTTCCACCCCAGAATAATAAAAAATTACGTCATTCGATTTGGTCTTTTTTTACATTCTGGCAAAATAGGCAGTGGTAGCCCAGTGGTGGCGCGCTTACTTGGGAAACCGATTAAACCGGGTTCAAATCGCCGGTCGCGCACCTCTGATATTTTAATGTGCTAATCATTTCCAACATGATTACCACTGTCTTACGATGAAGGAACATATCGTGAGGAAACCTGCTTAACTGAGAGAACTCATTAAGTTTTCGAAAGACATGTGTAGTCCGCCAACCCGTACTTGTCCAGCGTGGTGGACTATGGCCTGATCCCTCTCGTATTGATGTTATAAAGAGCTGAATACAATACATACTGTGTGATTGATAAGAAAATATATATTTATAAGAGAAAAATAACTATTGTTGATTCTCTTTGTTAGACACCAAATTTTGGTGAAATGAGGCCTTATCGATACCCGTCCTTTCCAAGATATAATTCTATTAATTATTAATTTTGAAGAATGACATTTAAAGTTTTTTTAAACCAGCATAAGTTTTAGTTTAAAATTTTATTTACAGGTCGGCTCTTAGCCTCCGGATCAGATGATACAAATGTTATTGTATGGGATTGGGCGAAAAAAACTGCCTTGCAAACTATCAAAACGGGCCATAAATCCAATGTTTTCCAAAGCAAGTTTCTATATCTAAACGCTCAAAGCCAAATTAATATTGCCACTTGTGCTAGAGATGGTCAGGTATGTATATTAATCACATTAATAAATAAATAATCGACTAAAAATAGGAAAACTATATATAAATGAACAGTAAGTACATATTAGAAAGTAGCGATTAATCGTCGTTACACTCGGGTGCGTCCCTAGATACGACTTTGTTCACAATTTTAAGGGTTTTAATTTTTTTGCACAGACCCTTATTTCTTTTTCTAAAATAAAATTAGAGCCTAAGTTATTCCTCATAATATCAGCTATCTGCCAGTGACAGTCACGTCAAAATCGGTCCAGCCGTTTCGGAGGTTAGCCAGAACAAACAGATATACTGACAGACAGACAAAGATTTTAAAAATTGTGTTTTTCTTATAAGTACCGTATATAATTCTATATGCATTTTGTTAAATGTCATTATTTTAACATTACAAACAGACACTTCACTTTTATTTATCTGTATATATTATTGAGATCTCGTTAATCGTTATGTCCGGATATTTACACTTGTGTTAGTAGTTCGAGTGAGGTGTAGTATAAGGCGTGCGTACACAGGTGCGGCTGCTGTCGATCCCGCCGAGCGGCGCGGCGGCGGCGCACACGCGGCGGCTGGCGGCGCACGCGCGCGCCGCGCACAAGCTGCACGTGTGCGGCGCCGAGCCGCACCTCGTGCTGTCCGCCGGCGAGGACGGCCTCGTGCTGTGCGCCGACGTGCGCGCCGAGCGCGCCGCCAAGTATACACACACACTAACTAGTTGTCATACGAGATCTTTCATGCTCACTGATAAGGTTTGATGGGAAACTGTGATGGTCACGGATATACTGACCCATATAAGTAACGTTTGTATATAGTCGCACCATGACGTTTGTAAATCGAATAGTTGTACCAGTAAAAAAAACAGTACCAAAATAGCGAGAATAATTTTACACTAAGTAAAAATAGTAATATCATATGTTACATTATAAAAGCGTAGTCGTCACATATTTGGGCACTTCACACATACGACAACACAAAAGTGTGTAGTGCAGTGAACAAAAAACGTGTGAGCGTTTATAATAAGACAAACGACCCCAAAGGACTGACAAAATGTATGCTCAGGGTTAATGCTGATATCTATACACTCGCGTTATGATCATACTCACAAACAATCAACCTATCGTCGTCTATTACTAAACGAAGGCCTCTTCCGATGAGCGCCAACCATCCCGGTTCTAGGCATCCCTTGTACCTAAATAAATGTTAATATCCTTAAACCTACTAATATTATATTATATGCGAAAATTAGTGAGGATGTATGGATGTTTGTTACTCTTTCACGCAAAAAGTACTGAATGGATTTTAATGAATTTTTACAATAATATAGCTCATACTTCAGAATACTACATACGCTACTTTTGATCCCCTAAAGAGGCACGTTTCTCGTGGATAGATTTGTTTTTGTCTCTCTCTCCCAAAGTTTCGTAATGTATGAGACTTAGAGATGTCTTTACAGGTATTCTAAACTCATAGAATGTCTATAAAGACACGTAATAAAGACGTGTACGCAGGCTGGTGCACGTGAAGAGCTCGGAGCACGGCGGCAGCATCGCGCTGTACAGCGTGGCGGCGCACCCGCGGCGCCCCACGAGCTGCTGCTGGCGGGCCGCGACCGCGCCGTGCGCGTGTACGACTCGCGCCGCGCCGCCGCGCCGCTCGCGCTCTACCGCCCCAACCACTTCCGCGACAAGGTCACCGAGCCAGTCCACACCATCCAACATCAGTTTCACCAGCCTACTTTTTATAATATAAACTGCTTCTCCATACAAAATTTCATCCCCATTTTCACCCCCTTGAGGGATGATTTCCGGGATAAAACTATTTCAATCGCTCACTTTTCATATCATTTGATTTAAAAAAAAACTTATTTTGTTAAAAAAAATTCTTTTAATTTTCTTCTATACAAAGCTTATCCTGAACATAAATACAAAAAAAAATTTCGAATTTGGTGCAGTTGATCGGTTCATTTTTATTTATATATGTAGATATTTATTATTTATCTATAACATGTAACAATTTACCTTGCACTGTTTAATATACATAATTTGGCTTTGTTGGTCTTTGAACAGAATTTAAAATAGAAGGGGAGCCCAAGAGGGGATTTTCTGTAGTTACTCGAGCACGGCAGATTAACATAAAAGAGGTTAAAAAGTAGTACCTATATATATATATATATATATATATATATATATAGGTACTACTTTGTTGCATCTAGGTTTGCACCCAAGCGAAGCAAGGATAACTCGCTAGTTTTACGGGCGGGATTATAAAGGGCGAGTCCTGAGCGACCGAGCTTCGCTCTTAGTTTTTCGGAAAAGATATTAAAATTGCGTTATTTCAGAAAATACACCTCTATATACGTAAACGAAAAAAAAACAAAACTTTATCTAAACACAAAATTTATACCAAATCGTTAGAGCCGTTTCCGAGATACACGAAATAAATTTATATGCACACTAGCGACTCACCCTCGCGTCGCTCGGGTTCGTCCTTAGCTTGCTTCCCAATATAGACTTTCATCCCCATTTTTACCATCTTTAGGGATGATTTCCGGGATCAAAAGTGTCCTATGTCCTTCCCAGGGTCTAAAACTATTATCTTACCAAATTTCATCTAAATCGGTTCTATAGATCCAGAGATTATCCCCTACAACGTCACAAACTCACAAGTTTACCTCTTTATAATATTAGTATAGATTATACAAGAATAGCTCATTTAATATTATAAGATATAATTATACTCTCTTACCACAGAGCTCAGAGCCGTCTCGCAAGGTGCGCTTGACGATGCACCTCACGTGCGCGGTGTACAACCACGACGGCTCCGAGATACTCGGCTCCTACAACGACGAGGACATATACCTGTTTGATACCAAAAATGACATTTTGGATGAGTGAGTATTGTTTATTATTACTTCAGTCTACAAAAAAAAAGTCTTTGGCTTTATGTTATACAGCGACACACTCATGTTATACAAATATATATTATTGTTTATACAAAAATACTAAAATTGCGATTAAGAAATGGGGGGTGGAGGTAGAAGGGTAAAAATACTTTACGACCTATTCTCATACTAACCAAATATACAAAAAAATATCATTAAAATCATCTTAAAGATATTAGATAATATCATTAGAATATTAGATTAGATAATATGTTGACAAAAACAGCCATTTTAGGTATAAATTGAATTTAATATTGTCTTGTTGACCAATTTTCGATAGACATTATTCTCTCCAATATCTATGCCTTCAGTATTATGGTGTGCTAGGCCGGTTAGATTGTAACTTTTTATTCTTATTTACCTTGTAGCATATTACTTGTTTTCTTCGATTATTAGTTTTAACATTCTGAAAGTACTTACAGAATTTCATGATGTGTACATTTTGAATTATGTACTCAACAAATTGGCAATTTAAACCTTTTTTTAATATTAGACTACCCGCTCAATTCAATAGTCCCATTAAAATCTGTTCAGTAATTAAAAAATTAATATCAATATATATTACATATTCTTCATTGGCAAACAACTTTGAAATTTTGCACAAAAGTTTCTTATATGCCTTGTTAAGTAAGTTTTTTTGATGGATATTAGAAAACACACTTAAATAGGGAATGAAAACTATTTTTTTTTAATTTTGAAGTTATAAATATAGAAATTGTCAAGTTTTTGCATATATTGTCTTGGGGAAATAGATTTGTGTATATATGATGTTTTTATAATTATTTTCAGGAATGCTAGTGATGAAAAAGACGGCTACACGCACCGATACAGCGGCCATTGTAATAGTGCTACGTTTAAGGTATGGCTGATAATATTTTTATTTTATTATTTATTAAAGAAACACACAGTACAATATTAAAATAATAATAAATAATTATAACATGACAAATAAACTGATTTCCATTTATGTATACAGATAAATAAAACTGAAGTGTCTGTTTGTAATGTCGAAATAAAAGCTTTTTACAAAATGCACATAATATTATATATGGTACTTATTAGAAAACATTTTTTCTTTTAATTTTTGTCTATCTGTCTGTTCCGGCTAATCTCCGAAATGGGTGGACTGATTTTCAAGGGACTTCACTAGCGGATAGCTGATGATGTAAAGAATAATTTAGGCTACTTTTATTTTCTAATACAAATACGAAGCAGAGAACGATATTTTAAATAAAACTATCTTTTCGGATTACTAGTCTAGGCACTGTCTATAACAAGTATATAACGCCTTTGAGACGTCTATAACCTCAGTCTCTCCCGTGACCATGATTGCTTTAAAGCATTCGAAACGTCGGGAACCAAAAATGAAAATTCATCCGCGGAAAAATCCGAAAAGATAGTTTTATTTAAAATGTCAAATATTCGCGTAAATCTAAGAAAGTATCAGAGAACGAATATTATATTAATCAATAAATGCGAAAGCTTGTTAGTGAATCAGTTTGTTTTAATTTCATTGCGCTCTGTCGTATTGAAATGATGTTTATATTTAGAATTTATAGGCTATTTTTTATCAACGTACCTACTACGAGTCCGGAACTGAGTAAAGCCGCGTTTACACGATCAAACTCTACTTTGACAAGTTGCGTCAAGTTTTGATGACTACTTTGACGCAACTTTGCTTATGTAAACCCAACAATCAAAGCGCACTTTGATGTGGACGTTAATCATAGTCCCTCCACCACCGCGGACACGCCGGGGTATCAGTTAACAATAGATTTCTTTTGTCCGATTTCACTAACATCCCTTATGCTACCACCTACGGTATGGGATCCATAGCTTAAAAGTTCACCTAAATTAAATTTCGTTTTACCATCGTCAGAGCCCGTATTTCTAGTACCTATATTTAGGTGGTATTTTAACATTTAGGTGACCCCTAACTGTCGGTGAAACAGAAACTGTCCCCTAACAGCCCCCTAACCATGCTTAGGGGATCCCTCAAACTTAGGTGACGTTGGTGATATCGGCCATTAGAGTTTTAATTAATTTTTTTGAAATTTACCTGGAGGTGTTAATGGACTAGGACCGTGTTCTACTTTTCTCAAAGCCTGCTTTGACGAAGTAGTTTTGATAATTATTTTGATCGTGTAAACAAGCAATCAAAACGCACTCTGACGTTGGCGTATGTAGGTGCTAAGCGTTATCAAAGTGATTCGTGTCAAAGCTTTTTATCAAAGCAGACAGTGAGCGTGTCAACTGGTGTCCAAGTAAACTTTGATCAAAGGTAGTTTGTCAAAGTAGACTTTGAGCGTGTCAACGCAGCTTTAAAAACTTGTCTGACGACACGTTTGGCTCAGTTGGTAGTGACCCTACTTGCTGTTCCAGCGGTTGCGGGTTCGAGTCCCGCTGGGGGCATTCATTTGTGTGATGAGCACGGATGTTGGTTCTCCAGTCATGGGTGTTTATATTTATAATATGTATGTATTTAAGGTTATATATATGTAGTGTATCAACTATCTGGTATCCATAACACAAGCCTCGTAGCTTACCATGGAACTAGATGGTGCTGTGTGTTAATGTCCCAACATTTATTTATTATTATTATTTATTATTTGTCTGATCAAATTTAGCCTGCTCTTTTACCATCATAGGACTTAAAATGTTTGTTAATTTTCTGTGTACTTAAATGGTATTTACATAATATATTTAATTGTATATAAGCACACTTGCAAGCAAAGAACCAGTTTTATCTTTCTTAAGTCTTGACTTTCTATAATAACATGGTTACTAAATTATTAATAAAAAAAATATTGAAATATAATAATTATGTGTTTTTTTTAATTAATGGTATGCGAAAGAATGTGTAAATAAATAAATATACTCCTTTTTTATTATGTTAAGTTAAAGTAGGTATACTATTTATTCATTAACAAAAATGGCAACGCGAATAATTTTAATTAATAGGACGAGTGAAAAAAAACCAATTTCTTTCCAAAGAATATAATTGTAACTGAAAATGGACAATAATCTTATATATAAGGTGTTTTTCTTTGCATATCCCATAAATATTATAAATGCGAAAGTCTGGATGGATGAATGTTTGTTACTCGATCACGACAGAACGGCTGAACGGGTGGGTCTAGATGAAATATGGCACGGAGATAGGTTATAGTTTGGAATAGTATATAGGTTACTTTTTATCCCGGAAAAAATGTACAGTTCCCGTGGGATAGATTTGTTTTTGTTTTTCACTAGGGATAAACCCGCGCGATGCGAGTTCGAGTCTCTAGTGTATCATAAAATGGAAATTGTGTAATAGAATTCTTCTGATTTAATAACTTGTTTTTTTTTCAACATTTATATCAATTTAATAACTGTTTTATATATTTTTTAAAGGGTGTCGCGTTCTTCGGGCCCAAGAGCCAGTACATCGTGTCGGGGTCGGACTGCTCCTATATTTATATGTGGGAGAAGGAGTCTGAGGCCATCGTGCAGTGGATGGAGGGAGATGACAAAGGCGTTGTGAGTTATTTGTATCTTTTTTTTAAATAAAACTATATTTTATTCACGGTAGAGATCATGACTATGATTGCTGTATTTGAAATGTCCAGAACCAAAAATCAAATAACATTGTGAAAAAATTCGAAAAAATAGTTTTATTTAGAAATGTCAAATATTCGTGTAAATCTAAGAAAGTATTGTATCTTTTTATTGGAATGCTTAGAATATATTTCTTTGTAAAGAGGTTTTGGCCGTTTTGGGACCCGGATTTTTTTTTGCCATGTTTTGACATGATTTGCCCACACTAAGTCATGATGCCATACAAATTTGCCCAAACTCCCTTGGTTAAGTCCAAGTCAGTTGGTATTCTGAAGGTTGTAGCCAAATCATTTGCGTCATGTGTTTGTGTCTTGTGATGTGCTTATGTAAATCTATATATTGAAAAAATGATTAATGTTTTGTAGCTTTTCTGAGTTTTAACAATAAATAAAATATGCTGTAACTTTTTTGCTGTATTGTTTTTAAGATAAAGCAATAATAAAAAAATCACACCTTTTTAATATAAAATAGTCCTTTCGAGGTGCTTGTAACAAATCTAATTGAATAAAGTTAATTTCATTTTAAAACCAATAAAAATTTAATGTTTTCAAAAAAATTAACGAATGGCCTGTTTTTTTTTAAATTAAACAAACATACCAACAATCATCCTATTTTCAAAATTACATAGAAACTCTTTGGATATTACTATAAATATGCGTGATACATTGTTCCAGGTCAACTGTATAGAAACACATCCACGGTTCCCCGTGATGGCAACTAGTGGACTCGACAAGGACGTCAAGATATGGATACCGAAGAGAGAGGCGGACCCCACTTTCGCTGGCATGGAAAAGGTAATAGAAAAACTGATCTACACTAATATTATAACGAGGAAATATTTGTATTTTTGTATGTTTGTAACAAATATACTCAATAACTATTGGGATGATTTAGATGTGATAAGAATATAGTTTGAGAGAGGGTGAGTCGCTCGTATATAAATTAGAACTACTTTACAATGTATATTTCCGCTATTAAAAGTAACTAAAGACAATAAAAACGACCATATTAATTACTAAAATTTACTTCAAAATGTAATTTATGTGAAATACATAAATAACTATGATTCTAATATATGAAATATAAACGCGGCGACTCTGTGTTTCGCACATTTCTTTAATTTTGTCTACTTTTGAAGGTCTGAAATGTCAACAAAATTCAAAACAGTGATTTAAATGTTCACAATTTCATTAAAAAAAAACTATTCTAATAACTTACCAATAACAATTCCAGGTGGTGAGAGACAACAGCGAGCCAAGTCCCTTGTTCAACGATTTTTTACCTACACTCTATAGCACGTACCGCGGCACCAACAGAATGTTTGCAGACGACGTACCCGCCTACGGGAACATCGAGTTCGACGGAAACGTCTGCACCGCCTTCTAGAACACTCCATAACAGTTACGGCCTATACACATACGATACATACGAACGAAAGCAATTTTTTTTTAATTTATCAAAGCAAAGATGGAGTTTATGAAACGTGTGTATAAGTCCTTTTAAAAGTATCAGCACAGAATGCAGAATACAGTTAAAATGTCGTCGTGTGTATAGGCTGTTAGGTATTGATACTACATTTTAATCTTTAACGTATTATTTTGACTACTGTCTATATCTAACGAACTAAACTCTTGAAATGTCCTTATTGAAATAAAATTTCAATTAGACAAGTTGGCTTTCTACAATCAATATCGCTAATAATGAAGTATAACATGATTTATATTTATATTCGTAGTCACGTGTTATTTCTATGTATTTTTTTAAGTGAAAACTTCTATAGGCAGGTTTGGATGGGGAATAAATTCTTGTAAGTCGTCATCGACATGGTCACGTGACGTGTTAACGCTAACACAAATGTAAACAGTTTTAATTTAAGATTAAACAATTAATTTGAATATCCAAAAATAACAATTGTTTGTTTATAGTTTTAAGTTTTCACTGCTGTTGGCAGTCCTCATTACTGACTGCTCTTTTTATATCTTTTTTTTTTTATTTTAATAGTAAAAGATTTTGTCTTGAACGTCAAATGCCTGTAAAATAGCAAGACGAGACAATATGACATTGCTATAGAAAAGAAAAAAAAATTATATGGAAAGGATATATTTAATTCAATCATAACGTGGTTATGCCAATACAGCTTTAGTTTTCTACTATCGATACTGATTGTAGAAAGTCAACTTGTCTTGGGTGGGTAGTTTTAAATTGGTCATTACATGTCATTTTTTTTAAATATTTTGAAAGTCTTCTAAAGCATCTAAGCAAAGAAATAACTTTTTTTTTTTAGATATCACATGTACATTATCAATGTTATATTTATGTATTTTAAATTTTATAATGTTATAGAGACATGACCAATATTACTATTTGAAAAAGAGGCACTGATAAAACGAAAGATTTAATTTTTTTATCATTTCATGTTTTTAACTTCGAAAAATAATTACTTGTCCTAATTAATTAAACTTTTAAGTTTTAATTAGTAATTAAATTATCGAATATAATGTTATTGAATAAGTCGGAACGTCTTAAAGTGAAGAAGAATAGCACAGTGTTACTTTTTATCCCGGAAAAATATACAGTTCTCATGAGATAGATTTGTGTTTGGCGAAGGTGAGTAGCTAGTGTCAAATAATGTAAAATTCTGAATATTTATAGTTGTGATGGTCATGTCTCTATTATATTATTCTTTTAAAAATTCTCTTAACATTAATTTTGATAGTGTTGCCAAAACGTTTTTGTTATTAAATCAATATTTCCAATTTTGTTCATTTTTGCTCTGTTGTTTTGAATTTTAAATTTTTCTGATTATTTGATTGTATAAATATTTATCTGTGCATTAATATTGAGCTGCAGTTGTCCGTGTATTACCACTTCACTGTTCAATACACAATTCTAAAAACAATTACTTGTCTATATATTTATCACATTTGTATATAAATTAACCACTAAGAAAATAGCTAGTTAAATAACTCATTAGGTATTAGAGTGCTTTTCACTAGTATAATTTTTACAAAGTACATACAAAGTCCTTATGTTCAGTGAAAGATTTTTCATATCCTTAACTTTCAAACAGGTGGCTGGAAGCGAATAAACGTAAATAAATACTTGAAAAGGATTAATGTTTACTAAAATTTATTTAAATTCTGTTTCTTTTTTTCCTTAAATATTATAATTGTTTATAATAACTGCTTATAATTTCATCTAATTTAAAAAGTTGTAATATATGTTCTAGATTTATGAATATGTGTTAGATGAAATAATATTAAATTAAAATATTCATTTGAAATCACAATATGATTTTCTTATTTTTTGCTATGTGTATAATTTTAGTAAACGGAAATAAGTAGGTGTGAATATAATAATTCTTTCTGATTAGAAAAAATATATAGTAAATATACTCTTAATGAGCCGTCGCAGATAATAGCTGCCATTGTTTGTTTTTTTTTTCAGAAAAAAAAAACTGCACTGAATGTCAAATATTGTATGCGTGTACTTTGTATAATTGTTGTTTTATACATATACATACATATATTAGTAGTTAGTCCTTCCATACTATACTAATCTTGTTTAATAAGTATAATTTGAAAAAATAGCTAAATGGATTTTGATTAGATTGCTATTGTTGTAAAATTTTGTTTTGAATTAACCAAAGCAAAGATTGTTATTTGAAGACAAAGCAGCGACTGTCGTTTTCCTATTCAGTCGCAAAATACGAATGTGGAACATCTTATGCCTGTGATATGTTTATTTGTGAAGTATTTGAATTTTAGATAGAGTAAGGCACTAAGCCATTTTGCATAATAGGTTTTTAGATTCAAAAATTGTTATAACAATTACCTATCGGATGTGTTACTGTGATTCATAAAACTAACATTTTGTATTAGAGGCATTAAGATTACCAGATTTCTTTTTAATTAAAACTTCGACTCCAAACCATGAATCTTATGGTGAAAATAAGCAGACGCGTCTTATTTATTATTCCCATAAGTGATAATTATTTTCTTCTGAAATATTCAAAACAAAAATCACTTTTCAATGATTTTGACAATTAATTTCATTGTTATGTGGGTCTAAGAAGACTAGTTTGTTTTTAATAGCTTAAATTTAATATTAGATATTGTTCGCTATTAATGTGCAAAAATGTAAAATATAAATATAGTAAAATAATATTGAAATTTCATCCTTGTTTTACTGTTGTAGACCTTATCTAATAAACAAGAATCACATTCCTAAGTCCAATAACATTACTAGCATAAAACGATAATATACTTTAAAATTTAAATACCTAAAAGAAGCTGTTGATGATTCTGCGACGAAAGTGTAATTAGTGATTAATTGATAGTACTTCTGGTTAATGATATTTAAATTTTCATAATAATCCGTAAACGGATTAATTATGAACTCGTTTGTCTTGGTGACATAAATAATACTTGTATTTATTTTAATATAAAACTGAAAAATAACAAATAATCAAAGCATTATTTTTAATTTCCAATAATACAACTTCGAAATTAGGTTTCCCGCTTCTTTTGACATCAATCTGCTACGCGTAGTATTGAATGTTGTTTAATTCACAATACCGGAAGTCAAAACACATACCAACAATATTTAATAAAGAGATTCTTATACTATTGTAATAATCATTAAAATAAGAGCTTAAATAAAATTATTATAAATATAACGAAATTAAAAAAATATATTTATAGTTATTCCTTACATCGAAAAAATATATTAACTGTTACGACCCACATGCTTCCTATTGTTTGGTTAATGGCCGCCATGATCGACCAATGAGAAGCGAGGCGTGTGGAAGCCCGCGCCATCTTCGTTTTCAAACTCATCTCCATCGCGCCCGCCCGCTCACTCGATCAGTCAGTCGCGCGTCGGTTTAGGCCAGCCGTATACCTAACTTGTCTATTTCTAGTAATTAACACAAAAATCAGAAAAATCATGAGCTCCAATGAAAATAACAGTGAAGTGGCAGTAGACAAGGTGGGCGATGAGAAGTCTGGAGACGCTAAAAGTGACCTAAAAGGAGCCAAAAGGGCAGCGGAGGTGAGTGCACATGTCAAATTGTATGTATTCATTTTAGACGCTCGCCATTTTATTGAACATTGTTATATGGACCACATTTCGATATCGCACTTTAGTTTAACACCACGTGCTAGTAGCTAACTCTGATTTGCCGCTATAATCTCCAGCACCGAAGCCGGCGTATTTTTGGACTTCTAGTTCTATAATATTAACGCGTGAGGCAATCGATGAGTCAGACATTTAATATCTCATTATGCCTTACGTAGTGAAAATATAATATGTATGATTTTCAAGCAACTCAAGTAGTACATTTGGCGGTTCTGAGTTTTGTTTACTCGTTTTCGATACAGAGGCATGACCTTGGCAGAAAAAAAACATGGCGCGGGAACGTATGCTTGAGTCTGGTTCATATGTACTGTATTATTATAAACCCTGTACGTTGCTGAAAACTTAATTACGTATTTATTATTGATTTTATTGCGTATCATTAGCTATTTTTAACTTGCTATGTTACCCACTTTACATTCATAGTAGCGTGACGCTACACAGTAACATGGCCGGCGCGTGAATGTCAATGTAGTCACTAGCATCAAACAATAATTAGACTAGACAAAGCATTTTAATCTTGCTCATTGTTCATTTGTAATGTATGCACAACTAAGCAGATTTATAAGTTAAATGCAATATTATATTCTATTTACGCTTTCTCTGCGCTGAAGTAGTCAATGACCCGGCTTTTATTTGTATGTAGTAATTTTTCAAGTTAATTTATTACACTCTGTGATATCGCTACGAATTAACAGCATATGTAACAAACATAATTGCTTATACCAAACTCTAAACGTTAAAAAACAAAAATGTTTACATTTTAGATAAAATAATGCTAAATAATTGTGATATTTGCTGTCTCTTTCGTCACAGCGTAACCTAAATTTACGCTAACGAACGCGTATCAAACATAACCTCAATGGTCTTTAGAATTACTAAAATCTTTAAGAATATTGTACCAAGTGATTATTTATAGTAATTTCATATAGTATCGCTTGGTATTTAGTTGTCGTTTTGGCGGTTTAAAAAAGTTCGACGTCACCGGTCTTGTTATGCGCATTGACCGCCATCCGCTTTGTCAGGGGAAAATCGGCCGTACGATGCCGGCCCCACTAGCGTGTCTTTCCCCCATACTAACATAACCCACGCTTCTTTATTGTTAGTTGTTACGAATCCTTGTCACCTGCGTTTCATTATCTTGTACGTAAGCTACGCCGCATTTATCAATTAAATTACTCGCAAGCTATACTCTCTTAGTTGAACGCATTTTATTTTTTATTACCAAAACAAAAACAAATTTTACTTTTTATCATTGCTAGGTCTTACATAAGTGGAATGTTTAAATTCGCACTTTGCATAATATTATCTGTATAATATTTTATTTGTTTACTTTATGATGTTTAATGTTTTAAAAATTTCCTTAGGAAAAGACAACAGAAGCGAAAAAGGCGCGAAAGGAAGAAAATGGCGGCGGCGGGGAAGACGATGCTCACAGCGACGAAGAGGATTTGGAGAGTTTTGAAGTCATAGGCGAGGGTGAGGAAGACGACGACGAGGAGGTAGAGGGAGAGGAGGGCGAGGAAGACGAAGAAGAATTTGAAGAAGGAGAGGACGATCTCGAAGGTAATTCTTTCGCGGAAAAATATGCGGTCCATTTATTTACACAAACTTCGATGTTTTTTATGAAATCTTTATAATATTATGTTAATTTTGCATTCATAATATAATTGCTATCTTATCTACGGCACTACGTTGACATTTTTAATAAATAACAGTCAAATTAATAGCAGTTAATCAGCCATTTCGTAATACAATAATATAAAAACTACGACTTCTTGTTCAATATTGTTTTAAAAAAAAGAAAACGTTCATATAGTTTTATAATAAAGGCGCCAGATTGAAACAAGCGCCATATACTCTCCATACATGTCGGTTTTTTAAATTAAATGCTGTATGTGCTATGTTCTAAAATGATTCACATTATACCATACGTATTACCAAGTAAAATAAAAAAAAGCACTAAAAATATTTTCATTTACATAAATTTCCCATGAAATAATAGAATTCCTAAAGACATTTTTATTACCGGTTTTTAATTGTCAATATACAGTTAGTAAGTGTGCTTTTCCTGCCCTTTCTCTATAACTTTAGACACCGGTAGTCTGTAATACGAGTAAGCACGTTTTCGCCGTCATTGTTATGTTCAACGTATAAAAGGTCGTTGAAACCTTACAAATTGCTAGTACATATTCGTTCGTGTTCGGTTTTATGGTTGGAAATAACTTTTATGGCATTAATTATTTCAACACAATAGTTGCATCTACGAAAGTTACGAGTTAATATCGTACGTCTCATATTATAGAACTAACAATTATTAAATTGGGTAATTATTTTTTTATTTAATCGATACTCTTATTGCAGACGAGGACGTAGAAGAGGAATTACTAGCCGACGAGGAAGAGGATGACGCGTAATACGCCCGTGCTCTTTATAAGGACAATGTCACAGTGAAGTAATATAGTGTGTGTGACGCCCTGGCGGCCGCGCTTCGCCCCAACTGCCCGCAATCGCGCTAGTTGAGAACACGCGTGGCCACTCTCCCACCTTAACGGGTGCACTTATATTTGAATGACAACGTAATTAAGTCTAATCAGATGAAGATTAAATTTTTTAATCATTTAAGTTTGGTACTGATGCTGTATCAATTTTTCGAGCAACAATTTATTTTTAAGACTTAGTAGAATACTGTTGAATTTTGTCATGAAATGTACAAATGTGTTTTCGAAAGTAAACTTTGTTTCTAAGTGAAAATCCACTCTGTATTTAGGTTAACCTTTACTATATGCCCGAATGGTGAAGTTGTGATATTTTTCTATATACAGTAGTATAATTCACATTGTAATGAAATATACACATAACCCGGCACGGCTGTATTAATTAATAATATAGAATAAGCGAGTCGCAAAGCTCAATTCTTCATTTTCCTGTTGTTGATGAGAGTTTGTGTGTACATATTTAGTGTAAGGGAAGCCTGAGAGTTTAAACTCAGTCATGTAAAAAATAGTGTGATTAAAGTATTCATGAAACACTCTGTTATGTTCAATAAATAAATAAATAGCGGTTCGCCCCTGAAAGCTTCCACTGCTTCGTCGATTCCTTAACTCCTTTCGCAAAGGAAATATTTTTTAGCCAGAGGCTTTAGACCGAGAAGAATAAACTCGAGGAGTTCGGTGCCGACGTCGGAGTGTCTCGCTAGTTTTAGCGGTCGCCTGCAAAACGTATTTGTTGCAAATATAAGAAAAACATCACAATTTTGCCATTATCTCTAAGCACATCGCGCGCCCACCGCCCGCTCCCCTTACGACTGATAAAGAGCTCGTCGGTTGTCGCCGCGCGATAGCGGAACACCTTAAACCTGCCTGTATTTTTGTCCATAATGTTAATTAGGATAGACCCCGCAGTTCGATATTTCATCTTTCGAGGTGCGATATAAGAGATTTCTAGGTTAAAGAGAATTAGTACGTAGGTCGGTATATTTCGACGAAGGGACGCGTGGGGAGTGCGGCGAGGCCGGCGGGGAGGGCGAGCGGCGTCGGCTCCCTCCCGCGAGCGCGTGGCCTCGTTCGATTGCCGCCCGCCGGCCCTCCTCTCCCCGCGCTCCCATCGCGCCTCACCGAGCGACGGCCACGCCGCGCCTCGTGCGTGGAAAAGTACACTCGCACGCGATACATTGCTGCCCGGCCAGGCAGAGTCGGCGGTGCATCCGGCCGCCGCCTGTACTCTGTCGGCCGATTCAACAAATACACGTGAATGACTATATTTTTTTACTTCACCCGGAGCTCGTGTGAGACGGTCGAGTCGTAACAGCATTTAGCTAAATTCTCATCAATACCGAATACTTGACCTTATTTGATTAGGATTGACATTGAAATAAAATTTAATTTTAAATCACCTTATTAATTGTATTATCTCGCCTTTCGTTTATGGTAAGAATGAACTGTCGCATATTGTGTACGATGTACGACTTATGTGAATACCTTAGTACGATTTTATTTATTTGTGATGTTGAACACTATTGATTTTCTACGATGGACGAAATGTAAATACAACCGATTTTAAGTAAAACGTTATTTTGTTTAAGCTTATTTATTTGTCCCTGTATGAGATGGGTTTGGTACGACTCAATTGCCAAATTCACTATAATAATGGAAATAAAGATAGCGTTTTAAATATAAATTGCGCCACTTGTTCAATGATGATAGGCAGCGTCCACATTGGATAAGATATAAAAGATTATTTCAAGAAAAAATACTTTCCTAGTATTGGAGCAAGTGAAGAGTAGCTTCACATTTATTTTTCCGAAAAACTCGAAGAATAATAATATAAATAAGAATAATGGTCCAAAAATAAGTTTTTAATGAAATGCATCTTTGTAGGTACCTAATTATGTGACCAAAGATTCCAGAATCATAGTATATTACCTAAGCACCGTGTGAGTTGGCCTCTAATTTCCGCCATCTTTGATCAACTCTCGTCTCATTAATTTATACACATACGCTTGTCACTACCTACCGGAATGTTTACACGTCTATTTAACTACGCTAGATTTACGAAGATTTTATTAAATAAGTATATACATATGACAAAATTCTTCAATTAGAAAATCTAACAAACATTTGAGGTTACAACAAAATGGAATAATATCCGCATAACTTCAAAACCAAAGTAAAATTAGAATTAAGTAAATTATGAATGTGCGCTTGAAACGTAGGTACCTAGATATGCATGACGCTTATTCGAGCACGTAGTGACATCTTGCGAATACATTTTCTATTTAGTTTTTAAAGTTCACGATAGGTGTCGCTATGAGAAGTTTTATTATCTGTTTCGTTACGCCAAGAATACGCGCCAATTATAAATAAAGATATTTATTTTTGCTTTATAAATTTACTGGTTGTATAAAAATGAGTCTTACTTTTGAGTTTGGCACAAATTTATTAAAAGTGTATCCTAAATTAAAAATCGTACCTGATATGTATAAAAATAAGAAGTTTGGTTACCTGAGGGGATAAATACGTAGCTGTTTCCATACAATATTTCTATTTGTATTTAGTATGAATGACCTGAGGATAAATTGCAATGTAATTAATGAAATACCTACATGAAGTTAAAAAAAATAGTAAATCCTTATAATAAAGAAAGAACCAACATATAAAAGAGGTAGGTATGTTTTGAAAATTAGGATTATACTGTTTACATTTGTTCAACACTATACGGACACTGATGGAAATCGAGGATTTGAACTACCTACTGGATTCAGTAATTGAACTTGTTTAGTTTCTGATTGCCCGGTGCAGTGCAGAGGCAGACAAAATACAAATAATACCAGTTGCAAACAAGACGTGAATAGGGTACGACGTACTCTCTGTCATAGCAAATCGTATATCACGCGTAATTCATAATAAACACAAATCTTTGTCCTTTTAAAGTGCGCATCTGTTCTATATTACAACAAAATATTATTGTTAGTGGCGATACATTAGTGATAAAATGTGACTGAAACTGGAGTCTTTTTAGAGTATTTTTGTTCTGTGTATTCATATTTTTGGAGAAAAAGTGATTGGTCAAATTTCAAGGTAAACGCAACAAAGATATTTACATGTTGTATTTCTTATGTATATTATTATTTGGCTTTTGAAATAAACAATATAAACAAAAGAAATATAATTTATAAACATTGTACACTTATAAAAACAAATCGTTTTTATCAGATACCGGCTAAAGGAAAGTGGAAGATAAGGGTTTTCTTTTCACAGTTCTCATTTTTAGGCGAATTTCGCAAATAATATTATTTTTTAACAAAAATAAAATTATACCTACTCACGATAGTAATGCTGTATCAAATAATAAAATATGTATCATTTACAATTTATACCTCTATATCGAATAGTCAACAGGCTCTTCATGTGCCTTCTGTTTATTAAGTACTGTATAGATATATCATATAGTTATCCATACTAATATTATAAATGTGAAAGTGTGTTTGTTTGTTGTGTGTCCTTCTTTCACGTCGAAACGGACTAACGGATTGGCATGTTTTTTTTGTGTGGAGATAGTTGGAGGGCTGGAGAGTGACATAGGCTACTTTGGCTTTTATCGCGGAAGATTACTTAATTCCCACGAGAAAACACGTGATAATACTATCCAAAAAATACTATAAATAATAAATAAAATACTATTCAGTAAAATTAAATAAGTACTTGTCTTAGCATTTTTTTTAAATTCATCCTATAAGGGGGTAAAATATGGGATGAAAGTTTGTATGAAACTACCTTTTTAGAGATTTTTTTGTAGTTTTAGCGCGAGCGAAGCCGCGGGTCCTGATAGTAATTTATAAATGTCTAACTTTATTTTAAAAAGTTTTAAAAGTATTAAATAATATTATTTTTTTATCTAGATATCCGAATTATGAATTATGAGGTATTATTTATAATTATTATATATTTTCTTTATAATTTATTAGGAAGGCACCATATAATTATATCAATATAGTGATATATTGTTGTAAATTACAACTTGTAAAGTGATACGTTTAAATTTTTATATAGTCCTAATTGTTACTAAGATTAAAGGTACTTATACAATTTACTAGCTGTATTATAATGAATTGGTTTTAACTTTTAAATATGTAGATTACACTAAAATGTGATTTTTTATTTTGTCAGTTTTAAAATAGGCTAAAGGGTAACGTGCCAAGATTTTATTGTTTTTAATTTTGTAATCACTTAAATCATTAAATATTCTTGTTTGACAACATTTAAGGTAGTAAATTTATAATTTTATGAAACGAGGACACGAAGCTAACTTGCTCATTGCTACATCTTTGCTAAAGCAATCTGAAATCTAAAATTGTCATCATTCCTTACCTTTTTTATTCTGAACTAGCGGCTCACCCTCGCTTCGCTCGGGTTCGTCGCTAGGTACGTTTTAAATAGATATAAATAGTTATTAGCCAGCGTTATCCATATTATTTTTTTGTTTTTTTTTTTTTAATAAAGATTAAAACCTTCCGTGGACCTTAAGGAACATACGAAAAAAATATTTAACCGAATTGGTCCAGCCATTCTTGACTTACCTGTGCGCTTACCAACATTCATTATTATTTATATAGATTATTATTTAAATTTTATTTACTATGAAGAATACATTTAAAATTGCTATAAAAGTGTGCATAGGTATTACTAAAGTCAAGGTAATGGCCTTGACACAGTTAAACGTACACAAAATATTTACTAAGGTATAATCGTTAATTTACTATTTTAATGTCAGGATATTTATTGTATCTACACAAAAACCTTTATTCTACTTAGTAGCATTACCACGGTAATATTACATTATATTACCGTGGCATTACCGTGAATCTACTTCAAACGCTACTTCCAATATCTTTTTGGCTAATTTTTCCATCAAAGCAATAAGTTTCCCGTTGAAGGAAGACAGAAGACAAAGGAACAAAAAAAAATCAATAACAAAGAAGATAAATAGGTACCTAAGCAGTCGTCGTTACAAATAAATAAGATCGTTATCAGGATATAAATAATAATGAACATTAAAAATAAATACTTCGGTGTAGGTATATTATTTGCAGAATCGATAAGTCCTAGCACTGTGAAAGTGTAAACCGCACTTGTGAAACTCGGTGCATTCCTCTCGAGTAGGTATAAAACATAAGAACTTATAATCTATAGTATACATATAATAAAATTGTAACTAAGTCGAATCTGTACATTAAATATTTTTTGGAAAATCTAATTGAAATAGGCACTAGGTATTATCGATACAAAGGCCGAATCTGTAGATTTTAGAATTTTTGTCTGTCTGTCTGTCTTTCTGTCTGTCTGTCTGTCTGTCTGTTACCGCATCACAAGAAACCACTGGACAGATTTTGATGAAATTTGGTATGATGCTAGCTGGTTATCCGGGTCAACTTATAGGATACTTTTTACCGCCGGAAAATATCTCATTTCTGAGAAAAAATACAAAAACTGCATTGTAAGAGTACTATACTAATATGTAAAACCTAAGAATATGGTTTTTGGTGAACGCAGGCGGAGCCGCGGGCAATGCCTAGTATATACCTATAAATACCTATACTAATACCATAAATGTATAACGTATTATGTACAGAATATATACTTATTATATTTTCACTATATCTCTTGCGAGGTAGTCAAGGGTATTCATTATTATTAACTACTAGCATGCCCTACAACAGTACAACTCGCCTGTTTTATTTACATAGCGTCAAGTTAGCATTTAGTGTTATAAGTACCTATAAAACTAAATGCTAACTGGAGCGGTTCATATTGTATCTCGACGGCACTATTTACATTAATAAAATGTCAGTGCTAAGACAATGACCTGAAGTTCATTGCCTTCTAGTGCATTGTTGATTTTCCTCTTATTTATAAGCTGAACAGATTTTCCGGAAACGTACAAAAAGTCTAAATAAGATGTCACAACTAATATATTTATTTTTTATTTAATTACTATATTATATAAGTTAATATTTAATTTATTTTATCAGAAATTAAATTTAACCGGCAAATTTATATTCTGCATATTGCTTTTTATACGCCTCATATTACGATAACCGTTTATTTTGATGAATCATATTAATTTAATGAATGACTGAAGTCAGACAAAGCCAGTAGGACGCAAGGACGTGAAGGGTTCCGTTGTCCGTACTATCACAAAATAATATTAGTGTTAGACGTGTTTAGTTTTACCAATAAGGATACACTATGGTGGCACTCTTAGCACAAATATAAAAGTTGGCCAGTTTGCTGGTAAAATTCGCACTGTAAATTTAGTTTATTAGCGGCTAAAACAAAAACAAATCTATCCCACGGGAACCGTACATTTTACCGGGATAAAACGTATTCCAGACTACAATCAATCTGTGTTCCAAACTTCATCCAGATCCGCCATCCAGGCCTGTTTAAGTAACAAACATTCATCCAATTTTTAACATTTATAATATTATAAAGATAAGAGAAAGAACAAAAACACACTAAATATTTTTGTAAATGTCTATTCCCGTCTTACTATCTTTTAGGGATCAAAGGATGAGAAATTTAGAAATATATTAACGCTACGCTTCGGGACCCTAAGTACTTTATTCTATTCATTAAAATATTTATTGCATTACAATTAAAGAAAAAACGAAGCTAAGAACATTTCACCTTGAAAATGTGTGAACAACACTAACAAACATGATTGCACACAAAATTAACATGATTTAGTAACTTACCTACTTACTTAATTTTACTAATTACTCTAGAAACAACAAACCACATACAAATACACTTTAAAGTCAGTTTCCGTACAATGAGGAACGGACGTGCCTAATGATAGCGCTTTCCTACAGACTTGTGTCAAACAAATCACGTTGTACGGAACCAGGCGATTGTCAATGTCAGCTCTGAGAGTGCACGATCGGAATCATGAATTTGTACGTAGATGCGTCATGTTTGATCATTACACTCGTTCTGGTTCATTGTAATAATTCATAATGCAATTAGGGCTCCTGATAGATATGGTAGAATTGTTTTAGGGTTCCGTTCACCCGATGTTTTACATTACTTGCGAGATTTACGAGATATTTTGCCCGAATTTCAGATTGATCAGATCAATAGGAACGGGTTTAGATTAAAGATGATTAGATTGTAAATAATAATTTCTGAGTTTGTTTAGGTTCCTATTTTTTATTAATCATCACTTTTTTCTATATCTTAGCCTGATTTCTGTACTATACTAATAACCCACATATCTACATCTGTTCTAATATTATAAAAAGGTTTTTTTGTTTGTTTGTTTGTATCGAATAGGCTACGAAACTACTGAACCGATGTAGATAAAATCTGCTAAGAAGATAGTTTGAGACCCTGGGAATAACATAGGATAGTTTTTATACCGGAAATCGTCCCTTAAGGGGGTGAAAATGGGGCCGAAGTTTTGATGGGGAAGTAACCTAAGGACGAACCCAAGCGAAGCGAGGGTGAGTTGCTAGTCTATACAGATAAATAAAATTGAAGTGTCTGTTTGTAATGTCTGTTTGTGATGCTTTTTACTAAGTACTTATGGAATTATATACGGAATTTATAAGAAAAACACTATTTTTAAAATTTTTGTCTGTTTGTCTGTCTGTTTGTTCCGGCTGGGCCGATTTTGACGGGACTTTCACTGGCAGGTAGTTGATGTTATAAGGAGTAACTTAGGCTTCTTTTATTTCAGTAAAAGAATTAGGGTTCCGGTCAAAAAAATCAAAATGTATCTAGAGATCGCTTCTCAGCTAGTATTATATAATAAGGTAAATCGTATTGATACAAATTTTATTTCGTATTTTAATAGTTACGAAAGGTACGAAATTGTTTTAAAATTTAGTAAAATATTGTAAAATATAAATTGTACCTATGTATATTTTATATTCATTTCAGATGTCGCGAGTGTTTTGGAGCTGTTTATACATATTATGCTGCGCGTGCGCAGTCAATACACTAAAAGTGGGTGTCGGTATAGCAGATGTCACTGGACCACCCGCAGAAATTGGTTTTGTAAGTTTACCGATAATATAGCCTTTTGTTCTATTATAATTCTAAAACATACATGATACAAGTATATATTTTTACTATAAAATTCATGATTAAATAATACTCGCCGTAGGTAAATTTTATATTCGCGTTGCCCTCCCATAGGAATTATTTGATAGTTTTATATATAGATGTAATAATCATAGTTTTAAAAACAATAAGAACATGCTTATGACTACAATCCCATGTATAGGACTCTTCAAATTGAATGAAATGAGCTTGAACTTTAAAACTTTTACTTATATATCAGCCAACGGAAGATTCCACTATCCAACTCCTGAGTCCTGACTATACTTCATCACATTAGCATGATGATATCAAATTATAATAATATTAATTATTGTGTTGTCGTGCAAAATTTGGACATACAAAGTAACTAATCGATAAAATATATAATTAGAATTGTGATTTCATATTTAGTTACAACCAAAGTTAATAGAATCATATTATAAAGAAGACGATTTATGTACATACACATTACACATATCTCCGTGTTTAAAATGGTATGTATAACTAACTCTCATTTATCTATACTGATATTATAAAGATGTAAAGTTTGTGAGTTTGTGACGTTGTAGGGGGTAATCTCTGGATCTACTAAACCGATTTATATGAAATTTGGTTATAAGATAGTTTGAGACCCTGGGAAGGACATAGGATACCCTTTATAGGATTTTTATCCCGGAAATCATCCCTTAGAAATGAAAATAGGGATGAAAGTTTGTATTGGGGATCAAGCTAGGGACAAACCCGAGCGAATCGAGGGTGAGTCGTTAGTATGTTATAAATATTGGTCAAGAGATTTTTGAATCTTATCTACAGGGATGTAATTATAGGTAGGTAAATTAAAATATTAATAGCTAACATGCACTGATCATGAGAGGAACGGTGTCATGTGTGATACGTAACACGTGGGTACATTGTTAATTGTTAACACTCATGAGAACGTTATGGCGATGTACTATTGTGTTAGTCTGGTTGATACTCGTATTTCATTAAGCACTTTCGTTGCATCAACTTCCGTTAACTGGCTTATGTAGCAGTTTCACAAATAAAGAAAAAACAATTCAGTACCTAATTTTCCACTGTTTGTTGTTTTTTTTTGTTTAGCTATTTGTTTGTTGCTTCATTATAGTTATAGACGAGCTTTAAGTGTTATCAATAAAAATAATTCAATAATTTAGTATGGTACGTTTTGCGGTTAGTATGGAATAGATAGACTATATAATATACTAGCATTGCCCGCGGCTCTGCCCGTGTTCTGATGACCAAAACGCAAATTCTTAGGTTTTACATATTAGTATACTCTTACAATGCAGTTTTTGTATTTTTTCTCAGAATAGAGATATTTTCCCCTAGTAAAAAGTATCCTATATGTTGACCCGGATAACCAGCTATCACCATACCAAATTTCATAAAAATCCCCCTAGTGGTTTTTCTGTGATGTGATAACAAACAGACAGACAGACAAAAATTAGAGATTCGGCCTCTGTATCGATAATAATGTCTATTTCAATAAGATTTTCCAATAAATATTTAATAAGTACAGATAATTAGTACAGATTCGGCCTAATTACAATTTTATTATATGTATAGATGTTATATCATATATGTATAATGTATATAGCTTATTTCCTTCAAACCTTCCTCAAAAAACGGGCTATCTAATGGAAAAAGATTTTTTTAAATCGGATTAGTAAGTAGCTCCTCAAATTTGCGTGTACAAACAAACAAACTAAGCCTCTTAATAATATTAGTTTAAATTATGGTCAAATGTGCACCACTGAGCGAACACCTAGCATATTTAAATTGCCAATAAGGAAACTTTAATGCTAGAGATATTATGTATGTACGAGTAGGTATGTGACCTTATGTGTGAAAAATAAATGCGGCTTACGTTCCGTTTTGCTTATAGGGCTTTAAACCTTCTTATATAATTCCCACAACACGACATACATAATAATAATATATTACTAGCGACTAACCTTCGCTTTGATTTACCTCTACAAAAACAAAAACAAATCTACTCCACATCCATTCAATCTATCACGATCTATTTTTTCGGTATAAAAAGTAGTCCATGTGCTATTCCACTCTAATATATATCTGTGCCTTTCATCCAGACCCGTTAAGCCGTTCTGGCGTGATTGAGTAACAAACATCCAAACATCTAATAAGTTGTTGAAGATGAACAATGAACACCTACCAATATAGATTTCTTATTAAAAATTAATATAGTAATCGTACTAGCTACATAGATAGTAAGATTCTTTACTTGTATTAATTGATGTTTTCAACCGACTTCAAAAAGGAGGAGGTTCTCAATTCGACTGTATTTTTTTTAATGTTTGTTACCTCAGAACTCCGTCATTTATTAACCGATTTGGACAATTTTTGTGTTGTTTGAAAGTGTATACTTCCAGATTGGTCCCATTTAAATTTCACACCAACTTCGAAAATATTTGATTAGGTATGTATAGTAAATGAAAACTACCAATCAGTTATTTTTTACTTTTTAGTGCTTTTGTTTGAAGTCGGTTTATATTTTTTTGTTAAAAAGTTTTTATTATCCGTTCATACATTTATGCCACATAATTATAAAGTAATAGACATTAAAATATGCGTACAAGGTGATCGCAGGCAACTTTATTGCCACACGTCCTAAATGAGTACCACAAATTTACTAAAGTTTACTGGAAAGATTTAAATAAATCATATTTTGTATTTAAATAATATTTTTGAAAATATGTGTATTAATGAATACAAGTAAAATCTATACATATAATAAAATTGTAACTAAGTCGAATCTGTACATTAAATATTTTTTGGAAAATCTAATTGAATTTGACATTAATATCGATACATCCGAATCCATAGTTTTTAGAATTTTTGTCTGTCTATCTATCTGTTAGCGCATCACGAGAAAACCACTGGACAGATTTTGATGAAATTTGGTATGAAGATAGCTGGTTATCTGTGTCAACATAATGGATGCTTTTTACCGCGGGAAAATATCTCATTTCTGAGAAAAAATACAAAAACTGCAATGTAAGAGTATACTTATATATAAAACCTAAGAATTTGGTTTTTGGTCATCTGAACGCGGGCGGAGCCGCGGGCAATGCTAGTAAATTAAATAAAGTACAATGAATATGACCAGCAAATTCAACAGCCAAAATATATTTTACTGGGTGATTCATTGTAATTGGATCATTTTATTATTATCCTGTCAGTGTTTGTTAGTGTGTATTTATCATCGGTGTTATTTTGTGTACAGTTTATGGGCTGGCCCTATGATCTAATGTTTTTCAGTTACGGCAGTCAATCGCAAACAGTCCTAAGAGGCAAAATAGGCAGGACATCTCACATTATATTATATTTACTGTACAAGAGGGCCTTTATTCCTTTAATCTTTGTATTCTGGCAGGATTGACAACTTTATGTGCTCTCCCAGGCATAAGATATGACTACGCCTAACTTCTCTACTCCCAGAACACCCAGCAACTATATAAGACTGACTCGGGATTCGAACCTAGAACTAAACGATCTATAGCCGAACCTGCTAGCTACCAATAAGCCAGTCAAAATATATATTAACTAGCATTGCGCGCGGCTCCGCCCGCGTTCAGATGACCAAAAACCAAATATTAGTATCCTCTTACATTGCAGTTTTTGGATTTTTTCTCAGAAATGAGACATTTTCCCGCGGTAACAAGTATCCAATATGTTGACCAGCTATAACCATCCAAATTTCATCAAAATCCCTCCAGTGGTTTTTCTGTGATGCGGTAACAGACAGACAGACAGACAAAAATTGTAAAAACTATAGATTCGGCCTCTGTATCGATAATAATGTCTATTTCGATAAGATTTTCCAATAAATATTTAATGAACAGATTCGGCTTAGTTAGAATTTTATTATATGTATAGATTTTCTTTTAACATAGTATAGGGTGTTTGCAATTAATTAAAGCTACAAGTGTTTCAAGTGTAACAATAATTGTGAATGAAACTAGCGGTTCCTTCACGGTTTATTGAACGGTCGAGGTTAGCAGCTACCAGCTACGTACTCGTATCTGTTTCTCGATTATTCAACTTTCATTTGCCATATGAAACAATGTATACTTTTACACATTTATGATTCGTTTAAGATATATGTGCCCGTTTTATTGTTTTAAAATGCCTAGGAGGGTTTAGATTTGGGCAAGTTTAATATACGAAAAGTTTATATATCAGTTATTTTCACTATTGAGGTTTACTTTTCGCGTTGTGCTTAAAAAGTTCCAAAATAAAAACAGATTAAAAAAACCTTTTCCTAAATGCATCGGACAAAAATTCTAAAAATTATAGATTCGGTCTCTGTATCGATAATAATAACTATTTCAGTGAGATTTTCCAAAAAATATTTAATGTGCAGATTTGGCTTAGTTAGAATTTTATTATATGTATAGATTAGTTTTATAATAGAATATGGAATATTATTTATTTAATTTTAGCTGCTATTTTTATAATTATTACAATTTTAAAATATTAATTAGTAATCTATATTTAGTGTTGCCATTATTATATTTATAACCATTAAGAAAAAATAAAATATTAATTATTATTTAAGTAACATAATGGTTCTATATGTAATTTGAAAAAAGTTACAATTAATTAAGAATAATAAATAATTTTCATTTAGTTTGCTGTTATTTAAAAAACAAATTATTAAGCAAACACATTACTACATAGTACATACATTTACGAATTAAAAAGCTTTTTACTAAATGCATGTAAATGTATGTAGTATATATACGGTATTAGTAAGAAAAATAAAATAGTTTTTAATTTTTTTGCCTTTCTGTCTGTTTGTTTGTTCCGGCTAATCTCTGAAACAGCTGGACTGATTCTGACAGGACTTTCACTGGCAGATAGCTGAAGTTGTAAGGATCAACTTAGGCTACTTTTATTTTAGAAAATACTATAGCAATAGAAATAGAGTTCCGCGTAAAATCCGCGTACATATGGACGCTCCCGAGCAAAGTGAGGTTATGGCGCTTGTTGATTATACATTTTTTTTAACGTTGGGAAATGCATTTACGCACGACGTGTGGGACTCACCGGCGTAATACAGCCAGTACTACCCACTAAAACCCAACAAAACCTTCCCCCGTCTTAATGGGGCGTCGCAGGATCGCTTACGCATTCAACTACGACGCCCCGACGGCAGGTCTGCCGAAGCAGACCACCACAACCACCACCACAACCATGGGGTTGCTCCAAGGTCCACTCTGCTATCAGAGAAGTACCAGGAGCAACCCACATGGTACACCGCCCCCCGAAGAGGGCCACCTCCCGCCACCCACCGAAGTGGGCAACCTCCCTGTGCGTTTCTTAGCTTCGCGCCCGGTTGGATTGCCGAGCACTACTGAGCCCCCCTACCACGACAAGGTGAACGCACGTTGGGGGGGTTGATTATACATAACTGAGGGACAGGAAAAGTAAAAAAAAAAGATTCCGACGAATTGAGAACCTCCTCCTTTTTGGAAGTCGGTTAAAAAATGATAGCAAAGTAAAACAACAAAAATAGGTAACAGATCAGTCTCTAGTTATATTTAAATACTTGACATTGAATTGAAACTATCAAACGTGTTAATGGCAATTGGCATGTATTGCAAATCAAAGAGGTGGCAATGTAATATAACTTCGTAATAAAACTTAAAGAGCTGACTGACGATAGCTTTTAGCATTTATTGCTAAATAAACGTTACGTAGCTACTGTATTCTTATTTATATTTTTTATTGTTCTCTCGAAGATGGTTAATATATTTGTTGTGGAAATATTGCTAATAAGGTGGTAGAATTATAATAATGTAAATTATAAACAATTAAATATAAATAAAGTAACAATAAAAAGTAGTATATACCTTCTAATGTACAATTAAAATTTATAATATACTAACGACTCATCTCGCTTCGGTCGGGTTCGTCCCTAGCTTGATTCCCCATACAAACTTCCATCCCTATTTTCACCCCCTTAACGGATGATCTCCGGGATAAAAGTATCCTATGTCCTTCCCAAGGCCTCAAACTATCTTCTTACTAAATTTCATGTAAATCGGTACAGTAGATCCAGAGATTGCCCCCTACCAACGTAACAAACTCACAAACTAACTCTATAATATTAGTATAGATTACTTATTTATGAACTTGCATAAGTTAAGTTTTACATATTAATATGTGGATAAACTAACATTTTTCCATATTTGCACAACTATATAGATGGGCTACGCAAACTTCGAGCAAACCGGCCATGGCATACATTTGAGGCAGTTCTCCCGGGCGTTTGTACTCGCCGATGACAACGATTCTACACGCATTGTCTTTGTGTCTATAGACGCTGCTATGATGGGAAATGGTATAAGGCGAGAAGTGAGTATGAGATATTTATTTTCATTTATTTAAAAACGACAGATAGGAAAATCCTGATAAATGTTGTTTTTATCAAATTATTTTAGTATAACTAAAAACGGATTAAAAACAAAAAAAAAAAACATGCAATAGAAATATATGATATTTTAAACACTAACTTTTTGGATGTTTTTGTGGTTTTTTTTTGTTCTTGATATTTGGAATGCTTTATAGCAACATGGTCACAACTGAGATAAGATAAAACGGAAAAAAATCATGAAAAAATATATGAAAATATAGTTTCTAAAATGTCATATTCATGTGCATTTATTAATACTATAGAAATACAGGAATTAAGGCAAATTATGTAATTACTAGATAATATAAGCGAAAGACGTTTTTGATTTACGATCAATAAAAAAAAATTGAAATTCATACTTAGACTTTGATTTTGTGGAAACTTAAACCAATAATAATAATATCACCAATAACTCTTTGGCAGGTTATAAAACGTCTACAAAAAAGGTACGGGGATATATATAATGAGAACAACGTGATACTAAGTGGAACTCACACGCACTCCACGCCGGGAGGGTTTCTGTTGGACTTCCTTTTCGATTTGCCTATACTGGGCTTCGTCAAGGAAACGTATGTGGCGTACATCGTGGGTATACTGAAGGTAGGTCTTAGAAGATATTGGGACTACGAGTATTGTCTACACACGAATTTATTTACAGCAATCATAGTAAGAATGTTACCATATACTTCGAAGAAATTTATGATAAAATTCTTTTACGCTTAATCCTACTAATATATAAATGCGAAAGTTTGTGCGGATGTCTGGATGTATAGATGTATGGATGTTTGTTACTCTTTCACGCAAAAACTACTGAATGGATTGTAATGAAACTTTACAATAATATATGTAGCTCATACATCAGAATAACACATAGATTACTTTTTATCCCGGAAAAATGTACGGTTCCCGTGGAATAGATTTGTTTTTGTTTTTCTAGAGCTAACCCGAGTGAGGCGAGGGTGAGCCGCTAGTGAGATTTAAGAATAAAAAATAAAACAGGCCTTCAGATTTGATTATAATGTGTTTCATTTATTGAATATGAAACTTTGTAATTTTATCAATTCCGCTGACCTTTATTTCGTTTTTTACACAATTTATTAAGTTATAATCATTAAAATTATTAATGATAACAAAAATATTATTAATATACTCGTAGGTACTATACCTACATCGTGTTAAATTATTTTTCTCAAAAGGGTCTTATCTATATACATATAAATAAAATTGTAACTAAGCTATATCATATTTTTTGGAAAATCTTATTGAAATAGACCACAGAAATCTTAATAATAAGCTAATATTAAGATTTCTGTGAAATAGACTTTATTATCGATACAGAGGCCGAATCTATATTAGAATTTTTATCTGTCTGTTACCGCATCAACCACTGGATAGATTTTGATGAAATTTGGTATGATGATAGCTGGTTATCCGGGTCAACATTTAGGATGCTTTTTACTGTGGGTAAATATCTCATCTCTGAGAAATCTATACTAGACTATAAAACGTAAGTAGGGACGAACCCGAGCGGAGCCAGGGTAAGTCGCTAGTAGGATTATATATCTTTTATAGAGATAAATTTTCCTTTGCCCATATGTTTTACCTTTATTTTGCTAAACGAGTATTTTTATCGTACATCCATACTAATATTATAAACGCGAAAGTAACTCTGTCTGTTACCTTTACATGCTTAATCTGCTGAACCGACTTACATGAAATTTGGTGTGGAGATAATTTGAGTCCTTGGGAATAATTATAAATAGGTTAACAATTCTAACATAATCATTATTACAGAGTATAATCATAGCACATAACAACATTACCCCGGTGCGTATGGAGTATGGCGAAGCGGAGCTACTGGACGCTAACATCAATCGGTCCCCGACATCGTATCTACGAAACCCACCTGAAGAAAGAGCTAAGTATGAAAATTAATAGTTTTACATTACCTGATTAATCAATGAAACTATCTTTTCGTTTTTTTTTGCCTTTTTATTTTACTGTTTTCTTTCGCGACGTTTCGAATCGTCGAATGCTTTACCAGCAAATGGTCGCGGGAGACTCTATGTAAACACAAAATATTGGCACCCAAAATTAAAAAGGATTTTTTTTTAATTTAAAGTGATAAATATTGTTGCAATTTTTTTCAAAATATTATTAATTATGGTATTAATTTGAGGTATTCTAGCCCTAATTTTGACCGATCAACCTACTACTAAATAAAACTATCTTTTACAGACAGACAGTAGGTACATATGACCTCTGAGACGTCTAAAACCGTCTCTCCCGTGACCATGATTGTTATAAAGCATTCGACACGCCAGGAACCACAAAGCATAATAAATCCGCGAAAAATACAGTTAAAAACTGATCCCAGCTTCTCCATTTAAGGTACAAATACGACGTAGACAAGACGTTAGCGCAGATTCGATTTGTAACCCCCACCAACAACATCGTAGGGGTGATCAACTGGTTCGCCGTGCACCCCACCAGCATGAACAACACCAACCGACTCATATCCTCCGACAACGTGGGCTACGCCTCCATACTTATGGAGAAGGCTCTCAATGGGAACAACACCCTGCCTGGCAAGGTTTGTTTTATTCTTTGACTGACTGTGAGGTGGACATGAGGATTGCGTGTTTGACCTGTATGTATGTTTGTGTATACTAGCGACCCAGCTTTGCTTCGTTCAGGTTCGTCCCTATGTACGATTTAACGGTAACGATAGAGAAGTGGGTAAGTATTTAAAAAAAACTTGAAATTATCTCCTATTTTGTCTTGATTGGTCATAAACGCCTATGTGCTTCTTCAAGGTCCCATCCCTTTATACCAAACTTAAACGTAACAGACAGATAGACAAACAGTGTTACTTACGAATTTATAATATTAGTATGTATGTTTGTATGTATATATGTATATCCGATTGTATGTTCCCTTGTAATTACTAAACGCTTGAATAGATTTTAATGAAATGTACATGATTAGATACAGTTTGAGTTTGACTTTTCATTTTATTTCCATCTATTTAGTTCGCTTTTACGCAGTCAGTTTTTCTTTTGTGTTTTATTTTTTACTAGTGACTCACCCTCGCTTCGCTTGGGTTCGTCCCTAGCTTGATTCCCCGTACAAACTTTCATCCCCATTATCACCCCCTTAACGGATGATTTCCGGAATAAAAAGTATCCTATGTCCTCCCCAGGGTCTCAAACTATCTTCTTACCAAATTTCATCTAAATCGGTTCAGTAGATCCAGAGATTACACCCTACATCCTCACAAACTCACAATCTCACAAACTTTACCTCTTTATAATATTAGTATAGATAGATGTAACAAAATTAGTTTAACTAATTTCGTAGGATGTTTGCAAATATGAAATAACCACTAATTCGTAGTGCATTAATTAACGGACAGAGTGCAGCATGCAATAACAAGCATGTTAGAAAATTAAACTTGTATTTAAATTACCGTTTCTTGTCTACAAATTAAATTTAAAGCTATTTAAAAAAAAACTACAGTTATTTGTTAGTATAAATAAAGATACTAGATATGCAAAACTAAATAGTGTGTTCACTATTTAGGAAGTGAATATTTCTGCAAGACAGTGCTTTATGACGCGTGGACATTGCAAATATTTTGTATAAAATGTACATATAGGTATAATTTATTTTAATTTATGCGTTTGAATAAAATTACTTTGTAGTACATTTTGCTACTCAGATAGTGTCGTATAGGGAACTCTCTGTCAATCCCTTAAAAACCGAATTAATCATGTTTACCAACCGAAGAGTACCCGGACCTCACAGACTCCCGAAACTCTTCAACACAGAACTAAAACTTAAGGATGCAGTCAAATATTTGGGTGTAATTCTAGACAGCAAACTGCTCTGGAATAAGCACCTTGACTACAAACTAAACAAATCCACTATTGCCTTTTATCAATGTAAAAAGATGCTAGGCAACAAATGGGGCCTTTCGCCAAAAATAACGATGTGGTTATACACTGCCGTAATAAGACCAATGCTAACCTATGGGGCTCTGGTTTGGTGGACTAGAACGGAACTCCGGACTACAATCACCAAACTAGCACGCTTTCAAAGGCTGGCACTGTCTGCTACCAGTGGATCCATGAAAACAACCCCCACAGCAGCAATAGAGGTTGCGCTCCAGACAACACCCCTGGACCTATTCATACAGCAAGAAGCGACTATGGCTGCTATAAGACTGATGCATTTAGGTCTATGGGGTAAAAACCACCATAGTGCACACACATCCATACTGGATAGGGCAATAGGACACGAACCACTTATTGCTGCCCCGTGTGACAGAACACACAATAAATATATATTCAACAAAAGATATAAAATAACTATGAGAGAAGAGGAACAAGACCACTCACCTGCCAATGAGCTACGGATTTATACTGATGGCTCAAAGACACGTGAAGGCTCAGGAGCCGGTGTATTTTCCCTTGATCTCAACATCAAAATACAAATACCATTAGGCATACACAGCTCGATTTTCCAATGCGAATGTGTAGCCATAACGGAAGCCGCAAGAACCGTGTATAGTCGTGAAGTAAACAACTACAATATAAAAATACTCTCCGACAGTGCAGCAGTTCTGCAGGCGCTAAATAACAAACAAACCAACAACAAACTAATAAGTGAATGTCACAATGCCCTGGACTTGATATCAACAACAAATCAGGTCACCCTTCAATGGATCAGGGCACACAGTGGTTCACTTGGCAACGATGCAGCTGACGAACTTGCAAAGAGGGGGTCAAAACTAGAAGTGACTGGCCCACTCCCGCTTCTCCCCATACCCTTTGCACAGATTCGCACCTGGATCCGCCAAAGATCCACGACATTACAAAACAACAGATGGTCACAAACTGCAGACTGCAGACAATCAAGATCAGCTCTGCCTGCAGTAAACCCACGACTTACAAAACGCTTAATAAACCTCAATAGAACAAATCTCAAAATAATGATAGGGACGATAACGGGCCACTGTCCCTTGAACAAACACCTATATAACATCGGCGCAACGGACACCCCTCTGTGCAGAGGGTGCCTCGGCGCTGAAGAAACAGCTGCCCACGTAATCCTGGAATGCGTAGCGGTAAGTTCTCAACGTGAAGAAATCCTCGGACCAGTGAGGTCGCTCCGCGAAGCCTGTGAAGTTCCCAGGAAACTTCTGCGCTTCTGGGCGGAGCTAGGCTGGCTAATATAGCCAGGATTCGCACGCACAACGGACCAGAAGAGAGTCTAAGTGCGGAAAACGAGTCCACCTTACATTACATTACATTACATTACATTAGTGTCGTATAGGAAATATTTATGTCTTTGGACTCAGGCTCTCGATTTAGTATCAGTAGTTAGATTGAAAACCCTCTTTTTATTCGCCAAAATCGGGTAAAAAGTAAATACAGTATTTTTTTTAATATATAGGTTTGGAACACAAACAAACTTACATTGTGACTTATTACAAACATATATTTAAACTACTATATAGATATTATCGAAAACCCAACATTGAAGGTCACAGACTTTTACATTAGCAGATACCTACTATTTACTTAATCGTATGTGGACAATTTGATCTATTCTGAATAAACATTATACATAAGCGTTATGGACTAAATAATGATGATCTAAGTTAGTTGCTGGTAGTTGCTTTCTAGGGCAATAAATCGTATTTTAAAATACAATGGCCTTTCATTTTAAAAATTATAATGATTTGACGACAGTTTGGCTCAGTTTGCATGACCCTACTTGCTGTGCCAGCGGTCGCGGGTTCGAGTCCCGCTAGGAGCATTCATTTGTGTGATGAGCACCAATGTTTGTACTCCAGTCATGAGTTATTATATTTATAATATGTATGTATATATGTAAAGATAGTATACTCCTTTAATTTTATATTTTATTTTATCTTCCAAGTAGGTTGTATTTATTTAGTCTATAGGTACATATAATAAAATTGTAACTGAGCCGAATCTGTACATTAAATATTTTTTGGAAATTCTTATTGAAATAAACATTATTATCGATACAGAGGCCAAACATATAGTTTTTAGAATTTTTGTCATAAATTCGCGTAAATGTAAGAAAAAAAAATGTTTATGACTGCATAATTTTAATCCAGGGTAGTATAGTTTGTGCGTTCGCGTCCACCAACTTGGGCGATGTGTCCCCCAACACAAGGGGCCCTCGCTGCGAGTTCTCGGGCAAAGTGTGCGATCAAGAGAAGTTAAAGTGCGATTTGCCCAAGGAAAGATGCTTTGCCTCCGGCCCTGGACGAGACATGTTTGAAAGCACCAAGATCATTGCTACTAAGCTGTTTGAAACAGCCATGGTGAGATTTTTAGCCTTTTGTTTTATTGTTTATTTTTGATTTTTAAGTTGATAATTGTATTTCTCTTAGCAGTGTTTTATTAAATACGTATGAATAAAAATAGATTTCATTTACATTAAGTTTAAACGGTCAAGCGTTCGCTAGTATAAATTCATCATTCAATTCAGCGAAAATTTCAAAAGTTATAAATAAATATTTCATCCAAGAATCGAACCCCCAGTTTATGCAATTTTTATTAATTTCAAACAAGTTAATTTAACGAATATTGGTACAAATAACTTAATTAATCATTGATCCTTACCCAATCATTAATGATTGACCTCTAGCACTTGAACAATCATAATAATATTTTTAGTACCTATTTTAAATGACATCTTTGGTGGTCGTTACTCTATTTTTTCGAGATAACAACTTTTAGAAAAAACAAGTTACAAAATAGTGAAGACTTGTAAATATCTACTGGTATTTTTTTAATAAAAAAAGTTTCTATTTAATTGTATGAAATAAATAGTAATACATGCCTTGGTACGTTCAGATGGTGACAATATGTATGTAACTTACAAGCAGAAACTGTGGTGTCGTCCGCGTTCTAAGTACAAAATACACTCTTCTTTCCCTTACCTTTACAATAATGTGTAGAAGTCTCGATTTGTTAACACATAGAACAATAATATAATTTGAATAGTAAATATTTTATTTTCTCTATGTTTAGAAATAGATATAATAATGGCAACACTAAACAAGATTACTAATTAATAAAGTTTTCTAATTTTTTTTTTATAATTATAATAATAACAGCTAAAATTAACTAAATAATATTCCATATTCAATTATAAAACTTATTAGAATTATAAAAATGTTTAAAATTGTGCCATTTTTGTATTTTTTGAATTCATTGTGTTATTTTGTGAGTAGACTGTCTGTAACAACTATATAATGCCTTTGAGACGTCTAAAACCTTACTCTCTCCCGTGAGAATGATAGCTGTAAAGCATTCGAAACGTCAGGAGCCAAATATCAAAATAAATCCGCGAAGAAATCCGAAAATATAGTTTTATTTAAGATGTTAATATTATTATTTATGTTTTTCAGAAAGTTCTAAAAGAACCGGGCGAAGATCTGACCGGTCCTCTCGGCATTATCCATCAGTTCGTCGAGATGCCGAAGGAGGAAGTGTTCCCGTATGATCCTGTCACTGAAACTTTTAATACCGTATGTTATATATAAATTATTGTTCCAATTTGCGTAGTTAGTCATCTCTTTATATTTTGGAGATTTAGTTATTTATGGTTTTATCGAGAATTTGGTAGATTATTTTTTTATAATTGATGAGTACAAGGAGTACAAGAATACTACAAGGTTCTTGAAGTTCTTCTCGATGCGTGTTCACCTAGTCGTGGTGGTGGTGGTGGGGGGGGGGTCATTATTGTCTGGCAACCCAGCCGGACGTGAAGCCAAGAAACGCCCTGCGTAGGATAGGCGGTGTGCTATGCGGGCTGGTCTAGATACTTCCCCATAACGGAGTGGACCGAGGGAGTAACCTCACGGTGGTCATGGTCTGCTTCGGCAGGCAGCCGCCGGGGCGTTATAGTTGAGTGTGAGTGACGCCCCATTAAGATGGGGGATGTTCCGTTGAGATTAAGTGGGGTAGTATTGACTTTTCTACCCGGTGATTTCCACCACTTTTATATAAAAAGTCCTTGAGGTTCTATATGAATAGGCAGTTAAGCTAAATATTCTAAATTTTTTTTTACTTTTCGGCGTCTGATTTTTTTGGTTATGCATTATTGAAAATGTACAGGTTACATTATTATATTATAATATAGTTCTCTGTTATAATAATAATATTATATAAACATATGTAATCAGCCCTTTTTTAATATCCCATTGCTATGAACGAGCCTCCCTTCAATATGAGGGGGATCAGGCCATAGTCCAGCACGCTGGCTAAGATATTAGAAATATGCAATATTAGAAAATGATTCGCACATGAAAATATCAGTCGCGAGAATCAGGATTTGAACCCGCTTCACTGGGTTCCCAAGCGGGCGCAGTACCATTGAGCTACCACTGCCTCATATAAATGTAGTATACGGGGATACTAATAAAAGAATTATAACACAAGTAACTATTTATTCTTTTAAAATTATATAAAACAATGTTCACGCGTCTCGTCTTGTCGTCATTATGACATATCGTCCTCCTTTTCGTGTATTCCTCTTTCATTCCATTCCATTCTTAAAATTAAATCATACCTCTCCTTTTATTTTTAAAATATCATTTCACGCGTACTCATGTCGCAAATCCCACATAAAGATATGAGACAATACGTGCTCTGCGCAGAGCGTGCGGGTGGGCGGGTGCGCGCCGGCGATGGGCTACAGCTTCGCGGCGGGCACCACGGACGGGCCCGGCGCCTTCGACTTCGCGCAGGGCACCACCACCACCAACCCGCTGTGGGACGCCGTGCGCGACCTGCTGGCCGAGCCCACGCCGGAGGACGTGCGGTGCCAGCGGCCCAAGCCCATCCTGCTGGCCACTGGACGGGTAACTAGTGCACACATACTAATATTATAAACTCTAGACGAACAAAAACGAATCTATCCCACGGGAGCCGTACATTTTTCCGGGATAAAAAGTTGCCTATTTGTTATTCTGATGTATGAACTATTTATATTATTGTAAAGTTTCATTAAAATCCAGTCAGTAGTTTTTGTGTACTAAGCTGTATAAGTTACTATAGTTTTTTTACTATCCTACGGGAACTCTTTAATTTTCCGGGATGAAAAGTACCTAAAATATTGATGGGGGATATAAGATACCACCATGCAAAATTTCATTTAAATCGGTCCAACAGTTTCGAAAATTAGCCCGTAAAAACTGACAAACAGAAAAACAAAAAAAATAAAAAATTCTGGATTTGTTCTATTTCTCTTCTTACATCGCCTTGACTCGGTTTTTAGCATATTTTTTCTATGTACATTCAACTTTTACAATTGTATTATATGTATAGATGAGAAAGTGTGCTATTTCTTATACTCAGGCGTAGTTACCGTACGAATAATAGCCATACAATAATAATAATAATGATGAAAAATTCAAATAACGTCATTCAGATCGGAATATGAAAGCAAATATCCATATACTAGCGACTGACCCTTGTTTTGCTCGGGTTCGTCCCTAGCTAGCTTCCTAACACATACTTTCACACCTATTTTTACCCTCGTAAAGGATAATTTCGGGGATAAACAGTATATTTATTTTATTATATTATACAACGTACAAAATGACGTCGATTTGCAGTAGTTTAAACGATTCGTTTTTGTCTTGTTCTACATCGGAGGATGAAAGCAGCAACGACAGTTTTCATAGTATCCAACCACTTGATGAAACTCTTGATCTCGTCTTCTCAGATGTTCTGAAAAACTTTAACTTAGTTCATATTAACGCCCAAAGTATTCCTGCGCACTATCCCGATATGTTGTCTTCTTTTACTTCCAAAAATATACATGCCATTTTGGTGTCCGAGTCATGGCTGAAGCCATGTCTCCCATCTACATCCTACGCACTACCAGGGTTTCACTTAATTAGAAATGATCGTGCTGAACGCACTGGAGGTGGAGTTGCAATCTATCTACGTTCCCACATTCCTTTCTTGATTATTAGTATGTCTACGAATCAAGGAGACGTAGGACCCGAACATCTTTTTATTCAGATTTTATTATCTCACACTAAAATACTCCTGGGTGTTTATTACAATCCTAATCTCACTATCGATTATTTCTCATCATTTGAAACCCTGTTAGAAACATATAAGCCTTTGTACGATCATACTTTGGTGATGGGTGATTTTAACACCTGTCTCCTAAAGAATGATCAACGCACATCGCGTCTTAGTTCCCTTGTAAATGCAGTTAATTTAAACATTCTCCCCTTAAGGCCCACTCATAATTTTCCAAATTGTCTACCATCTCTTCTTGACCTAATTTTAGTATCTTCTACTGACCTTGTTGCGAAACATGGTCAGTGTTCGGCTCCGGCTTTCTCATACCATGATCTTATCTATTTGTCTTTTAAATTGAAACCCCCGCAAGCAAAATCAAGAATCCTTCTTCAGCGAAATTTTGGTGGTATTGACCTACAACGCTTGCACGCAGACGCTGAAAGTGTGGACTGGTCAGTGGTTACCGCAGCAACTACAATTGATGAAAAAAATTCTATATTCTATTCTCTTTTGATCCAGCTGTATGATATTCATGCTCCAGTTCGGCCTGTACGAGTCAAGCATCTTCCAGCTCCCTGGCTTACACCAGAAATCAAAAGGTTACAGATCAAAAAGAATGTTGCAAAAGTAAAATATGTTTCAAATCCTAGTGACGAAAATAGGGCAAAATATGTCAAGGCTCGGAATCGTTGCAACATGGTGTGTAGGGATAGTCAACGACGCCATATCTATAAATCGGTTGTCGAAGAAGATGACTCAGAAAAAGTCTGGCATTTTCTTAAGTCTCTAGGAGTAGGTAAATCTAGAGTAAATATTAATCCTAAAAACTTAGATTTAAATTTGCTAAATCAATATTTCTCTTCTTCTAGTATTATAAATAGTACAAATAAATCGAATACACTTAATCTCCTTTCAAATCTACCTACTCCTGACTTTCCCTGTTTCAGTTTTAGTCAAATCTCCGAAAGTGATGTTAAGAGAAATATTATGGCAATCAAATCTAACGCCGTTGGGGTGGATTGTATAAGTCGCAATATGATTCTTCCTATTATTAACTTTATTTTTCCTATAATAACATCTATCCTTAATGCCTCCTTAAATCTCCACAAGTTTCCTTCGTCCTGGAAAGATGGCCAAATTATTCCACTCCCAAAAAACCTAACCCTTCTTCCTTTTCTGATTACCGACCAATTTCAATTCTTCCTTTCCTATCCAAGATCCTCGAACGCCTCGTGCATCGTCAACTAAGTATTTTTCTACATCAAAATAGTCTATTAAATTCTTTTCAATCGGGTTTTCGTCCTAGTCATAGCACGGTTACTACGCTAACTAAAATAACAGATGACGTTAGAGAAAGCATGGACAACAAAAAGGTTACGGTATTGACACTATTAGATTTTATAAAACGCTTTTAATACAGTAGATTTCGACATTTTACTTGCCATTCTAGCTTCTCTAAACATATCTCCTGAGGTGGTTGACTGGTTTCGTTCTTACTTGTGTGATAGCCGGCAGCGTATACGAATTGAAGAGTCGTGCTCTGAATGGTCTATAATTAATGCTGGTGTTCCACAAGGTGGTGTCTTGTCTCCTCTCCTTTTTTCAATTTTTATTATTTCTATCTCTCAACAAATTTCTTCTCCCTGTCACCTGTATGCTGACGATTTGCAAATTTATGCCATGACTACTGTGGAGAACTTGCCTATTACCATTAATAATATAAATAAAGATTTGTCACTCATATCATCATGGGGTAATTCATATGGACTCAATCTAAATCCAGATAAATCTCAAGCAATTATTTTAGGCAGCCAGAGACTATTATGCAAAGTTAAAAATATGCACATACCACCCATACTTCTTAATGGTGTCCAAATTATGTTTACTGATAAAGTGAAAAACCTGGGTATTTTAATTGACCAGTGTTTATCGTGGGGACCGCAGATAAGTGAGATGAGCAGGAAGATGTTTGGAGCGATTGCTTCTCTTCGTAGATTAAAAAAATTTCTGCCCATACCTACCAAAATTGCGCTAGCAAATTCTCTTCTACTACCGATTCTTGATTATGCTGACGTTTGTTATCTTGATATCAAAGAAGAATATTTAAATAAACTTGAGCGACTTCAAAATCTTTGTATACGGTTTATTTTCGGCCTTCGGAAATATGACCACGTTTCAGAATTTCTTAAAAAACTCTAGTGGCTTCCTATCCGTTTCCGCAGGAATACTCACATTCTTCATCTTCTTTACTGTGTTTTTTTGCTATTTCACCCTTCAACTCCTTTTTATCTAAAAGAGCGATTTGAATTTTTTAAGTAACTGTCATAGCCGTTCTCTTCGCTCGGAGCACAACCTAGTTCTCAAAATTCCTCCACATTCTTCATGTTTCTATTCTAACTCTTTTACTGTAAAAGCTGCCCGGCTCTGGAACACACTTCCTTTAAAAGTTAAAAGTGTCAAAAGCCTTGATAAATTTAAGCTGTTATTAAAAGAATGTTACCTGTCCCTTTAGTGCTTTTTTATATTTAATTGTATCTATAACTATGTATATTTGTAGGTACGTATGTATATAAATTAGTATGTATGTGTATTGTACGTTTATATATTTGTATTGTGTGTTTAAGTATGTATGTATATTTGCATGTATGTATATATATATGTATGTACGTTTGTATGTATATGTGTATTATGTTTATGTATTTATATTGTATGTATAATTATATCGTATAGCAAGTACACCGCCTACCATTTCTCTCACACTCTCCTTTACCTGGTAGTTGGTTGCCTGGAAGAGATCGCTTTAAGCGATAAGGCCGCCTACTGTGCATCTTTGTTAATTTTTAATTACTGTCTGTATGTATTTTCTCTTTGGTGTACAATAAAGAGTATTATTATTATTATTATTATCCTATGTCCTTCCCAGGGTCTCAAACTATCTTTTTACCAAATTTCACCTAAATCGGTCCAAGATATCTAGAGATTACCCCTTACAACGTCACAAACTCACAAACTTTACCTCTTTATAATATTAGTATAGATATAATATGAACCCCAGGCAAAATTCCCATACGAGTGGCAGCCCCACATCGTGTCGTGCTCGGTGGCGCGGCTGGGCGCGCTGGCGCTGGCCGCCGTGCCCGGCGAGTTCACCACCATGGCGGGCCGCCGCCTGCGCCGCGCGCTGCTCGCGCCTGCGCAGGCCAAGAGAGTCGTTATAGCCGGCCTGTCTAATATATACTCCGATTATATCACTACGTATGAGGAATATCAGGTAGATATATATATCTTTTTTAAAGTTCAAAAAAAGTTAAAAAAATAATTCGTGCCAGAAAATCTTTTTGTTAATATTATACAAACTTCAATTATAAAAGGGGCATTTCATATGAAGCGGACAGGAAAAAAACAATTAAACGTGTGGCACTCGGAGACTGCCGCGGTAAAGCTATTGCATAGCATTTTTTATCAACTTATGCAATTATAATTATTTATTTATTTTATTAATGCAGTATTTTTTTTCCTTGACTTTCTTCATTAATAAATGCACTTTGTTTATTCATATTTAAAACACTTTGTACACAAATTATACGAGTACAGATATTCACTGTTGTACATAGATGATAAATACCTATACACCTATATACTTTCTCACAAACAGCTGATTACGGTAGTTTTCTAATACAACCAATGCCACCTAAAGGCGGGTTGCTGAACTAAAAGACAAGCGTGATATTTCAAAAAGTCATTAAAAGTTCTGGTATTTATCGATAGATGGAAAAACTAAAAAGTATCACCGCTGTGCCGGTCGGAGTGGGGGGTGTCAGGTTTTTATCGTTACGGAATTTCTGGATTCGGTCCCCACGCTCAAGGCCCGCGATAGAAGCTATGCAATAGCTTAAAAGTGACGTTAGGAAATTTGTTCTTATGCGGGTTATTTATACTTGATACTTCTAGTAGGAATGAAAGTGGATACGTAATAAATTTGTTCTACGATGTTTATTTTTAAAATTATGGGCCTTTGAAAAATAATCATAATCCAAATTTCGATGCTTTAGATTTAGTTTTTCGAATGGGGAAAAAATACAAACAACTATTAAACTTGGCGTTTTGTATAGGTTTTGGTTTTTTTTTATTTATTTTTAATATATATTTACCAGTACTCAGTAGAAATGAATTATTCTGTGGTATCAGTATCTGTTTTGGAATTCGCCATCAATTTTTGGACGGGGAAAAGTAAATAATGGTAAGATTACCAAATTTTTTTATTGCATTAAAAATAATTATTCGTAGTAAATGAATAGATTTTTGTAAAATTTATATAAGGTCACCTTTAATGTGTATTATACCTATACATCAAAAGAAACATTCTTAAAAATTGATTCAAAATGAGCCTGAGCTCTTAGAACCCTCATACAAATTCTTAGAACATTCAGTCTTCAAGTAAAGAGGTTAATTAAAAAAGTATATTTTAAATAAAACTATCTTTTCGGATTATTTCGCAGATTTATTTAGATTTTTGGTTCCCGACGAATTTTCCGTTGGTTGTTAAAGTTGGAATACGAAATAGTTTTATTTAAAATATCAAATATTCGCGCAAATCGAAGAAAATATTATAAAAAAAGTATATGTCCGCAGGCGCAGCGCTACGAAGCAGCCTCCACTATATACGGGCCTCACACTCTCGAAATTTATCTCAACAAGTATATTGAGCTTGCTGAAGCACTTGTACAGGTAATATTTAATTTTCCTTTAATTCCTCTTTATTTATTTATTTATGTTTTTTTACGAAATACTAAAATTAAAAATGGCCAACTTAACAGAAAAAAAACACCAATAAAAGTTTTAAAAATTATTGTTTTTTCAGCTAGGAAAAAAGTTTAATATTATGTTATCAATGGATTAAAAAATCGAGGAGTGTTTTTAAACAATAATTATGTTCATTGAAAGCCGTTTGAAATATTCTCCCAGAATACAATTGACAGACTCAATACAAACGAGGGCTCGCAGTAACAGCCCCGTTGCCATGGTAACGTATTGTAGTGGCAGTGCTGACGCGCACATTTCGCCTTTATAACAATTGTATCGCGCCACGAATCTTACTTGTCCCGTAACCGCCTACGGATTCGCTTGTCACTTGTATTGTTATAAAAGTATATATATTGTGCTAAGGGATATTTGTAGCTAACTCAGTGCCGGATTTAACCTTAGCGCCGGCCCTAATCATAGTAAAAAATGCCGCCTCATTATCGACATTTGCACAAAATAGGTAAAGTTTCGATAGTTCAATTTTTTAATTTTTTGACAAATGAAAAAAAAAAGATTTATAAATGATTTCAATTTCTCGAAAAATGTATTAGTTATTTTTTTTAATTATTTTTTTTTTGGAAAATAAAAAAAGGCTTTTTCATAACGCGAAGAAAATTTTTGCCGCCCCTAAAAATTAGCCGCCCTGGGCACTAGCCCTGAGTGCCTCTAGTGTAAATCCAGCGCTGCTTGCTAACTTACAGTGAATACTTTACATAGTATAAAATGAAGTTGTTTCCGCTGTCTGTTCGTTTAAATCTTTTAAACTACTTAACGGATTTTAATGCAGTTTTCAGCAATAGATGGAGCGATTCAAGAGGAAGGTTTATATGTATTAAACGTGCATATTACAGTACAGAAAAGCCGAGAAATTCAAAGATTTGTCTTGTGCGCTTACATGGCTTACATAAGGACGAACCCGAGCGAAGCGAGCGTGATTCGCTAGTAACAAATATATGTAACTTTGGACGTTTGATTATCCCCCTGCACACACAACTAAAGTGAACACGCAATATTCACCCACACACACGAAAGAATCATTCAACACGCCGCCCCGCACCCATACCATAGATACCATAGATATAGAGAGTGGGCTGTTTCGTTGCCAGCCGTCAGGTAAAAATGGCGCCCTTGATTTTGAATTGAAAGGAGGCCCGTGCCCAGCAGCGGGACGTTAAAAAGGGTTGAAGACATACATAATATTATCATTTTTATTAAATATATTATATATTTTTTACGTTCCACCTGTAAATTTAAATTGGAATAAAATACAGGTATTGGCCGCACGTTCGATCTCTCTCTTTCTAGAGAATGGTTAATTACATGATACTGTCATGATGAGAGTGTTGCTCAGTCCAATGTCCACTCTAGGTCTATGGTTACAACACATCAGGCCCCGTCGCTACCTCGCGCCCGCACACTCCATATGACCTAAATACAATGATTAAAAAAGTACTAGATACACAAACCCATGCAAAAGTTCTCTTAAAACAGTGTTTAGGTAATTATTCCAGTTGAAATAAATATACAACAATGTAAATCGAACCTTAAATGCGATGTTTAAAGTTGATTTCACAAAGAAATAAAAATATAAGCGCGCTCAAATGTTCAAATGAGCGCTCATTCAGTAAGGACATTTTTTGTCGCTGATTGTGAATCTAGTACTTTTTTGATCGATGTCTAAATACCGCTATGAGGCCGCGCTGTTGCCGCTCCGCTTATTTCATATCCTTTCGTCGTATGTAGGCTATAATTGGGCGCCATGTTATTGTTTAATAGGTCATCTAGACTTATATCGATTCTTGTATTTTAAAATAGTTGTTTAAAATATCTTAGCTCTGGGTCTATCATAGATTTTGAATAGTTTTTTTTTGAGAGTTGTAATTTTGTAAATAAAAAAAATATTGATGTTAGTTTTATTTCATAGAAAAGTTATGTCATTCTTTAGATTATTTAAATGGATTAGTATTAGAATTCATGTATTTCATATTTCATTGTCTCCCATCATTTTCAAAATTTCAAATTTAATTTTAAAGTAAGTAAAATAATTTCTTAAATATTGATATTTTAAATATCAAATATCATATTTACTTCACTTGCTCGAAGATCTTTACTTTCACCTTCAAATATTTATATGAACCTAAATTCTTATTTCTTAGTAAAGGAGAAAGTGATTAGAAACTTGTTTACTTTAAGCAAACTTAAAAAAATATATAATATTCAAACAGATACGATAATTAGAAGTAGGATTTCTTCCAAAATTAGATGAAATAGCTTATGTATAGTTAAAAAAAAAGCTTCTAAAAACGTGTTAATAAAAATTTAAAACCCTTGCTGCATTTAGATACGTCCCGAACTGCTTTTTTATTTTATAATATTACTAGCAATATATAGTAATATATAGCAACTCACTCTCGCTTCGCTCGGTTTCTTATCTAGGTACGTTTTAACGGTTAGTATGAAATAGATAGACTATAAATTGTGTGATATACAGCCTTATTATATTTTTTTAATCAGATTAGTAGTTCCTAAGATTACCACGTTTAAACAAAAAAGTAACACAGCAAAACTCTGCCTCTTTATAATATTAGTATAGAATATAGATATACAGGAAGCGCCATCTTTTGGCAAATTTTATTACTAACAGTACTTTATGTTACTTGAGTCCCCCGTGAGAGTTATTCCCCGAGTTATAAATTTTATCTATGTATATCCATCTAACAGATTCAGTTCCGTGAAGGACTAACAAACATACATACACATAAAAACTTTCCCAATGATATAGTACCGTGACTTACTAACATTTTCTCGTGACTCCACAAATCTAAGTTCAGAGAACAAAAAACTAGAGCCAGGCCCCAACCCCACCGACGAGCCACTCTAGTACAATCCGATCATTAGGTACTTTTTGTGTGAAAGAGAAACAAACATCCATTCACACTAACATACACGTATATAATATTACACGAATACTATAATTTTATTTACAAATACAACTTCACAGAACAAAAAGCTGGACCCAGGTCCCACTCCACCGGATTTCAGCGATCAACTGATCACCCTGGTGCCGCCCGTTCTGTGGGACTCCGCGCCGTGGGGTCACGAGTTCGGTGACTGCGTGCAGCAGCCCCAGAAGTACTACAACTATGACGACACTGTTACTGCTGTGTTTGTGAGTGGTCTTGGTTTCATATATAGTGTGTAACATGACTGATGGATCAATGGTTGGGGGTCGAGGACCTCAGTACTTATCGATTTAATCCTCCTGTATAAGAGCTTTGTTGGAAGTCCAACCTTTTAAAGGGTAATTCTTTACCCCTTTAAAGTCTGTATATCTAACTAAGGTTGGAACTTCGAAGTTTGAATCCGTTATTTTTAAACTATGCTGGCAGAGCCACGGACATTATACTAGTGCAATGTAAAATTGTATTTTCTATGTGGGAACGGCAACACAAAATGTATTTGAGTGCCGCGTTCATTGCCGGTGTGCGTACCGGATTTAATAGTGGGAATCCCTTAATAGTCCATTATTATTTTCGAATTATCATCATTACTCCAAAATCTCATTAGGTATCTATTCTAAATGAAAACCCCCGTTTAGTTATTTTTTACATCTAAGTGCCTGGAAGTAGTTTTTTTTTAAGTTTTCATTCGTGCTTTTTTTGTAGTCGGTTTTTTAATGTTTTTATTAACTGTTCAATTCAACATTCAATAATACTGGCTTCAACATGTGCCAGTAAAGCACAGAATACCTCACCAATGTCGCGTAGACTGGAAGAGATACAAGGGGGATTGTTCAGAAATCAGATTTGTCTATTATATTTAAATAAACTATACGAGAAAGTTGAGTTAATTAGAAATTAACAGATATATTAACATGTAGGTGTCGGGGCATCCCCGCAACAGCCCGCGGCACGGGCGCTGGTTCATGGCGGTGGAGCGGCTGCAGGACGAGCGGGACGACGCCTGGGTGACCGTCGCCACGGACGCTGATTGGGAGACCAAGTTAGTGTTTAGTTATAGTTTTAGTAATATAATACCACTATACTAGTTTTGTACCATGGACGAATTAGAGACTGGACCTGACATAAAATACAAATGTATGAAAACTAGTTCAACCAAGTGACGCATAACGCACACAAAGATTTTATTACATTATTATAAACACTGATACACAATACAATATTTCTAGTGCTTGAACGTAATCGATAAAATACATATATCGATGAACCAATGAATGACATTTTAGACATTGGTCAGTATAGTCATCATATTTTACGTCTTTTAATTTAAAATATCTGTATTTATTATAATAAATTAAAATAAATCAATTAAAGAGGCAATAATAATGTGTCAAATAATAATTATTTTTTAATTTGATTTATATAAATACGATGGCAATGATGGCAACATTCTGTTTTTACTAATCATAATAATGTTAATGAACAAATGAATATCGGGTGTTTATTCCATTAATATTTAATAAATATTATTTTGTAAAGTTTAAAAAAATATTAAGCTAATTTAATTAAATAAAGTGATTTTGTTGATTCTGTTATTGAACTATTTTAATTGGCAATTGATTGTCTCGGGTAGTTATAAAAATGTGACACTGTCTTAATATTGCTCAGTTCTTAATAAATATATGTGAAATTAGGAAAAAGAAAAAGTGATTGTAAATTGTGAAAAAGTGAGTGTTGGATCGTGCAAGTAAAATAATTAGTGCAAGTGATAAAGTGTTTTATTACAAATCGCCAACCCAGAAGTTTAGTGCTAAAACATTATTGTTTGATTTTGTGTAATTTATGTGTTGAAATAAAATGATCTTTATTATTATTACAATGGAATAATATTCCAAAGTATATAATTGTGGAATAAAATAAAATAAAAAATTAAGTACACATACTAATTATAATTTTTGCATTTATATTTTTATTTGATTTAGAAAATATTTTATAAATTTATTGTCATCAGATTGTAGGATACTGTGGTAAAAGTATTTTATGTTATTGTACTGTACAAATAACACAATTCGTTTAGTTATTTCGTCAAATATCGATATATTTTTCGACATTGTCAAGCACTAGTCGATGTCAAATAGACTCACTCGACAGTTTTGTCATTTGTTCTGAATGGTATAATCCAGCCATTTTATGATGGTTGTCAGATGTCAACAATACATAGAAATATCGACTATATTTAACATAGTTGGATAATATGACATTTTATTTTACATTTAATTAAATTTTGTGATAAATAACAATAAATGTAATAAAATAATGTATTTACAAGTGAAAAGAAATAGTGCTGCTTCCGCCGTTATAGTTTTTACACCATTTGACAGAATATTTAATAATTTTCGGGAGATGTTTTGTTGACAAGTAAGTGCTTGAGACTGACACAAAAAACAAACGACTAAGGCTAAAATTTCCTTATTACTAACAAGACCGGTAAAGGTACGCCCGCTTATATGTCTGGTCCAGTGCTTAATTCGTTCATGTTTTGTACTTAGCCATTTTTAAGGTCCCACTGCTGGGCATGTGCCATTCAAGGGGGTTCAGGCCATAGTCCACCACGCTGGGCAAGTTCGAGGTGGTGGAATTTTATATTAGAAAGAAAATTAATAATCGTGTTGAATATGATTCGCATATTGGAATATGAGAGGTTTCGCAAATGAGTACTAGCTTTCCTCTATTAATCTTTTGAGCAGGATTATTATAATATACTTAATTCTATAAGATTATTTAATGTAATATTGTAACTGATCAGTCTAATAATAAAATATAATATTTGGCTAAATTATTTAATTCAATACAATTTTCTTGTCGATGACTTCAAAGCGTGCGAGTTGAGCAAATATCACGCCAAGTCACGTAGAATGGAGAAGACACGAAGGAGATTGGTCGGTAAAAAAAACTTTTAAGAAAAAACTTTTATTCATGAAATCATAGTTACTCGTACAATATTTTACGCTGAACCTTTCCAGTAAGTAATCGAAGATACTTGTTTTGGGAATACCTCGCACCTCCCCAATTGGCTTACAAAGATTTCTTATATATGGTAACAATATGATGATTATATAATATAATATTAGGTGACAATATAACAAAAACTTATAAGGACAGAATTAATTACATATGTTAGTAACTGAGCGAGTGTGCACCTGAGAATGCGGGGGTATAAGTGTACGTGCGTGCGTGCGTGCGTCTCTCTCTCTCTCTCTCTCTCTGTGTGTGTGTGTGTGAGTTATAAACGATGTCCCGCTTCCCAGGTTTGTATGGCAGCGCAAGTCGAAGGTGCTGGGCACGAGCGAGGCGCGCGTGTCGTGGCAGGTGCCGCGCGCCGCGCCGCCCGGCGCCTACCGCCTGCACCACTACGGCAGCTACAAGTACATCCTCGGCGGCATCTACCCCTACCACGGGTTCTCGGACACCTTCTACGTCACGTAAACGAGATTTTGTTTTTGTTGTTTTTTGGTAGGTATTCGCTAACCTTTACTATGGGTTCTAGGACATCTTTCATGTCACGTGATAGAGGTTTTATTTATGTTATTTTGCGGTAGGCATTCGTTGACCCTTACTACGGGTTTTCAGTCACCTTCTATTATACATAATCGAGTTTTTTTTGAGGTAAGCATCTATCCCTACCATGAGTTCTCGAACATCTTTCATGTCACGTAATCGAGATTTTCTTTTGTTATTTTATAATAGACATTTACTAATCCATACCATGAGTTCTCGAACATCTTCTATGCCACGTAAACGTGTTTTTGTTTTGTCATTTAGTGGTAGGTATTTATTCACCCGTACCACGGATTACTTCTACTCGGATACCTTCCATTATACGTATTATCACATTAATCGAGCTTTTTTTTATTTTGAGGTAGACATTTTCCCCTACCACGGGTTCTTGAACATAAAACGAACCGTTAATTAAGGATGCCATTGTTGATGTCTAATTGTCCTAATAGAAACGATACCACGAACTCGATCACATATTTCAACTTACATAAGGTATGGGATTTATGTAGTAACTTGTAGAACATTCTAGTTATAGTTTAACACATGTGTATAGAGTTATTAAAGCTTTTTTAAACATTAAGTATAAAAATTCATAGCAAATAATTAGTAGAACAGTCCAAATTACCTCCAAGCCTTAGTTTACTAGGATCTAGTGTACATAATTTTTGTAATCAGTCCTAAATATCTTAACTATAATATATATGGTTTACAAATAAAATGAAATATTCATTTAAATCATTGATATATAAAATACAACACACAAAAACATAGATATACATTTCCTAACAAGTATTTCTTTCAAAAGTGGCGTCGATATGTGACTTTAAGTCAGACCAAAGAATAAAATTAAAATATTGACAAGTTCTAGTTGTCTAAACACAAATTCGAACTTATGTACACCACATAAAGTACTTTTTTAAACGAAACAACGTGCGTTTTAATTTTGTTATCCGATAAGTAAAGAACAAAAGAGATTTGAAAAATGCGCAATTCAAGTTCGAATTGTGCACTTCTTTATAAGGATACTTTTGAGACGCTACTTGAGTTTTTTATATCAACGATTTATATTCATTTCAAATAAAACTATCTTTTCGAATTATTTCGTGGATTTATTTTGATTTTTGGTTCCCGACGTTTCGAATGCTTTACAGCAATCATGGTCACGGGAGAGACTTAGGTTTTAGACTTCTCAAAAAGCCTTATATACATGTTAACTTTAATCTCTCCTGTGACCATGATTGCGGTAAAGCATTCGAAACGTCAGGAACCAAAAATCTAAATAAATCTGCGAAATAATCCGAAAAACAGTTTTATTTAAAATGTTCAATATTCGCGTAAATCTATGAAAGATTTATTATATTCAATAAAATTGTACATAAAAGTTTTTAGTCTGTATATGTATCGAGAAGCGTAGTGATCAGTGTTTCCCAAAGATTGTTAGAAAGCTTTGCTTTCATATAACATTTAATATTAACTAGTCTTTTATGTATGTAAAATCATTAATATATGAAATGTATAACTAATTATATATTTTCTTATGTAATAAAGGAATTAAGCTATGAGAAGTGACATATTTGTAACTTTTGCCTTATTCGTAGTTATAATTATTTTTCCCATTCTTGCTTTATATTTTTTTTTATTTTAGACAATTTAGATTTTAAAGTAAATGTTTATTGTCAAACAAACAGATTATAGACAATAAACAAGAATAAATATTGTTATATTATTTATAAGGCTAATTTATCATTTATTTCAATTTTCAAGTTCAATTTTGAGTGAATATTAACATAATAAGAAGAACAATATATTTAAATTTTAAAGAGTTATTCACTGCTAATTATTAAGTATTTATATTTTTGGCTAAAACAAATAAGTATGAAAATAAATGTATGTATATTTATCAATGTAATATGAAATACCTTTTAAGAAAGACAAATAATATGAGCATATACTTCCAAAGGTATTTTGTATATCATCATTATTTTTAACTCTACAAATAATTTATATTATATAACTTAGATATGAGCAAATATATTTCATATATATAATTCTTAATTTCGTTCGTATAGAAGAATAAAATATTGTATTATAAATTAAAAATTTATAAAACCCCCAACGCAAATTAATTGTCATTTAACGATTACACTAGCACGCGTCAAGCACTTAATCGAGTAATCATACGCCAAAATGTCTTACATCATTTTGGAAAAGAGCTGATACTCTTACACTGCTGAACCGATATTAACCAAACGTAGCTAAAAACCGCCGCAAGGAAACTGGCTTTCAAATGAAAAAAAAACCGCATCGAAATCAGTCCATCCGTAGATGATGAGAGCTACGATGATACTCCTCTTTTTGCGTCGGGGGTTAAAAATGTACTGTAACATACAATGTGGATTCGTTAACCAATTTTTTTATATTAATACTACGGTTGAAGTATTTTAAAAAATCGTTTTTTATCTATATATAATTTACTTAACCTTATTAAGTAAATTAAAAATAATTTGTATTAACCTGTAGTATAAATCTATTAAGTCTTATTTTGAAGTTTTAGGGCAACATATGTAATCATTGCCTAGTTACCAATCAATTATATTCGATATAGATAACTGCTTGCCTTATTAATTAACTTATTATAAATATTTAAAAGATAGCTTTGTTTTATTTTATCTTTTACAAAACATATTTATTGATTATTTTAAGTACATTTGCCCTAGAGTTACACTCACTTCCGACTTCACCCACCAACCTTACCCACCAACTTGAACATTTATCTATCTATAATAACATCATCCTATTACACTATTTTTTTTATTTCTATTAATTTTAGTCGATTGCGAAAGTTAGCCAATATAAAGTGATATTTAATAGTTGGAATTTTGATTGCCTAAAAAGAATCTGCGAACTATACCGTGGTATGCATAATGCAGTGCGAGTCAGACATTGGGTACTACACTTTGGTAGCTATTATTTATAATATAATAATATGTTAGGACATTAACACACAGCACCATCTAGTTCCATGGTAAGCTACGAGGGTTCTGTTATGGATACCAGATAGTTGATACACTACACATATAAATATAAACACTGATGACCGGAGTACAAACATTCGTGCTCATCACACAAATGAATGTCCCAAGCGGACTCGAACCTGCGACCTTGCTAGCACAGCAAGTAGGGTCACACAATACTACAAACTGAGCCAAACGTATCGTCAGGTGTATTAGATATAGGTTTATAGTTTATTTAATAGAATTTTATCGTTGAAATAGTAATTAGTCGATTATAATCTTACTACATTAAATAATTATAATTATCTTTTATTTATTATTCAGAATTGTGTTGATAAGGATGATATCTAAATAAAACAAAAGAAAATTTAGAGTTTCCAAGTCAATATTGTTGTTATTTGCACATTTCTAAAACCTATGGATAACTTTGGTCGTTGCTAACTATTGTTTGTAGGAGAAACTTACTTTAACAGTTTTTTAACCGACTTCCAAAAACGAGGAGGTTCTCAATTCGTCGGAATCTTTTATATTATTTTTTTTGAAAATAGCTGAATGGCTTTTAAATTGTTCTACTAACAGTCTTGCTAAAACATGACTATTAAGTTTCAATCATAGACCTAGAGGTATGGACTGAGCATTACTCTCAAGAAATGGACCACTCTCTAGAAAGAGAGAAAGCGAACGTTCGACCAATACCTGTCTCTCTTATATATAAAAATAAATACATAAATACAAGAACATATACACACAGAAAATATTCAACATAAGTTCATAACTAAATTGTAAAATGTTGTTTTGGTATATGTACCGTGTATACATTTTATTTATCTGCATAGATTGAAAACCGGAGCATGTATCCCACTGAGACAACTATCCGGGTTTTACCCTATCTACGAAAAATGTACATAATATGCCAATGAAATTAAAATCGTAAAGCACAATACGATTAGAATTATAATCAAGAGATTTGCAAAAGTGTTGCTTAAGATTAATATGAATTTAATGATAAAAAAATCATTACATTATAATCCTGCTATTGATTGATGAAGCGTGTTAATATCGCTATATCTCCTTTATTTTATAATATTATTATCTGAAAAAAGAATTAGGCAGTATTTATAATTAGTCATTTACATGTTCAGTCAAGTGGAATACGCATATGTTCTACCAAAATTCAAATATAAATTTGTTAAAATATTAACATTTGTTAAAAATGGCGATAACAGTAACGGGAAAGATAGTGATGATACTCGTATCGCTAGCAGTGATAGGAGGTATGACAGCCGTCATACTGTTGGTGATCAATGATCAATATGCAAAAGATGAACCTGTGACCACCACCACGCAGCCTCCTCTCACGCTTGACTCAGCGTTGCCGTATCAAGTAGGAGTCGGCATAGCGGATATGACTGGACCATGTGTTGAAATTCATTTTGTGAGTACTGTATGGCTAAATATATGCAGGATAAGCCTTTGCTTGAGTTTTTGCTAGCATTTTTATTTACGTAATGCCGCCAATTCGTACTTGGCCAGCATGGTGAACTATGGCCAGATCTTTCTTGTAGTAAAGGGAGGCCGTGCCCAGCAGTGGGACGTTAAAAAAGTTATAAATAAAAATACTGCAGTCACCAAAAATGGCCTATCACTTTTTTTAAGAACACCTTAAACAAAAGTTAAACATTAGGTCCTTGGATCGATCGAGTAGACTTTTGCAATTAAACTTAGATGTGTTTTTGATGGCTTACCTCAACAAAGAAAAAAACCCATTAGTATGCATTAAGACAAGCTTTTATAAATTAATTAGTCTTGTCTCTTGATTGTTCAAGTTGTTGTATCTAATTCAATACATGTAATAAAATTGTAACTAAGCCAAGTCTGTACATTAAATATTTTTTGGAAAATCTTATTGAAATATACATTATTATTTAGTATCGATACAGAGGCCGAATTTATAGTTTCTAGAATTTTTGTCTATCTGTCTGTTACCGCATCACAGAAAAACCACTGGAGGGATTTTGATGAAATTTAGTATGGTTATCCGGGTCAACATATAGGATACTTTTTACCGTGGGAAAATGTTTCATTTCTGAAAAAAAATACAAAAACTACAATGCAAGAGTATACTAATATGTTACACCTAAGAATTTGGCTTTTGGTCACCTGAACGCGGACGGTGCCGCGGGCAATGCTAGTTGTAAATAAAACTAACTTTTCGGATTATTTCGCGGATTTATTTAGATTTTTGGTCCCCGACGATGCTTTACAGCAATCATGGTCACGGGAGACTTATTTAAAATGTCAAATATTTTAGTGAATCTAAGGAAGTGTTGTTGATATTACTTATAATGTGTCTCAAAATATTTTTTAAATAAAAATTTAATGTAGGTACCAACAACTTGGACCATGTTACGTTTTTATTATATGTTAATATTAATATTTTAATCCATTCGTAAAGAGGTTTTTTTCATTCATCTCCTCATGATATATGTACATATAATAGATGAATTGTGTTATCTAAAAATATTTTTTGTTGACTTTTCAGATGGGTTACGCAGAGCTTGGGCAGATAGGTGAAGGTATACACTTACGCCAATTCTCCCGAGCTTTTATATTTGTTCAAAATAATACGAGAGTAGTTTTAGTTACCGCTGAAGTTCAAGCTGTTGGCATTGCAGTTCGACGAGCGGTAAGAAAAATAAGCTATTATAGATATTAGAAATAGTAATTATTTATTATAAATTAAAGACCTTAAGAATTCTTAAGAATCTAATATAATATTATAAAGAGGTAAAGTTCGTGAGTTTGTGAGTTTGTGACGTTGTAGCGGGTAAATTCTAGATCTACTGAACCGATTTAGATGAAATTTGGTAATAAGATAGTTTGAGATCCTGGGAAGGACATATAATACTTTTTATCCCGGAAATCATCCCTTAAGGGAGTGAAAATGGAGATGAAAATTTGTATTGGAAAGCAAGCTAGGGACGAACCCAAGCGAAGCGAGCGTGAGTCGCTAGTATTGTATATTTAGAGAAAGTATAATTTTATCTGACAATATTTCTGAACAAAGAAGTAAATAATACATCTACTACTTAATTCTAAACTAATAGTTATCTTTCTAATTAAGCCTATTAGATAGATGCCTTCTCATACATATACAGCTAAAAAAGTGGCTTTTCAGGCACTTCACAAACTTGCAGGATTGCAAAAATTATTATCAATAGTTCTAGGTATTAAGTGATAACAAACTTGTTTTGTTGAATTTTAGCTTGAATTGAAGAAATAACACTGTTTTTTCGGATTTCTTCGCGATTAAAACTAATATTGTACGGTTGGCTTTTCTTCCAAATTACTTAATATATGATTTATGGAAAGATCAAAATCAAAATAAAATCCTTAAAAAAATCCCAAATAATTTTATTTAAAATTACAAATAATGTATGCAGATGATTTACAGATATACCGACACTTTGAGCTGACCGAGTTGCATGACGCTATTGGTGCATTAAACTCGGACCTTGCTGAAGTCCAATTATGGGCTGAGTCTTTCGGCCTTCTTGTGAATCCCAGCAAATCACAGTGCATCATATTTGGCAGTAGTAGACTGAGGTGCAAAATCGACTGGACTTCAATACCTCAAGTCCAGTTTTCTGGTGTTCCAATCCCTTATTGTGATAGAGTGAAAAACTTGGGCCTAATAATGGATTGTAACATGACCTGGGTAGCTCATGTCAACGAGGTCAGCAAACGAATGCATCACTCTTTCCACTCTCTCAAGCGTCTCCAATTCTTTCTCCCATTTAGTACCAAGATTATGCTTGCTCAAACCCTTCTCCTCCCCATACTTGACTACGCTGATGTGTGCTATTTGGATGTGACTGAGGAGCAACTTAACAAACTAGAGCGTCTCCAGAATCTAGCTATTCGCTTTATTTTTGGCTTGCGCAAGCATGACCATGTATCAAACTTTCGTGCTCAACTTAAATGGCTCCCAATCCGACTTCGCCGTGATATGCACATCCTTTCCTTCCTCTTCAATATTCTTAACGACCCAAATTCTCCTCCCTACCTTCGTTCTCGTATCCAACTTCTCCCTATCCCCTCACGTTCCAGACGGTCTTGCGTCATGTCAATGCTCGACATACCAAAGAGTAAGACACGTTTTTTTTCGCACTCTTTCTCAGTATATGCCTCATTACTCTGGAACAAACTCCCTAAATACATCAAAAAAAGCCCCTCCATAACTTCTTTTAAAAAAAATTTAAAACAGTACCTTCTGTCACAAATTGGTCCTTAATTTTATCATCTGATTTACTATTTTTGTGTATTCCAAATGCATACGATTATATTTATACTTTAATATGTATATATATATATATGTATGTATATATGTATGTATATGTGTATATAGTATGTATAATATGTAAGTTTTTTTTATATTTATCATTATATGTATTTTTTTTATCTTATTTAATTGTATAATTATTTATAATTTTATCTTAAATCAATTGCACACTTTTATTCCCGTCATATAACACTATTTCTCACTTCCTTAGGTTGGCTGGAAGAGATCTCTTCTAGAGATAAGTCCACCTTTGCCCACATTGTTCTCTTTATTATCTGTGTTACTCTGTTAATATGCAATAAAGAATATATATAAAGAATATATATAATCACTTAAATCTAAGAACCTATTAAAGAATTGTATATACTTATTACGATTTGTTTATCAGGTAGTTGGAAAACTTCAAGAGCTATACGGCGACATGTACACTCTCCGCAATGTGATCATAGCGGGCACGCACACGCACAGCGCGCCGGGCGGACATCTTGTAGATTTCCTTCTGGACATCTCTATACTGGGTTTTTCTAGAGAAACGTATGACGCGTATGTTGAAGGAATTACGAGGGTAATTAAATTATTTATAGTCGGCTTACTATTCTATACCTATGTGAAAGTTTGTGTGTGTGAGTGTTTGTTGCTCTTTCACGCTGAAACGGTTTGACAGATTTGAATGAAATTTAGAACAAATAGACCTGGAGTAACACATAGGCCTACGCTACTCTGTTAGACTTAGAGATGTACCCGAAAGAATCTGCCAAAAGAAGCTAATCGCTATTTTTGAATTTATAATATATGTATAAACTCTTTACCGTACTTAAAGTACATTTATAAGTTTATTAGTAATTCCTAAAGTATTCTTAAATGTCGTTTGCAGATATAAAATTGTGATTATAATCTTTTAAAACTGGCAACTAAATGTTTAATTGTTAAATTTGTTTGTTGTTGTTGTTTAATTGTTAAATGTGTTTAAATTTTCTAAACTTCTTAGTCCAGGTAAAAGTATTATATATGTATGTAAAGTATGTAAAAATCTCAGAGCTACGAGACCCCAGGCTTTAAATTAATTTACTTGCCTTCTCCACAAATTACCAAGTGTTACCAATGGGATATAACTGTTAATTCATCTATCAAATAAGTATATCTATAAAATAATAAGTATTGTGATGATGACCAACTTTTTAGAGTATTGTAAGAGCACATGACAACATTGTACCGGCTAGAATGTTCATTGGACAGACTCAAGTGAAGGATGCCCATGTTAATCGATCTCCCTACTCTTATGACAGAAACCCAAAGGAAGAAAGAGCGAGGTAATTCTAAAAATGAAAATGCAGATAATTTGCAATGTACAGAAAATTATTTTCCTGTTATTTTAGATCTAATAGTACGTTTTCATTCATTCTTTATCTTTTCTCTATATTTCTTTCACACGAGAGACTTACTGATCATAACTGCTTTAAAGCATTCGAAACATCGTAAACCAAAAATCAAAGTAAATCCGTGAAAAATTTAAGACAGCATTACATTTTAATTCGTTTATTATTATTTTGACCATTTAATTACAAAAAAATATTATTGAATCTTGAAATTTTAAAATAATAATCTAACATTATCTATATAACAAATATACATATAGTTATAACATTTTTAACGAAATACATATTTTTAATCACATCATTCTTTATTTGCACGGACAATTCTACTGTTTTGTTGTTTTTAATCCAAATATACAGAAACCTTGCTATGATATTTGAGCATCCCTATGTATAAAGCGCGAATCAGGTTATATCTTCTATATAGACTGAATCTGCCTCGATGGTGTAGTGGCTATCATGTACGGCTGCACACCCGGAGGTCCTGGGTTCGAGTCCCGGGTCGGGCCAAGTTTAGTTATTGAGTCTTCCTGTATAGTAAGTCTCAGTAACAGCCCGGAGTTGGGAAGTTGGCGGTGTTTCACCCCCGTGCCTCGGAGAGCACGTAAAAGCCATCGGTCCTGCGCCGACACCCACTGGTCGTGTCGATTAGTCGTTCCACCGGAGTATGAGAGTGACAGGAACAGAGAGTTCACGTGTGTCTGCGCGTACACGCGCTGCACTATAATATCTCCTGCGCAGTTGGCTAATCTCAGTGAGATTGGCCGCCGTGGCCGAAACCGGTCAGGAGAACATCATCATAGACTGAATAAACGAAAGTACAGTCTTATAGTAATATTTGGATCGTATTTCTAGATACACCTCAAACACTCACGACGTACTAACTCAAGTCCGTATAGCGAAAGCCGATGGAGAGCTTCATGGTGTGATGAACTGGTTCGCGGTACACACCACCAGTATGAATATGAGCAACCACTTGATATCCTCTGACAATCTTGGATATGCTGCCTTGCAGTTGGAAGCTTACCTCAACCCTGGACGACCTGCTGGAAAAGTACAATGTTTATTTTATTTTAAATTTAATTATTGTTTCTTTAAACTTCCGTTAGCTATTATCTAATTTATGCGTTTGGTTTTGCATTTGCAATTACTGTAAAAAACTATTTTCGGGCAAAAGATCACAATGATATTTATATTCAGCTCTTTTTAACGTCCCACTGCTGGGCACTCGCCTCCCATCAATAAGAGGGTGATCAGATCATAGTCCAACACGCTGACCAAGTGCGGATTGGCGGACTTTACATGTCTTTCTAAAACATACTAAATTATCTTATACATGCAGGTTTCCCACGACATTTTCCTTCACCGTAAGACAAGTGGTAATTCATATTAGAAATTATGATTCGCACATGAAAATATCAAAGGTGCGAGACTCGGGAGTTGAACCCGCTTCACTCGGTTTCTCAAGCGAGTACGTTACCACTGGGCTACCACTGCCCGCAATGATTCTTACCTTGTGCATAATCAAAATATTTAATCTTAATGTAGATATGACTTTTTTATAGTTTTTGAACACCTAATATTCTTTTATATTAATATTACAGCCTTCCATTGTAGCGGGTTTCTTCTCAGAAAGTTTAGGAGACGTTTCACCAAACACACAGACACCTAAATGTGAATTCAGTGGCGTTGAATGTGATAATCAGTTCAAATTATGTGAGCGATTTGAAAGATGCTTTGCTTTCGGGCCTGGAGAGGACATGTTCGAAAGTACTAGGATTATTGGAGAGAAAATTTATAGAGGGGCTTTAGTAAGTTAATTTTAGTAGGTGAATGGATATTATTAGAATTACTCGACATATCTCAATGTATGTATAATTTGTTACTCCATAAATAACAATTATTTACTTTTATTGCTCGATTTCAAAAAAGGAGCAAACATCTAGGTTTTCCCCCAAAAGAGGTTTTATATATCATTGACTTTATTCAATGAAATTTCTCCCACAAGCTGTTGTATCTGTTTGCTTAAAAATAAATGATTTTAAATTTAAATATGAGACGACAGATATATCTAGCCGTGTGCTTAAAATAGTTGTTCTTTTTAAAGTAATCTAACTGTACTCTAGAATCCAGAGTTTAGACTAACAAGGCCATTTAACCAAATCTATTGATGTAGTCTGATAGCAATAACTACTCTATTAAACAACCCCTTACATATTAAGTTAAATAAAACTATCTATTCGAATTTATTTTTTCGTTGATTTATTCTGATCTGTGGTTCTCGACCGGTTTTGCTTTACCGCTATAGTAAACTGTAAAGCATTCGAAACATGGAGAAAATCAATCAAAAATGAAAACAAATCTGGGAAAAAACCATATAGTTTTATTTAAAATGTCAAAGGTAAATCTAAGAAAGTACAATTAAGTTAACTCATTAACATTTACAGGAAGCGCTAGATTCTACCGGTGAGGAGATAGATGGTGACATATCGGTGATCCATCAGTTCGTTGAAATGGGACAAGAAATCGTTCCTAAATACGATCCACTTTCTGAGGAATTCTTAGCGGTTTGTTTTCAAATATTTGACTCTTTTAATTCCGTTAACAGTAAGTCTTTTGATATCGCAGGTTTGTTTCCTGCATGATGCATATTTACTAAAACGAAAATAATAATAATAATAAATGCACCATTCAAGTACCACGCATACAAAATGTTTTTTATACGTCTTTAGTCTACGGTTAAGTGAAATTGTTGCTTTATAGACAGATAATAAAATTACGTGACACTTGGTATTAATGTTCTTCAATACAATTAAATAAATACGCGTTTTAGCATTTTTCGAAATTTATCCAATAAGGGGGTAAAATAGGGGATGAAAGTTTGTATGAAACTTACCTATTTCGAGTTTTTTTGTAATTTTAGCGCGAGCGAAGCCGCGGGTTCTGCTATATATATATATATATATATATATATATATATATATATATAGCAGAAAATATATATATTACAAAATTTATTGTGTAATCGAAATTTATTTTAAAATATACCCAAAAATAACATTAATAATTGAATTAATAGTATAAAAAATGTTTTAAAACACAACAAAATCGAAAGTGCATAATATTTAACACCATTCAGACAAAGAAAGACAATAGCATTCCCGAAGAGGGTTGACGTCAGGCAGGCGGCCGGTCGTAAAACTTTTGCCAAATCCTATCAGCAGTACACTGAAGATGTACTGCGCCGACCCCAAGTGATTTGGGAAATGGGCAGGGAGGAGAAGAAGAAGAATATATATATATATATATATATATATATATATATATATATATATATATATATATATATATTATTAAATTAAAGACCAGTATTGTAAGTCTGTGATATTAATAACGAATAATAACATTTTTTTAACTGTAGAATGACCGCGTGAATGGCTGCGTGCCCGCGATAGGGTACAGCTTCGCGTCCGGCACCACGGATGGCGCTAACATACTTAATATTACTCAGGTATTGTAAATTTAGTTTTTATATCTTATTTTTATCATTTTTAAATTACATAGAAGTTACATTTTTAGTATTCCTTTCTGTTAAACAAAAATATTGTATATAGTTACAGGTTTGATTTCTGTGGGCGATTGGCTTTTTTATATAGATCATACAAACAGTCCAACAATGAGTCCGTATTACTTCATCTAGGTACCTATATAACAAATATTCGGTTTTTGCAGCAAGCAAAAAATCTGCCCAACTGTGATTGAAATTATGAAAATATTTATTTAGTGAAATAGATATATGTTATGTCAAATGGAATAGATTATTTTTTTCAATTCCAGGGCACAATCGAAGGTAATCCATTATTGGAAGCATTAGGCAATGTTGTAGCGACGCCCACCGACGCAGACGTGGAGTGTCACGCGCCCAAACCCATCCTACTGGCTACTGGCAGGGTGAGGTGCTTTAAGTTACTTTTTGCTAATATAAGACTATATGCATGTTTAGCAGGATTGGTTCAGTTTATAGTGACCCTACTTGCGTGCCAGCGGTCGCAGGTTCAAGTTCCGCTGGGGCATTCATTTGTGTAATGAGCACGAATGTTTGTACTCCAGTCATGGCTGTATTTTTCCATATCCATAATACAGGCCTCGTGGCTTACCATGGAACTAGGTGGTGCTAGGTGGTGAAATTGTTATATGTATACAGTGTGTGTGAAAGTAGGTAGAAGAAATTCTCTTATCTAAAGAGGTAGTAAAATGTCCAAAACCCTGAACTAGGAAATGGCGATGATGTTTTTTTTTCCTTTAGTGAACCTTCTTAAACCCATTTCGGAACTAGCGGTTTTGTTGTATAATAATGAATGAATAAGGTTGAGATTTTACACTAAATTTAATCTATATGTATAATAAAATTCAAACTGAGTCGAATCTGTACATTAAATATTTTTTGGAAAATGTTATCGAAATAATTATTATTATCGATACAGTGACCGAATCTATAGCTTTTAGAATTTGTGTCTGTCTGTGTGTATGTCTGTGTGGTAACACATCACGAGAAAACTGCTGGGCAGATTTTGATGAAATTTAGTATGATGATAGGTAGTTATCCGACTCAACTTATAGGATAATTTTTACTGTGTAAAAATATGTCATCTCTAAGAAATCTAAACATAACTAGGGACGAACCGGAGAGGAGTGAGGTGAGTCTATATATAAATAACAAAATTTACACTTTTCTGTCCAACTTGTTAATATCATATTCCAAATTCCAGGCCAACTTCCCGATTCCGTGGCATCCGCACATAGTGTCCGTGTCTTTGATCAAGCTGGGCCAGTTCTTAGTCCTGGGCGTCCCGGGGGAGCCTTCCACCATGGCGGGGAGGCGCATGCGCAGGGTGGTGGAGAAAGTCATCGAGAACCGGGGGGTGTTAGGGAGTCGTGGGGTGGTGGTGGTATCGGCGCTGTGCAATGAGTACATACATTATGTTACCACGTTTGAAGAGTATCAAGTACGTTTAATGTTATAAAAAATGAAATTTGCTCTATAAAGTTTTTTTTCAATTAGGTTCTTAATAACTGTCAATATTAGATAATATAATACGGATGTGTTGTCAAACACCAATGGAGTCGATTTATGTCTTGTAAGGCAATTTTTTTATATCCAATTTCCAGGTGCAGCGCTACGAAGCCGCCTCTACTATCTACGGCCCGCATACATTAGACATCTTCCTGCACAAGTTCCACGAGTTCACTTTAGCAGCTCTTAATGTAAGGGTGGAAAGAGTATATATACTTTTTTTTCAACATTGGGAAATGTATTTATACATATCACTTGTACGAAAAGTGGTTATGTGAAAATTTACAGACTATCCAGTACTACCCACTAAAACCCAACCGAATCTACCCCTCTATCTCTATTTAAATGTCAACTAGCGACTCACCCTCGCTTCGCTCGGGTTCGTCCCTGGCTCGATCCCCATATAAACTTTCATCCCCATTTTCACCCTCTTAAGAGATGATGTCCGGGATAAAAAGCATCCTATGTCCTTCCCAGGGTCTCAAACTATTTTCTTACCTTTCATCTAAATCGGTTCAGTATATCCAGAGATTACCGCCTACAACATCACAAACTCACAAACTTTACCTCTTTATAATATTAGTATAGATCTATCTTAATGATAGATATACTCGGGACAGGACACCACGACATTTATTATTATTTACTAAATGTACTCCGTGTGACTTCAGCACAAGTACCAGGCGAGCATAAGTGATAAGGAGTGTACGTAGTAGTTGGTAAGCACTCTTATGACGTTGCCCATAATGGTATTGGAGGTTTGTGGTCTCCTAATGCTAGTAACGTCATTATCTAAGGGCAGCCCATAATGTGAAGTCATCGTAAACACCCGGCGATCATAAGTGTTAAGGGATGTAAGTTATAAGACGTTCGTGTACAGTCCTGTCTAGGACTTTTTTCAATACATTTCAATATGTATATTGTATGTATGTATGTGCGTTTCAATATGTATAGTGTAATATACAATGTATATTGCTTGATGTTTATGATATCCTAGTCCTTGTGACAAGTTTTATGAGTCAAGGGCAGACAGCCAAAGGGGTTTTATTCCTACCGGGCGTTCCAGGACACCTCTCAATCTTTATATATTTTACACTAATAATAATTGAAGTCACAAAGGTCGTGTAGCCTAGTGGTAATCCGCTCGCTTAGGAAACCGAGTGAAGCGTTTTTAAAAGACATGTGAAGTCCGCTCGCACTTGGTCAGCGTGGTGGACTATGGTCTATCTCCCTCGTACTGAAGGGAGGCCCACGCCCAGCAGTGGGACGTTAAATAGGGCTTAATACAAATACGCCCACAGCGCAGTGCAGTGCCCGCCGGCGCGCCGCCCGCGGACTACACGGCCCGCGCGCCGTCGCTGACGCGCGCGCCCGCGCCCGACGCGCGCTGGCCCGCGCCCGGCGTCGCGCGGCGCCAGCCGCCCGCCACCGTGCGCGCCGGCGACATCGTCACCGTTGAGTTTGTGAGACACTTTGTTTTATTTATTTATTTATTTATTTATTTATTTATTTATTTATTCATTCATTCATTCATTCATTCATTCATTCATTCATTCATTCATTCATCCATCCATTCATTCATTCAGTCATTAGTTCACAAAACCGACATACAGATTAAATAAACAAGCTTAATTATAATTATTCTAAAGTATACAATCAGACAAATGATGTGTTCTAAGATGTGAACATCACATGCATATGAACATAACTAAGTATTAACAATAAAAATATATACTGTAAAAATAATAGGAGATATGTATGTATCTTCCATTTATTATATCATTCTTAAATTGTAATTTGATGACAGAATTGTATAGTGATTGCTTTATCCAGCAAAATAGCCAATAAAATGGCTGTGACACACATATAGACTATAGACGGACAAGCCAAAATTATAAGGGTTCCGTTTTAACCAGTTGGCACAATGATATGCTAACGTCACCTTTCGGAAAGGTTATAGTAAAGGTATTTTACGATAGCAAAAAACTGAATAAAAATTGGCAATATGTTTCATGTTATTTTTTTCACATCAAAATATACTTTATTCAAATAGGCTTTTTAAGTACTTTTGAATCTACCACAATAATTCATACATTAGGTCATTTGTTAAATTTAGGTATGGGTTGTTAAAAACATCAATTTCCATAACGAACAGTTACGAAGTTATATCACTTTAGATAACTGTATGGATTAGTTGACTGTGTTTTTGGAAGCAGTTTTAAGACATAGAAATACAAGTAAACCGAAAAAGATATGGATCGACTATGTGAAAGAGGATATTTATGTGAAAGATGTGTGTGCTGAAATGATGACTGATAGAAGAAAATGGAAGAAGGAATCATGTTTTGCCACACGAAAGGTGGGTAAAGGACAAAGAGAAGAAGAAGCTTTTACAAGCACTTTTGTTCCTAATGAAAGCTTATTATAAAATAATGTTCTCGTATGCAGGTGGGCGCAAACCCGCGCAACGACCTGCGCCAAGAGTCTACCTACGGCGAGGTGCAGCGCTACGAGCTCGGCCGCTGGGTGCAGGTCGCTACTGACGCAGACTGGGACACTAAGTGAGTGCTGCTCCATTTACTAAGAACGCCGTAATATAATGAATGGTCTTTAAACTCATAATTGCTTTTTATTACTTTTTGACTATAAAATTACTGGTTTAATATTAGTAATGGAAATTTCTTGTTTGTACTCACGATCGACCATCGACTTAATTTGCCAAATAATCATTGTCAAGTTAGAGATCCTAGTGGCAGGGAAGCCCAAGAGGGGATTTTTACAGTTACTCAAGCGCGGCAGATTAACATATGGGGGGATACCTTGCACTCTGTTGACTACATCCACCATAATATAAGGCCTCTATATATGTTAGGGCGTGCGTCTAAGACAGCCGATCAGAATATTTAAAAAAATAGTCGAAGAGGCAAAAAAAATATGTTGATTTTTGCCTCTTTGGCTTGTGCAAATTGGCAGATTATTGAATTGTATACTTTTCAGGATATAATTAGCCCACCATACCTTAATCTGACGGTTTGAAATATTTCTACCTTATCAAAATACCTTTTAAATATTTTGATCGGCCGCCCTAGACGCAGGTCCTTATATGGAGGACTTTTATTATGCTGGAGGTACTCAACAGAGTGCAAGGTATCCCCCTTATGTTAATCTGCCGCGCTTCAGTAACTGCAAAAATCCTCTCTTGGGCTCCTCTACTATAGATAATCCCACTTTGTTTTAGTGAAAACCGTATGAAGATCTGAGATTGGCCTAAATAAACAGAGGCTCAACTTCATTTAATCTGTTTTATACATATAATAAAATTGTAACTAAGTCAATCTGGACATTGAATATTTTTTAGAAAATCCTATTGAAATAAACATTATTACGATACAGAGGTCGAATCTATCGTTTTTGGAATTTTTGTCTGTCTGTCTGTCTGTCTGTCTGTCTGTTACCGCATCACAGAAAAACCACTGGAGTGATTTTGATGAAATTTGGTATGGTGATAGCTGGTTATCCGGGTCAACATATACAATACTTTTTACCGCGAGAAAATATCTCATTTCTGAGAAAAAATACAAAAACTGTAATGTAAGAGTATACGATGTAAAACCTTAGAATTTGGTTTTTGGTCATCTAAACGCGGGCGGAGCCGCGGGCAATGCATAGAACTATATATAGATTGTTCGATTATAATATGACACATTGATCCCAGATTCTATTGGAGGCGCGAGTCCCTGCTCCCCGGCACGAGCCGCGCCACGCTGCAGTGGCGCGCGCGCGGCGGCGTCCTCGCGCCGCACCGCGTGCTGTACCGCGGCGCCGCGCGCGCGCCCTCGGGGGGCCTCACGCACTTCACAGGAGTCTCTGATAGCTTTTATATACAACCTTAGATGGAATATGAGATTATGTATTTATTTTGTTTGTGTATGTGTGTGTGTAGTTGGAATAAAATTTAGTACACAGATTATGATCTTTTTTTTTGTAAATATGAGCTACTGTTAGGCATGGAGACCGTGTGAACGTGTCATGAGGAGAGATGTTGCAAGCAAGAGAGTGTGAGTTTGAATGTAGAAGTAGTGATGGATATAGAAGTGGAAGTAGTAGCAGAAGTAAAGCAAGCAACGTATGGATGGACTGTGCGAAAAAAGATATTATACATACATAATATCTTCTTGCACACACTTTTTCCTTTTTTGAATGGTGTGGTTGCTGAGATGAGTCATAGAAGGAAATGGACGATGTAAACATATAGGGTCGATAGAATAATCATATAATTAATATCTTAATACTTAATAGAATTAAGTTTTATATAGAAAAATATATGTAAAAATTAAAAAATATATTAAGAAAATTATTATAAATATACTTTAAAAGCATAAATAAATGAAAAAAAGTATAATATACTCATTTTATTAATTTAACATACATACATACTAACCAATTTTTAAATGTTAAACATTTGAACAAAGTTTTTCTTTATTTTTTTTTTATTTAGTTCTAAATAATTCGATACCGTATCGACTCTTATTATAATAATGTCTAAGAGCAAAAATGTTGGCACTATTGTGTATAAGCCGACTAAATTCAATGATCATGTTGTTACAATTACATCCTCCTTTACATATCCTCATAATAATTGCCATTGATTTTGTTCCAATTTACTATAGACTTATTGATATATAGTATTTACACGATTAGCAATTCTATGTCTATATCATTAAAGGCTATTTTGTCCTAGCAACTAAGTTTACTTAAGTTGTTTTATAAGTGGAATTTTATTAATGTTTTGTTTAGTAATTAGTTTTAATTTTTCTCGCAGTATAACCCATTTCGTAACACTGAACTGTTCATTTTTCTATATTTAATGTTTTTTTTTTAAATGATTTATATAGTTTTTGGCCACAATATGGATTTTTAACAATTCTCTTATTTTGATGATTTTTTATCATTCTCTTATTTGGCGTTAAGATCCTAAAATCTAGTGTCAATTATTAGGTAAACTTAGTTTTATGTTACATTGTAGTTACGTGATTACATTTTAGTTTAACACTATCAAAGAAACTGAAAGGTGAGTATTTTTTTGTTTATCTATTGTCAATTTAGACAAATCAAAGATGACCTCTGAAAAGAGTCAAGGACGAAATACTGAAAGATAATATTTTGAGCATATTTTAACACAAATCATGTGAAGAAGTTACAACTCCTTGAAGAAAAAAAATGTTCTATAATATTTATTGATAGTGATAAACTACCATAGATTCTTTTATATGCATAATGCAAAGATTGGTCTTGAAGAAACAGTCATACTTAGTCTAAGACAGCTAAATTTTAGTTATTAATTAAATATATTAGATTAAATATTCGTTATTTAAAAATCTTAGTAAGAAAATTCGCTGATATTGAAAAATTCTTTCCCGTGTCAACAATCAGTCTCTCCCGTAACCATGATTGCTAAAAACATTTGAAACGTCTGGAACAAAAATCGAAATAAACCCGCAAAAAATCCGATAATATATATATATATATATATATATATATATATATATATATATATATATATATATATATATATAAAATATAGTTTTAATTAAAAACTAGCGACTTACCCTCGCTCCGCTCGGGTTCGTCCCTAGTTGCGTTTAACCTTTAGTATAGATTTCTCAGAAATGGGATATTTTCCCGAAGTAAAAAGTATCCTATATGTTGACCCGGATAACCAGCTATCATCATATCAAATTTTATCAAATACTATGCAGTGGTTATCTCGTGATCCGGTTATAACAGAAAAACAGATATACATTCTAAAAACTATAGATTCGGCCTCTGTCTCGATATTCATGACTATTTCAATAAGATTTTACAACAGATTCTACTCAGAATTTAATTATATGCCTATTAGATGTCAAATATTCGCGTAAATCTAACAAAGTATTATTAAACAATACTTTACTTATCTACTCTTTTACTTATCACATTGTTTTTAATTCACGTTTTTTAACCAGATAAAGATTGTAATCTTACCGGGGGTCATAATCTTTAGCACTCGATAAAATTAGTGCTTACATAATGTGTTATCATTAATGCTTTATCAGTTCAAAACATCGCTTGTGTCTGCTTTTTTGTTATGAGATATTTTTAAAGAATAATTATTTAATTTTTTACTAATATAAGAGAATTAAAGTGATTTTAGAAGTGGTTGTTGGTAATAACGTGTTAGTTCCTATTTGTTTTCTTTAATGTTTTTAATTAAAAAAATATAGTTTATGTACAATTTATTTTTAACTGAACGAATTGAATATTAATTTAAAACGATCATTACAATTAAGTAAATTCACCAGTGAGATATATTTACCTACTTCGATGTGTGTATTTATTGTATAAATGTTATTAAGGAACCCTAAAAATCTATCGTCACAAGAGATCCTATCTAATCAAGTCATCTCGTAATAAATTATGTCTTTATTTTCGTACATTTCTTCGTAACGTATGGACGTTTCAATTTTGAAAAGTATACACGATTCGATTAATGATTTGCTTCAACACAAATCCCTCAGTTTATTCACTTGGTCAAGACTATGGACTTAGTATTCATTTCTGATCCTCCTTATTTTTGCCATTTATTCCTCAATTAAAAATTATCTATAAATAAAAAAAATATCTATCAATCTTTGGGGTATGTTATCTAAGTAGCTCATAACGCTGTGTGGGCAAATCGTGGAAAGTCGAGCTATTTATGGCACTAAAATTCCAAAAAAAATATCATCATTATCATCATCACTAATTGTACAAAGCAGAAATACGGTCTTAGAAAAAATAAATTAAAAAAAGATGTTGTATATTATGCGTATCTTTTGTTGGAGATTCTAATTAAAATAAAATAAAAATAATTTTCCAGATAATTTGACATGTCACGTATCACAAAGAAGGTGATCAACTCGCCGGAGACGTGCGTGGACGACAACCTCCGCGGCGTAGTGGCTTTGTATCCTAAACTACACTTGCATCCCAAACATCGTGTCGTCACATATAGAAGAAAAGTGAGAATTATTAACTAATACTAGCATTCACCCGCTCTGAAAATGTATAAATATAAATCATTGTATTTGTTTGTAGGATGACTCGGGACGAGTGGCAATCCTAGGTGGCGGCGGCTCTGGACATGAACCCTTTGCCGCAGGTACAATATTTATATATATTATAGTAAAATACGAAATAGTAATGGGATCGAGTTTGCATTTTTTTATGGGGCTGACACTGTACGATGTACGTGCACTTCCTTCATTCATGTCTAACATTAATCCTAGGTTTTTCTCTTCATCCATAGCATTTTAAGGCCTTTTCTTCCTATATACCCATATAGTTTCCATTCCCTCTCATTACATTTGCATTTACAGTAACATTTGCTGACAGGTTCGATTGTCAGTATTTGGACCATTGCCAAATGCACATACTGACAAATCGAGTCTGTCTTAGATAAGGTTTAGGATTAAGTGGGTTAAATTTGTACTAACATTAGGTTAAAGTGTGTCTTTACTAACAAAATACGAACCTTGATGGTTGAAATAAATGATATTAATATTATTATTAATTTGTAATTTTTCTGCAGGTCTGATAGGCCCAGGGATGTTGGACGGAGCCGTTGCGGGCGGCGTATTCGCGTCACCCCCCACCGGGAATATACTGTACGCTATAGCACAGCTTTATAAATATAATTCAGGTATATAATCGAATTCTATATATGAAAAACTTTGTATGTCTGTATGTTTGTTACTCCTTTATACTGAAACAACTGAACGAATTTGGATAAAATTTTGTACACAGACTATGACGGTGTAGGACAGTTAGTCGCTAATACCCATGTTATATGTGAAATTTTTGAATTTGAATAAAATGTATATATAGATTAACGATTGGCAAAATTTTCTCGTAATGCAATTTACGTAAACACAATACGAATTGTGCAAGTACTTCCTTCTTTTAAAATCGGTCAATAATTTCAATAAATACATTAAATATTTCATGAATACACTAACCTATTGTTTGAGAAAAACTTTGCCAGTATAAAAAATAAAGAGTTTTATTTATTACCAGTCAAATAATTTTAGGTGGAGTTCTAGTGCTTTTGGGCAACTACACAGGAGATAGATTGAACTTCGGGAAAGCTTTTGAAAAAGCTAAAGTCGCGGGTATTAAGGTTTGTGACATTATTTTATTCCATATTTTTGAGATATTTAATAACAATATTTAATGATGAAATTGTCATCAGGTTGAAGGTTTCATAGTGGGAGAAGACGTAGCGTCGAGTCACAACAAAACTGGTGGCAGAAGTATGGTCGGAGAAGTGTTTCTTTATAAAGTAAGTGATTAAAACCTAAAAGAGGATTAATTATATTAAAACTTATATTTCCTTAAATAGTTGTTTCTAGTATCTCTGTTTTGGATTTCATAGACTCAAAATGAGCACGGCCACAAACATTCGCAGAGATCCCTTATCAGACTAAAATTTTGGCATATCACCTGAGATCCACATTTGGATAACGATAGCGTATTGCAAAGACGGTCACCCACCCATTAATTTATATTATGAAAAATCTAGTAGAAGTATGAAAAATTAAGTAGAAGCTTGAAATGTTGTTTGTAGTTTGAATAGGTCTGTATGAAAATTACCATTGAGGTGATTGAGAAAGCCAACGTCTAGTGGCTTTCTGCACAAGTTCAACATTAAATGTTGAGTACAAAATGACTAAACTCCCATAGGTGACTCGCTTAATCGATGCCCCATCTACATCCGTGTCACCGGAGTGGAATGGAGCACAAATACCATTGCAAGAAAGTTTACCAAAATATTTCAATTTTAATAAGAAGATTTAGCCAATTCCACCTTTTCGAGCATCTAGGCTCCACTCTGAATGATTATTATAAGGTCTTCAGGCAGAAGATTGGTATTATAATTATACGCTACACAATATAGTTATGCTTTTTAACAGCTGTGCGGCGCGATGGCTGCTCGGGGATACGATCTGTACGCCATACGGGACATGGCGGCTGAAGTTAATAATAATATGGCAACCCTCGGAGTGAGCCTGAGCGCGTGCTCCTTGCCAGGTATATTATTCTATAGCTTTAGTCAGTTCATTTTCAGAGATTTCCGTTTTTAGTTCGTTAGAACATTTAAAAACATTTAGATTTTTCGAAATGCATGGCACTATTTGCACAATAAAAACGAAGGCTTGTAAAGTGATGCGCAATGTAAGAATAGGAAATATGAATCAAATATTCCTAGGCAAATTTTTGCCACCCTTAATCGTGATTTTTATGCTCGAAATTCATATCAGACCACTCTCGAACTCTAATATAATAATGAACACTAAATCGAGCACCGACTCCTGTTGTAAGTCGGTCAAAACATTTAACTCCGTCTGTCCAGGCCAGCCGCCGCTGTTCGACACGGCGTGGGACGAGATGGAGCTGGGCACGGGCGTGCACGGCGAGGCCGGCATACACAAGCTCAAGCTCGGCTCTGCCAGGGACACTGTTGCTTTGATATTGGATAAGGTATAGTTCAGTACCCAATAACTGCCTCCCACACCACCCCCTACCCCTTTGTCTTGGGGGGCTTAGTACCGTCCGGAAATCCAGCCGGGCGTGGCGCGGTTTTACATGCATAGTACTTCCATCTCTAACCGTTAGTCCTACATAATCACCTGTATGTATGTAGGTGATATGCGTAAATGAATTTTCCAACATTAAAAAAAATCGTTTAGTATCCAATTTTGCTAATGCAATTTAAAAAAAAAAAGTCAGTTTCAAATTAAAAGTAGTATAACACATAATTTCACTCGCACCACGTTAAGTAGTTATGGCATAATAAACCTTAACGTATGAAACAAACACTCTTTTATTGACTTCACTTATAATTTTCTTCAAATGGATTTTATCTACTTCTTATTGTTGTTTCGATTTTTTTTAATCGATATCTTCAAAAAGGAGGAGATTCTCAGGAGGCTGTATTTCTATGTATGTGAAGTTCATATGATGTTATACGATCGAGTTCATATGATGATGGAGGTAGAAAGTGGATAAGATATTTCTTAATTTGGTTCCGTTTTGACCTCATGCATTAGAGTTGCTCCAAAGCATGGTTTTCATATAAATATTTGCAGATTGTAGCGCATCTCAAATTGCAAGCCGGTAACCGAGTAGCGGCCATGATCAATAACTTGGGAGGGACTTCCCTCATGGAGATGAATATTATAGCTGCCGAAATTAAGGACTATTTAAGTATAAATTAATTTTATTTTCATTTTATTATTTACATTTATATTGTTAATCAATAATTATAAAAAATATATTACAAAAATAATTTATTATTATTAAATAGAAACGACGTTTTGAAATGAAAAATATACGGGTATATGTAATATTTAATTGTAAATTTAAGAAAATTTAATTGAATTGAATGTAATATTTTTTATTTCTTTATAAATCTCAAGTATTAAAAATTCTGAAAGAATAATGTACGAACTTATTTTCCAGATCAAAAACAAATAATAATGGAGCGTCTATTCTCTGGTCATCTAAAAACTTCGCTAGAAATGCACGGCTTTCAAATTTGTTTGTTACATCTAAATAAAGAAAATGGCGACTTGTGGCTTGACCTAATAGATGCTCCTACGGAGGCTGTAGGCTGGACCGGCGGCGTGATGTCGGTGAGAGGAGATGATGACGGACAAGATGGTGATGATGATACGTTGCTGCAAGAAGATGAGAAAAAGGTGAGGCTTTATTTGGGGGGTATTAATTGATTATTAAGGCAGTGGCAACCCAGTGGTAACGCGCCCGCTTGGGAAACCGAGTGAAGCGAGTTGAAATCCCGGGTCTCGCATATCTGATATTTTCATGTGCGAATCATTTCCAACATGATTACCACTTGTCTTAACGGTGAAGGAAAACATCGTGAGGAAACCTGTATGTCTGAGAGAACATAGCAAGTTTTCAAAAAAGACATGTAAAGTCCGCCAACCCGCACTTGGCCAGTGTGGTGGACTATGGACTGATCCTTCTCGTACTGAAGGGAGGCCCACCACCAGCAGTGGGACGTTAAAAAGGGCTGAATATAATTGATTAATACATTTTGATCTTATTTTTAACGATCTAACTTTTATTTTCTATTTTAACATATCAGACAATAACTGCCTAAGATTTGTTCCATATTTCAAATATGGATAAATATTTTCCAGTATTCAATGGTGCGAGTGTGTTTTAAAATCATAAATAGTTTATATAATTTGACCGATACTTTAAACTAGATGGCAGGAAATTTGTGCGCTCATAATAGAGTTCGTTATAACTCATAGGCATCGATAAAAAAGTATTAGATACACAATCAGCGACAAAAAATGTCCTCATCGAATGAGTGTTTCATTTGAACATTTGAGCGCGCTTATGTTATGTATGTTTTGTGAAAACAACTTTAAGCGTTGTATTTAAGGTTCAATTTACATTGTTGTATATTTTTTTCAACTAGAATAATTACCTAAACACAATTTGTGACAGTTCTATGGGATTTTTTTCATGAGATCTTGTACATGTTTGATCGATACTCATGGGATGTGGGACATTCGAAATAACCAGTGCTCAACTGGTAATTTTTAAGCCATTAACAAGAGAATTGAATTGTAACTCCAGGCGGTCACCGGCCCATCATTATCACCCAAAGAGCAAGAGTTGCTGCGCGGCTGCCTGCGCGCGGCGGCGGGCGCGCTGCGCGAGGCGGAGCCCCTCCTCAACGCGCTGGACTCCGGGTGCGGCGACGGCGACTGTGGCATCACGCTGAGGAATTTCGCTGATGGTATAGTCTAGGATCTGGATGAGATTGTCTTACACTCATCTGGTTACTGGTTGCAAAGTGTTTTATAGTTGTGTGTACTTTTGTTTCGTTTAGATATTCCTTAGGTGTTTTACAGTAATATATGCTACTCCAGGTCATAGCCTATTTGTGTGTTTAATTTCATCCAAATACGTCACGCCGTTTCAAGGCGAAACAGTAGCAAACATACGCGTACATGTGCACGCACGTTTTCACGCACGCGCACACACAGATACAAATAACAACTTTTACATTTTTAATAATATTTCGATAATACAACGTTAATGGAGGATAGATGAACATTGCGAAATTATAAATCCATTTTTGCCATTTGTCATTGGAATCCTAATTATTTGAAAATTAAATTTATCTATATAAATATATTGGGACATTAACACACAGCACCATCTAGTTCCATGATAAGTTACGAAGCCTGTGCTATAGATAACAGATAATTGATACACTACACATACATATATAACATTAATACATATATATTATCAATATAAATATCCATGACTGGAGTACAAACATTTGTGCTCATCACACAAATGAATGCACCCAGCAGGACTCGAACCCGCGACCTTTAGCACAGCAAGTAGGTTTACTACATACTGAGCCAAACATGTCGTCAATTTACATTGTTTTATATTATACTAGCGACGACTCACTCTCGCTTCGCTCGCGTTTGTCCCTACCTTGCTTCCCAATACAATATTTCATCCCCATTTTCACCCCCTTAAGGGATAATTTCCGGGATAAAAAGTATCCTATGTCCTTCCCAGGATCTCAAACTATCTTTATACCAAATTTCATCTAAATCGGTTCAGTATATCCAGAGATTACCCCCTACAACGTCACAAACTTTACGTCTTTACAATATTAGTATAGATATTTAAACAAAACGATTCCAGCGGTGATCTTGTACCTGGAGAGAGCTCCAACGGAGCGGCCGTCGAGCGTGCTGTGGGCGCTGTCGGAGGCGGCGGAGACGGACATGGGCGGCACCTCCGGCGGCGTGTACGGCCTGGGGCTCGCCGCCGCCGCGCAGGCCATGGCCACGTGAGTTCCTCATTGGACCTACCGATTTAACCCCCCATGTGTGTTCAGCGATTTTTAGTGATACTCATTTAAACCCAACAGGTTCCAAAGTTACTTGAATTTAAAAGATAAATATTAAGTGATTCTCGCAGGGCCTCAGGTCTCGACCGTACGGCAATACTTGATGTATCACGATAGGTGAACTATTTTACTGATTGGCTACGAATTGTTTTCGTGCAATTATTGTTGTCATAGAAAACCAAAATAAGGAAAAGGCAGCAATAATATAGCCCATTTACGTTCCACTACTGATCTCCCTTCAATGCGAAGGGCCATGTGCATCTATAATCTGCAGAGTTCCTAACAATATTGATTTTCTAGTAATCCACTCATTAGCACAGAAGGTAGCGTAGAAGAAGAATATAGCACAGAAGACCAAAATGTTCTTTCTTCTATAATTACTAAAAATATTTTTGTTGATTTGCAAGAATCATGATTGCGAAATAATACTATATAAATCATAATTTTGTGTCAGTGCGACGGTGAACGATAGAGCAGCGTGGTCGGAGGCGGCGCGCGCCGCGCTGGCGGCCGTCGGCAAGTACGGCGGCGCCGAGCCCGGGGACCGCACCATGGTATGGCTTTTCATTATTTCTGCATATTGTCTCTTTCATTTCTTAATCATTTTCATCAGCTAGTTCGTATTGTTTCAATAGAATTCCAAGCTTTTTAAAGCTTAAATCCGCTGGGCTTTAAAAGCTGAGAAGTAGCAATAACACTTACTAGCTTAATAATTTTGCATTTGTAATAATATTGGCATTGGTAGGAAGTTATGTTATATTGTTTACCTATTTTAATACAAGACTTTGTAGTTCTTACATTAATATGTGTATATCTGCATGTCTGAGAGAACCTAGCAAGTTTTCAAAAGATATGCTCAGTCCTTGGCCAGCGTGGTGGACTATGGCCACCTCCTCCTCGTACTGAAGGGAGGCCCACGCCCAGCAGTGGGACGTTAAAAAAGACTGAAAACATACATATGTTAATCTGTCGCGCTTGAGTAAATCCAAAACCCCCTCTTGGGCTTCCCTATTATTTAATATGGTATACTTTCATATTAAATTATTATTCCCAAAATGTACAGTCATAGAATAAAGCTATTCAAAATATTTATTTCAGTTAGACACGCTAAATGCCGCCGTAGTCGCGCTGGAAGATAACTTGCAAGATGATCTGAAGACTTTGTTGGCGAAAGTAGACGAGGCCGCAGACAGCGCGGCTAAGGCTACCGTCCACATGGAGGCGAGGTGAAGTATAAATATTTATGGTATTACTAGTTTAGGAAGCTATCTATATTTTGAATTTCACTAAAATCCGTTCAGCCGTTATAGTATGAAGATGTAAAAACATAGTATATAATATTAATGTGCATATAATAAGGTGATTATGCCTGATGCCTACATAACTCTGAGCAAAATTGAAATAATTACTGACAAATTTTTTTTGAAGATAGCAAAGATTAATCGCGCTTTAATATATCCTAAGTTAGATTTATATTAAAAGGCGCCTGCGCAAATTTACACTCCGAGTTTCTAATCCCAAAATGACGAATATCGAAACAATATAAAACGTATACTTATGTACAATATCCAATTAAATGTTCGAGTATACCACTTCGAAGATACAAAACTATCTAAGGGTCACGACATTTTTCTATCATTTTTAACCGACTTCCAAAAAGGAGGAGGTTCTCAATTCGTCGGAATTTTTTTTTAATGTATGTTCACCTATTACTCGAAGACGCCTGAACCGATTTGGATTTTTTTTTGTTTAAAGGGTATACTTTCCAGGAAGTCTCATATAATTTTTATCGAAATCGGTCGAGATTCATAACTTGTAACAGCTGCAAAAAATCCTTTCACTTTTTGTGTTTGTCGATACCAGAAATACAATCAAATACAGACATTTATAATAAATGGAAATGTCCTTCGTGTTTGAATCGGATGCCTAAAACGTCTAAAAAGGATTCTACCCCTGTTCGTAATATCTCCACAACACGAGGCAACAAGAGGCCTGCACTGAACTCACCACCAGAAGAACACAGCTTAACCAGTGACAGAGTACGTGCTATTGTTGAAGACGTAGTAAAGACTGAGTTGAGTGCTATGATGGAAAAGCTAAAGTGCAGTATGCTCGACATAATAAATAAGGAATTGACACCAATTAAAAAAGAAATAAGGGATATGAACGAGTCTATGACTTTTATCAACAGCAAATTCGAATTGATCGAAGCCGACCAATTAAACGCGAATAAACTCCTAAAAAATATACAGGAAGATAACAAAAAGTTGGAAAGCACAGTGGCAGATTTAACACAACGTCTGAATTACTTGGAACAGCAGTCTCGTTCAAACAACATTGAAATCCAATGCGTCCCTGAAAAGAAAAGCGAAAACCTATACACTATCGCGAAGGCCTTATGTACAGCTGTCGGACATGAAATAAAGGAAAAAGATATACTGCATTGCACCCGTATAGCCAAACTTAATAAATCCAGCACTCGTCCTAGATCTATTGTCATTCAACTGGCTTCTCCCAGGGTACGTGATGATCTCCTCGCATCAGTTATTAAATTTAATAAAATACATGCTAATAGTAAGCTTAACGCAAGCCATCTGGGATTTCTTGGCAATAACAGTCCAGTCTATGTCACAGAACATCTGTCTCCAACAATTAAAGCTCTACATGCCGCAACAAGACAAAAGGCCAAAGAAAAAGGATATAGTTTTACTTGGGTGAGAAACGGCAGAATTTTTGTCAGAAAGAATACCGACACTGAACATATTCTTATTAGAAATTTGGATACCTTAAAAAAATTAGCCTAAAATTTGCATTTCCTATGTTGTCTTCATTATTTTTAAGTTTATAATGCATGTCATAGTCACTATTTTTATTCAAATTCAATTGTCTCCAGTTATATTATCAAAATAGTCGAGGCTTAAAAACGAAAACACTCGACTTTTACCGTAATGTTTGCTGTCATAATTATGATGTTATTGTTATATGCGAAACGTGGCTTAATAACTCAGTGCTTAATAGTGAACTATTCGATGATAGGTACGTTGTTTATAGAAGAGATAGAGAAAGTGTATTATATGGGCGTGGCAGAGAAGGCGGTGGAGTATTGATAGCTGTTAATAAGAAGTTTAATTCTAGGCGTCTAATGGAATGGGAAAGCGATTGCGAGAATCTATGGGTGATGATAGATATCCCAGTTATGCATGGTATTTTTAAAATTGTTCTTTGTGCAATTTATCTACCACCACCTGTTAGTCCTTCAACTTTGGATTATTTTTTAGATAATTGTAATGCTGTCTTTGAAAAAAACTTGGATATGAATGTATGTATAATCGGTGATTTTAATTTAGGAACACTTGATTGGAAGTCATTAAATGTAACAAGCAATACTCGAGCTTCTAAAAACACTAGTAAAACTATGATTGATTTTACAAATATTAATAATCTAAATCAATACAATGACATCACTAACTCCGCTGGCAGGACACTAGACCTAGTATTGTCCAATAAATCATGTAATGTTAAAGAAAGTATAAATCCTTTTAGTATCGTTGATATATTACACCCACCGTTAGATATTACAATATGTTTGGATAGTGAATTAAAGTTATCTTATAACACTGTACAAAGACATAACTTCTATAAAGCTAATTATGTGTTGATTCGTGAATATTTGGGAGATCTAAATTGGGAGGATTTATTTTCCGGAATTAGTGAAATAAATGATATGCTAGAGATTTTTTACAATAAGCTACGTGAAGCGATTACAAAATACGTACCATTATGCAGACCTAAGAATCAAAAACACCCACCGTGGTTTACTTATAAGCTTACTAAGGCGTTAAAAGAAAAGAATAAGATCCGTATGCGCTATAATATATACCAAAACCCGCGTGACCGTATTGAACTAAACTTACTTCGTAAACGTTGTGATAGGTTAGCAGTAGATTGTTATCACAAGTACATAAGTAATATTGAAGAAAACATTTTAAAAGATCCAGATTCGTTTTGGACCTATCTTAAAGTAAAACGCAACGGAACTAGTACCTATCCTCATAGGATTTCGGACGGGGTTACGTCTACCTCGGACGGTGCCCAAATTTGCGAATTGTTTGCTAAATACTTCTCATCGGTATTCTCCAAGGATGATAGTAAATATGCAGGATATGAATACAAGTACTTGAAATCCATAGAGCAAAATAGTCACAATCTTGTTGTATCAGAAATAGGTCAAAATGAATTATTGGATAAATTAAAGCATTTAAACTGCAAAAAGGGGGCAGGGCCTGACTTAATACCGCCTATCTTTATTGCTTCATGTGCCTCTGAACTGGTCTATCCACTAAAATTAATTTACAATAACTGTTTGGCTTCTGGTGTTTTTCCGTTGATATGGAAAAGTGCTAAGGTAGTACCGGTTCACAAGTCTTCGAACAACGAAAACGTCTGTAACTATAGACCCATTTCTATTTTGTCAGCTTTTGCAAAAATATTTGAATCATTAATTTATACATACTTTTATAAACATCTAAAACTATATCTGAGTGATCGTCAGCATGGTTTTGTTAAATATCGGTCTACAGAATCTAATTTGGTCCCCTTTACTGAGTTATTGGTTAGAGCAGTTGATTCTGGCTTTGAGGCCGATGTACTCTATACTGATTTCAGCAAGGCCTTTGATAAAGTTTCCCATGAAATTCTTCTTTATAAGTTACGAGCCTACGGAATATCAGGATCTTTATTGAAATGGCTACAGTCATATCTAAAAGACAGGTCTTTTTATGTTGCAGTGAATGGATATCAATCTTCTACTCATGAAATTTCTTCTGGTGTTCCCCAAGGATCACATTTGGGTCCATTACTATTTAATTATTTTATTAATGATATTCCTGATTGTTTCCTTTTTTCTGAGGTTTTCATGTATGCCGATGATTTGAAGTTTGTTAGAGTAATCCGATCTGTTGATGATACTAGGCTTTTGCAGAGGGACCTAGACGCACTAGTTAGATGGTGCGATGATAATAAAATGCACCTGAACCCTAAGAAATGTCTGTATATGAAATTTAGTAGGAAATATAATAACATTGTATCGGAATACTATATTAAAAATGTAAAAATTGAAGAAACGACTAGTATGCGTGATCTTGGTGTACTATATGATCAGAAATTAAATTTTAGTACGCATATGGATGATATAATTCAAAGAGCCTCTAGAATGCTAGGATTTGTTTTAAGGAACTGCAAATCTTTTAAACACATAAAAACAAAAATATTACTTTATAACACTTTAATTAGAAGTATTTTAGAATATTGTAGTGTAGTTTGGCGTCCTCACTATGCTACACACACACTCCGTCTTGAACGCATACAGAAACGTTTTCTCTGGCATTTATCATATTCTGTAGGCATACATAAAAGAGTAAAATCATATAAAAGTCGTTTAGATCATTTTAACATGGTCTCCCTATCAACGCGTAGAACAATAACTGATGCAATGTTTGTATATAAGATTATAAACAATCATATCGATTCTCCACACTTGTTACAGTTTTTTAAGTTAAGAGTCCCATCTAGAATTCCTCGTCAACCCATCACGCCACTTTGCCCACCCCTAAGTAGAACCATTTTAGGTTCCAACTCCCCCTATGCAAGATTATGTGAAATTATTAACATTTGTAGCGGTAGCATCGATCTATATCATGATTCCGCTGCTAAATTTTACAAATCTGTTGTTAATTATATAAAAGAATAACAATCTAATGTTGCGTTTCTTGGTATGGTATGGTTATGTTAATTTTTGTGAAAGTTAGGCATTATTTTTACTGACTTCTTTGTTATCATTATAATCAATTTGCATGTGGAGTTTACCTTTAAGTAATTGTTACACTATTACGAGAACATCTAAGATTGTATACTAATTATATAAACCGTGTAAACAATTGTTGGTAAACCTAAATAAATAAATAAATAAATAAATAAATAAATAAATGGTTAAAATCGAATATGTTATTAAAAAAATTTCTTCTTACAAATTACTTGCTTATTACTTCTACGCTAAAAATTTACAGTAAGAGTTCCAGACACTAAAAGGCACTGTCTTCGAAAATATCTGATTAGGTATCTATTTTAAATGAAAACCTCTGTTTAGTTATTTTGTAATTTGTATACATTTTAGTGTCTGGAAGTCGGTTTTTATATTTTTTTTAAAACTTTTTACAAATATGTTGTTTAGGGCGGGTCGCGCGTCCTACGTGTCTCGCTCGTACCTGACGGGCGAGGACGCGGGCGCGCGCGCCGCCGCGCTGTGGCTGCGCGCCGCGCTCGCGCACCTCCAACAAAACTACTAGACACTACGACACAGACAGACATACTGTGTGAGCGAACTGCTGCAGAGAATGGGACATATCATGGTGTGACACAGTTATATATAGAGACAAAGCTTACAACCGCGCAACGATATCTACACTAATATATTCAATTCTTTTGTTAATGACTTCAAAGCGTGCCAGTTGAGCATTACTTCGCCAATATCATGTAGGATGGAGAAGACTCCAAGAAGATTGGTTGGTAAAATAAGATCATTAAAAAACAATTAAATTAAAATGTATAAAGAAAGAACTACACACTAACACTTTATATATGGTGACAGGCGAAATGAAAACGTACATACGCCATGTATAGTAGTATTGTATGAAGTTGCATGTTGTATGATTTTTTTTCACTGCACAGATTCTTACTTGTATTTTTTTTATCTTTATTTATATATTTTTTCACGTTTGTCATACAATTTGTAAATGTCCTACGATGTACAAATGTCTGTTATGTAAAATATGAATAAATTTGTAAATAATAATAATAATGTATGTAATTAAAACGAGTTACACTATATATATATTTTTATTATATAGTATATTTTTATTTAGTTTATTCTTTCCCATAAAAATTATATTGTAAAAAATACAAATACAAAATAAAATTATTAATAGCATGAAGTCTAATCTGGAACAAAGAAAAATTAGTTCAAATAAATGTCTATAGATGGCGTTGTTTTTCAATTTTGTTATTGAAGTTTATATAGACTTAACAACAGATAAATAACTGATCCAAAAAGGTATGCGGTGGTAAAAATTACTTTATGTGAAGGAAAACGAAAGTGTAATGTGTATATTAAATCGTAATTTTACTGATTTTTGAAAAATACAAACGAATAGAGCCTCCTCTTTTTTGAAGAAGTCGATTGAAAATCAGCAGTAAGGTAAGTTTGTAGTGTATATTTCCAGATGGTGCTTTTATTTTTGAGTTTTTTGTTTTGCTGGTAACTATACCACAGTTAAAAACTGTTAGCGACTGATATATGCTAAATGGATTTAAATATCAATACAAAAAATAAAAATATAATATATTTATATAGTGAAATAGCTCAAGTTTATCTAATATCTATTCAAGCAAACAAAAATAGTCCCAAAAATAGATCAAAGCAATTTCTTTGTACAATTTCTCGAAAGACATTTTCAGTCCCGCACTTGACCAGGCGGTCCATAGTCTGACCCCCCTCGAATTGAAGAGAGGCTCATGCCCAGCAGTGTAACGTTAAAAAGGAATATAAATAACAAGTCGCATTTAATTAAAACAATAAATAATGAAAACTGCAAATTCCAACAATAATTTTATTCATCACATTAACAAGTAATTGTTCTAAATCTTACATTAAGTCTATTTTACATTACACATTATCTCAAGTGTAACGGTCAATTAGTTTATTTAAAAAAATCTTAATCACTACTTTCTTGGGTAAAATTCATACACTACAGACAACATTAAAACAAGCGTCATACCAAAACCTAATGAAATCGAAACAATTCATATCAACCCTCATTATGCCTTAAAAATCTTATTACTATATTTCTGTTTGCTGGTTTATATAAATAATTAATATAAAAATAGTACAGAATATGAATAGTAACTTGTAATTTTAAAAACATTAATAGTTTAAAAAAAAAATAGTTTTAAAACCAGTTTTAGTGATAGACAACTCGTCAAAGCGAATCAAATGAGCCCAAACTCAAAGAAAACATTGAAGAGTTCCACCATCCAGTTCCAGACTCAATCATCAGACCAGCTCGTTATCATCAAAATTAAATTCTTTTGTGTAAATCATATAGTGGGAAATAATAAATTAGTATCCAAGGTAGAGGTAAAAGAAGGTATTGTTTCTGAATAAAAATGTAGCACCATTGTCTATTGTACATATTAATGGCAATCATAACTTGTTACTACAACTTATTTCTATTTACTAACGGCATTATAAAAAGCAATTTTAGCTAATTCAACTATGTTATTGTACAGTCCGGCCTGCGGTAGTGAAAATGTAAAACTTGAATGGCTTATTAAGAATTTAACATTTGCTTCTATACAAACCTTATTTATAATTTATTATAATTTACCTTTGTAATATACTCAGCCTACAATTATAATATACTTGCACATTGTAGTATTTGTCCCATTCGACAATCAATTTATACTAAAACTTTATTTAAAAAAAAGTTTCTTACATTAATTACTAAAACAATTTTTATATTAAAATTAATATGATTTCTAATTATAATAATTTAAAATTAGTTATTATGTAATTGGGAACACCGATATGTGCTTACATTTTAAGTCCCAAAACCCCTAAACATTGATTATGCCACAATACATGAAAATACATATATTAACAGATTTAATATTATACTAGCAACACTCAAATCAATATTACTACCGTAATATACACTAAATATTACTCTAGTAATAATGCTTTAGGATTTTATGGATTGGTAACTCTATTATTATATATCACCTGCATTTTTTTATTATTTCAAAATTACATTGGCTTGTCACCTTGTGTACAAATGTATTTATTATCAATTCCCTGCATATAAAGTATTGTATATATTGTATTTGTTACGACGGGCGTGTACTAGAAGTCCCACTCTGTGCTTTTTTCTATCTCCATTTCTGACAGCTTCTCTTCTAACAGCAAGGCTGATATATCATCTGTAATAATAAAAGATGTTAAAAAATATTAGATTCAGTCATGTAATTCATGTTTTTGACCGACTTCCGAAAAGGAGGAAAATCATCATTTCAAATTTAAAATTATAAATTTAATTAAATTAAATTTTATGTATGTTAAATAATATTTTTGACGATTGTAATATTAAGGTGGAATAATTTCGTGTAAAATAATTTGTTACTTCAAATACATTTTTAAGTAAAACACAATTATTGAATAATGATTTTGTATTTTTAAATTAAAATTATTGTATGCAGATAAGATAGCTTTTCTCTTTTCTTTTGTCAATATATGAGAATCATATTTCTATTGCATAAAAAAGTATAATATAAATTGTCATATGTATATAATATAATAATATTAAAGTTTAATAAAATATAGTAGAAGAATCGATCAAAAAAGTACTAGATACACAATCCAATGAAAAAGTTCTCTTAAAACTGTCACCAATTGTGTTTAGGTAATTATTCCAGATGAAATAAATATACAACAATGTAAATTGAACCTTAAATGCGATGCTTAAAGTTGTTTTCACAAAAAAAAAAAACTATTAAAAGCGAGTTCAAATATTTAAATGAGCGCTCATTCGGTGAGGACATTTATTGTGTATCTAGTACTTTTACGATCGATGTGTAGAAGGATAAAAACAAGATTGGGACTAAAATCTTACTGCAGTAAGAAATTTTTAATTAGATATTGAATACTAGATTTAGCCATTTTATTCATTACTGAAAATTTGAGGAAAATTTATATGAATAGAATGTACCAATCTATATAAAAAACCGAACTGTTTCTAATTTTTTTTATTGATAACAGTTCGTCAATAGCTAATAAACAAAAGAAAACCAAAATCTATAGACAAACAGAGGAGAAACAGGTACTAGTCTTTTTGTCTTTGCCTATTTATATTATGAATATAAAAGTGCAAATAAAGAGAATGAATAAAATAAAAAATAATATATTATAATAATTCATACGTCCATGCTGCATATATGTTTTTAAGTTAACAATTTAAATATATAATAATATTTTGTGTATAAATATAATTGAGGGGTAGATGAAACTAACCGGGGTCTGGTTTGACAGGCTTGACGCGACCGATGAGGCTTGGCAAGAAATCAGTCTTCCTGATCTGCTTGAAGAACGGGTGGTTCAGCAGTTGGCTTGCTGACGGCCTTTTCTCTGGATCACTGAAGTTAAATAAACACAAGTGTAAAATCCTACTAATATTATAATAAATGTAAAAGTTTGTGAAGATGGATGGATGATTGTTACTCTTTCATGACAGAACGCCAGAACGGCTGAACGAAAAGTACACAGATATATATAATTATACCAGTTGAGAAGAATGAAATTTTAGCAGAGGTATGCCGTTCCAAAAATATACAATTTTTATATACATATTAATACAGAAAGAAATAAAGTTATTATTATATATACATATATTTCCAAAAGAACATTTATACATATAAAAATTAAATGTATGTAAAATTATAGCAAAATAATTTTAAGGTAAGATATTTTGTATGGACCCTATATACTCATATATATGTATATACTTGTATAAAGATTAATCTGGAATAGCACTTAGGTTACTTTTTCCAGAAAAATGAATGGTCCCCTTGGGATAGATTTGTTTTTGTCTAGGGACGAAACTGAAGTAATTCCCTATGCTATATACTCTATCTTAGACTTTAAAATTGAGATTTAAAACATTGAAAAAGCATGCTCAGACACAGAGTAGTTTTAAGTATATATGACATAGCATTGTGGTATACTTCTATTTTTCAATTAGCACACATGTGCATTGTTTGTGTGCGTAAGTGTATCAGTGTGTAAGTATATAAGTGTATTAATGTATAAATGCATATGTGTGTAAAGTATCTTCTTCTAATCCATAAATCATAATTCGTGAAAAAATCCGAAAAGATAGTTTTATTTAAAATGTCAAATATTTGTGTAAATCTAAGAAAGTATTATCTTCTTCTTTGTGACATTCTTGACAGAATGATCGTGGCCATTCATGTGGTCGTGGTCATTGGTAGTTAATAGTTTTACGTGTTAAAGTATATAAGTGCATAAATCTATAAGTGTAACAGTGCAAAAGTCTGTAAGTGTGTAAGTGAGCGTACCGCTGCAACAGCTGGTCACTGAGGTGGTGGAAGGCGTCGGAGAGCTTGCGAGCGGCGTAGGCGGCGCGCAGACGCGACACGCCCTCCGCGCTGTCGCCCACACCGCTGTCCGTGTTGTACATGCCTGATAATGCATATTTGTGTTCAAATTTTTATTTACACAATATCTTATAGTTATTGATTCAACTGTAACCTTGGCTCTAGAATATCTTTTAATAACTTTATAAGGAACATAAATGAATGAATGTAGAAATCTACTTGATGTAGTAGGATTGTAAGTCTATTCTTCTGAAAGATGAATAGAGATGATTGAAGAACAGGGTTGACAATCAAAATAATAGTAAGGATATTGCTATAGTGTAACATCTGTAAATAGAAGTCTTACAGATTATGTGGTACTGTAAATCTTTACTTACTGAAATGCCAGTCTATACATAAATAAAATAAAATCATATTTTATATATTTTAAATTAATTCAAACACTTGATATAGTGCATAAAACAAATTTAAAAATATTACTGGATAAATTTTATTTTATAAATAGCAAAAAGATTTCTTACAAAACTACTCACTTTTCATTTCACCATCGTCCAGAGGCTCTGGAAAAGAGGAACAATCAAGTAGCTGAGGCCTGCTGCCTCGCACTTTCTCCGTAAACATTAGTGTTGTAGGCACTTCGGCAAATGGCACAGCTCCATTAGCTAGTTCACAACATAACACTCCCAAGGAATACATGTCAGACTGCTCATCATAGCCTTTCAAATTCTAGAAAATTGGAGACACATTGTTATATTTTTTTTAATTTATAGCAACATTATCATTTTTTTTTAATAACATTGATATGACAATAACAAAATATACATCTGTATTTTTTTTGCCTTATGCTTACATTTTTAATTTTTAAGGATATAATAAAGCTTGTATTGATATGTACTTCAATTCAATATATGTTATTGTTTACCTGTTCCAATAATTCAGGGCTAAGCCACATAAGATTAGCATTATCATGGTCGGGTGGTGGCAAGTTATGTTGCCTTTGACGCCTCCCACGAACCATCATGCAAGCCGCACTCCTGAGTCCTGATACACGAACTGTGCCATTTGTGTCTAGCAATACATGACTTGCTCTAACACTCCTAGAAATTGGAATTTTTAGCTTATGTATGATTTACAGTATGAGTTCTTCATATAATTTATGAATGTAACAAATTTTTTAGTATATGAAGGAGATATTCCATACATAATGTTATAAATGTGAGGGTGTGTTTATCTGTCCTTCTTTCATGTCGAAAGAGAGAGATGGATTCATGATTTTTTGTGTGGATATAGTTGGAACGCTAGAGAGTGACATGGCTAATTTTTACTGCAGGAGATTGTCTCATTCCCACTAGAGAATACATGTATATCATATAGTATAGTTGATCTATTCCATACTAACCGTTAAAACATACTTTACAATGAACCTGAGTGAAGCGAGGGTGAGTCACTAGTATTCTACAAATTAAAATGAGCTAACATCTTACCTGTGAATATAAAATTGTTTATGTAAATACTGCAATGCTAATAAGACATCTCTCAATATCATAGCACAGGCCAGTTCAGGCAGGCCTTCTTGAAAGTATCTATCAAGGATGTCCCTACAAGACCCCAAGTTCATGAGTGGTGAAACTACATAGAGTTCATGTCCAAACACAAATGAAGTAAGATATGGCAGAATGTTAGGATGTTGCAACTCTTTCCTTGTAAGAATATCTTGCTGTAAAAGGATTTTTTTCATTATTATATAACAATTATTTGGTACCCAACATATAATTGAAAGTTTAAGCTAAATTGATATTTTGATTTTTAATAAAAAAAAGTAATTTTCAGTTACATACAGGATAATTTTTCATATTCTTAGTTTTGTATCAAATGAAAAGCTTTAAGCATCATTCATCATTAGTGTTGACATATGTACCTGTATCAAGCTGGCTTTTTCTTTAGATTTATCCACAAAATATCTTTTGATAGCCACATTTTGGTTATATGGTTTGTAAACAGCTGAGTATACTACTGCAACGCCCCCACAGCATTCTGCTATAATTGAAGTTAGCTGGTAGTCGTTAATATCTGGATTGAACATTGCACACCGTCAAATGATATTATATAATTTTAACGATATTTCTTATTTAGCTCACTAACACATGATTATAAATTTATTATATTAACAAAAAAAACAATTTCGTTGAAAACTAAGGTAAACATCCAAGAAATCAACAAAATATGCAGTTTGACAGATTATCGTTCGGAAACGTACTCACAGATTGATAGAATTAGAACCTTACCTAAAAAGTATGTTTTGAATATAGTAAGTAAATATTATTCTGAAGAATATTAAAATTAATATTAAGTATATAAAAGTTTTCAATTATGTACTATGCTCATCAATATTCTTTTATTTAAAATAAACGATTTAGATTCCTTTGAACTCGATATTCAATAAAATATGAGTTTAACAGAGCTTATTTATCATTGAAATTTAATAATTACTGTTAATAGCAAATTGTCAATGTATTTTTATTATATAGCCACTTTTGGTTTCGGAGCGTTTTGAAAACTATTTATACTAACTTAAAATTAAATTAAGAAAAAATAAAACTAAATGTGAGACATGTAGCCGATTTGAGGCTTCTTTAATATCTGATTACATACTCGGCTGGCGGATGCCGGGTGGGCCGAACAGACGCTGAGTTTGCGTCTCTCTTATTCTATGAAAATCTTAATCTAGAGCGAATGGACGAGGTGTAACCATAACTAGCTATTTATTGTTCATATTTGTAGACATTGTGCTAAGGAAGATATTCTCATCCCTGAATCCTAATAGATTATAAAAATATCTGTCAATGTCATTAGAGATTTGAGTATTATGGCGGGAAATATCTAATAAATTATATTTAAAATAAAAACAAAAAAAAAAGCTTTTGTGCTTCCTGTAATCTATAAGTATTCCAACAAGATAATATTGTAAGAGAATATGTTTAATTTTTTTTTTATAAATATGCATTAAGATTTAAGTTTGCCTATGCATACTTAACAAATTCAGGAATTCAGGTACGTGAACATCATCGGCTTCGTTACAATTTTTTTATATGTATAATAAAATTGTAACTAAGCCGAATCTGTACATTAAATATTTTTTTGGAAAATCTTATTGAAATAAACATTATAATCGATACAGAGGCCGAATCTATAGTTTTTAGAATTTTGTCTGTCTGTCTGTCGGTCTGTCTGTCTATAACCGCATCACAGAAAAACAACTGGAGGGATTTTGATGAAATTTGGTATGGTAATAGCTGGTTGTCCGGGTCAACATATAGGATAGTTTTTACCGCTGGAAAATGTTTCATTTCTGAGAAAAAATACAAAAACTGCAATGTAAGAGTATACTAATATTATGTAAAACCTAAGAATTTGGTTTTTGATCATCTGACCGCGGGCGGAGCCGCGGGCATTGCTAGTACAATATAAAGAATTGATTAAAAAAGAAATACTATGCGAGGATCTGGAGTTTATTAAATTAAAGTAATTATTCTTACGTCTTATATTATTTTGTTAGTTTGTCTGTAAAATGTAAATTATAAACGACAAATCCATCGCCTTATCTAGGTAGTTCATAATAGATATTTATGAATAATTCTCGCGAAATCTTGTAAAGGGGTACTAAACTATAAGAATTTAATGTAGAGTTTTGCTACTTTAAGTATAGGTACTTAGCGCACACCGAGAACTTCAAAGACGGGTTTTTGTCATGGGGCATATGTTTAATATGCAATAAAATGAATGTGGACAATATATCTACATATTATATTTTAATAAAAAAATACTCAGGCAAATAAAATATTTTTGCGCACTTAACAGTATTCAGGAAAGGGCAATTTATTCGTATGTTCAGACCAAACTAAATAATATGAATTGTCCAATTTCTTCGTATCTTTGTTTGTTATTGAGTATAACATGTATATATGTAGATATATTATTACGTTATCTACGGCTAACATTTTATAAAAACCGTTTATTCTGCATTTTCTAATTATTTTCGTTTGTCAATAATACCTACCAATTCTCCGCTCCGCCTAGACTCTGCTTGTTACAATGTGGGCATACTATGTTTTCAGTACGACCGGTCAGTTTAATTAATGAAAATCCATCCCTTGCGAATCCGCGAACTCGGGCATATTTAAAGTGCCACTGCACTAAGTCTATTGTCACAATGAGTCATATCAGTTCTTTTTGGAATTTAGGTAGCTTTTAATGTGGATGAATCATAAATCTAAACTAGATAAATTTTAGGTTACAACACATACTTCAAATGCATTTCGCTCTTTATTATTGCATATTAAATTATAAAATACGGCGCATAAATTATATAATAAATAAAATTTATTATAAAAGCTACGGATGCAATGGAAGCTTGCATACCGCTTCGTTCAGAATAACATTCATAAGAAATAACATTCCTGTAATGACCTCATTACGTAATGATTTACTTCGGAGCAATTTCTTTTCGTCTGTTAAGTTTTACGACGAAAATTCAGCAATATATTGTAAGGTTGCATTTTTATATATTGAACGTTTTAATAGAAAATAATATAATTGCTTAATTTGTTATGATTTATGTATAAGAGATTTACTCATGTGGCCTTGGCCGATAGGAAAGTGTTTTAAAAAAAAATAAAAAAGGGCGCGGATCTTCATTTGTTTTCCCGCGCTTTTACAGATGTCGATAGGTACCATGTAGTGACAAGTCACGAATTGTTTATAATACTGAAAATTATGATTATAAATTATGTAACTAACTGACGGTTATAAAAGTACTGAATATAAGAATATAAGCAAGGAATATCTCGAAGTTTTATTAGGGATCCAACAATATGTACATATGTGCTGTTTTATTAATAATCAAATAATATATATTCTGCCCTTTTTAAAGACCCACTGTTGGGCCACCCATTAATGCGAGGTGGATCAGGCCATAGCCATTGGCAAAGTGTGGGTTGGCGGACTTCACATGTCTTTCGAAAACTTGCTAGGTTCTTTCAGACGTGCAGGTTCCTCACGATGTTTTCATTTACCATAAAACAAGTGGTAATCATTTTAGAAATAATTCGCACATGAAAAAATCAAAAGGGAAGAGAAGAGATTTGAACCCGCTTCACTTGAATTCCGAGCGCGTTATCTCAATTAAAAATTAAATAGATACCTAATCAGATATTTTCGAAGTCGGTGCCAGCCGATGCAAAGCAAATGTAATAAATTTCGATACGTAAAATATATAATATTTACCTGTTAGATATTCATATCTTAAAAAATTGTAGACTGGCACCGACTTCGAAAATATCTGATTAGGCATCTATTCTAAATGAAAACCTCCGTTTAGTTATGTTTTATATTTTAGTGCCTGGAAGTCGGTTTTTATTTATTTGTTAAAAAGTTTTTATTTTTCCATTTTTAGTGTAGACGTAATAAGCAGGTAATTTGTAAGAAGAAAGTTTTTTAATAACATATTCGATTTAACAATTTATTTAAAAAATATATTTATTACCTGGAAGTATGCCCTTTGAAATAAAAAAACAATTCCAAATCGGTTTAGCCGTCTTCGAGTAATCGATGAACATACCTACATAAAAAAAAGATTCCGACGAATTGAGAACCTCCTCCTTTTTGGAATTGGAAGTCGGTTAAAAAAGATGTTATCTGACACTGTTAGCAAAATTTCCCTTAGCAAATACTGTATTTATCATTAAACTACCTTTAAAATTAAGTTGACTGTAGGCATAGAATATAATGTACAATGGATTACCTAAAAATAAAATTTATTTAAAAACTTCACAAAAAAAAAGAAAGTTTTTCCTAACAATCACCAAATAAGTCAGCCTGGTCAAAATATTGCTGGCCAACGTTAGGAATGCAAAAATTACCAATCCGCTCAATAAAAAGCGGTAATTCCTATATATATGCGGCGGCGACCGCATCTAGCATACGCTTTATACGATGTACTCACGTCTATATAAAACCGGGGAGAGAGCCAAGTTCTAAAATTAAAGGCCGAAAGCGACCGAGCGAGAACGAATCCGCCCGCCCGCCTCAGTCCACCGTCAACTGCCGACATTCCCAAAACTATCGCGATCGCGCGGCACCGAAAATTTCACTTGGCGTAAGCGTACCGCAAAATCAAACACCTTATTTGGACGCGCCCGTGAACTCGAGTGTAATCTAAATTAACCGTGGATAAGTGACAAGTGATTTGTGGATTTTCGAACTTCCGTGCTACCGGTAAAGTTTGTTTTTTTTTTTTTTTTAGTCTGTCCGTACCTTGGCAGCTGTCGCTTAAATAAATCCTTTTAGCACGTGCTTCCTGCAATGGAGTGTAGAGTTTCAATGCACGCGTTCCAGAACGATTTAGATGTGTATCATTTAACCTCTTTTATTTTATTTTCAAGTACACTTTCACAATTAGATAAACAACCGGTGTTTTCCTAACCTCAAAAATATTCGCTGTTCTAATTTAGGGCGAAAATATATTATATTGAGATGATCTGATTCTTTTAATCTTCGTAGAAAATAATAATAAATCTTATATATAAAATAGAATGCTGTAAATCTTGTTATATTAATTTAATGATGTATTTACCTGTATTGCTGTTTTTCAAGCTTTACCAACATGTGGTACCTGTAACCTTTTCAAGTACTGTTGGAAAAACAGAACTATATTAGTTAACATTTTTTGAAGTACCCATGTGGGTAGTGGGTTCTAAACAAAAAAAAACAAGTGTTAGGATTGCTTGGTTGCTATTATTTTTCCGCATTGCGTCATCTAAGGAGATAAGCGTAACTTCGTCGCAAAGTCTAGACTCCCGACATCGGAAACCGGAAGCTGTTTAGTATTGATTTTGGAACTTTTCCTTACGCGTTTTCAGTCCATTTGGGCGCAGACTTGCGTTAGCGGTTTTCGTCGCATTATATAATCTGCCTAGGAAAATAATTTAATTTTTACTCACTTTTATTAATATATTACAACTGTAATGTAAATGTTAATAGCCTTGACACATTTAAAACTAATAAACGTGACATCTTAAAAGTTCA